ACACTTTCTAAAATCTATTCCCTTATCCAATGCACTGATTAGACCATCTTAAAACGAAGAAGTTTAGCAATGACACGTAGATAGCATGACAAAGAAAACTTTAAGCATGACAAAAAAATTTGGGTGGACTAAAGCAGATCTAAAGCAGATGATCGTAGATCCTTTAGAAGCTAGACCCAAACAAAGTTGATCATTGAAAAGAAAAACGAATGAAGAGAATGAAGAGGGGAAAAAAGAAAGGATAAGGGCAGGACTGGCCGTTCTCCACTTTCCCTTAAAAAAAAGTGTAAAAAGATGGACGAGAAAGCGTAGGGAAATCCAATTTAACACCCCTCAAATAAGACCAAAAACGAATGGAATGGGATGGGTTGATTGGAATTTCGATAGAAAACAAGATGCTATTGTACTTGTTTATGGTATTGCACAGTGTTGTACAGTGCCGCTCACAATATTTCAATTGTACAGTGCCGCTCACATCTTTCAAAAGCGATTTTAAATTGAGAAACTTGTGACTTGTTGTTAGAAATTGCTGGGAACGAAGTTGCAGTTTTAGTTTTTTTTTTGAAAGAACTTAATCAGAGATTTCATCAAATCAATCAACGATTTAATCTTTTAAAATCTAATGCTTGATAAACTTAAAACCCATTGTTCCATTAGCTTCTGGGTTTAAATTCGAAACAATTGTCCCTTTGTCCAAATTTTCTGTAACAATTGCTGCTTCAAAATGTGTGATCACCATCAAATTGCCATTAGAAGGGAAGACGGTTCGTAAAAGACGCAAAAAAACAACTAACAACAAGCAAAAAAAAGCAAAAACAACTTGTTACTTCATCTTTTCAATCTCTTTTTAATAATAATCATCAATTAAACTATAAATAAAAGTGTAAAAGAGAAGATTGAAAGACTGAAAGAACTGAAAGAACTGAAAAAGAGCTGAAAAAGAATGAAAGAACTGAAAAACAAGAACTAAAATTACAGGACTAAGATTACAGGACTCAAGAAACATAAAATATGATAAGAGCACAGATTAAATATCCGATAAATCTAAAGCAAAACTAACCCCGGATTTGATAAGCATATTCATTCGGTAGAGAATTTTATCGTCTAATAACTCTTGAGCGAAAAGATTCATGCTTTATTTTCGAGAATTATGTAAAAGAAGGTGAGCCTTGTGTTCGGAGAGATTTTAAGGAAAAAGAGAACAGATGAATTCTCAGATCTCCTTAAACAGAGATGAATCCTCAGATCTCTTTAAACCGAGATCAATCATCAGATCTTCTTAATCAGAGATCAATCCTCAGATCTCCTTCAGATCTTCATTAGATCTCCTTCAGATCTTCATCAGCTCTCCTTTAGATCTTCATCAGATCTTCATCAGATCTCCTTCAGCTCTTCATCAGATCTCCTTCAGATTTCCTTCAGATCTCCTTCAGATCTCCTTCAGATCTCCTTCAGATTTCCTTCAGATCTTCATCAGATCAATCAGATGAATGTTTAATCCTTAAACAGAGATGAAGTGATTCCATTTCAAATTTTTTAAACTATTCTACCAAAACAATGACCAATTAGTGAAGAGATTTAACCCAAAAAATATAAGATAAGTCCAAAGACAAAGCCCAAAAATAAGCCAATAACATATTCCTTTAAAAGTAAACTCTAACAACTTTTTTATGTAGTTATTTAATGAAAACAAAAGATGAGTTTTTCTTGTATCTGTTCCTTTTCTTTCACCAGGATTTTCGTGCTTCAACTTGTGTTTTCCAAAGCGAACTCTCCATCAATTCCTCTTTTCTCTTCAAAACCCACATCCGGCCTCTTTTTCCCGTAAAGGACTTCTCTTAAAATCACATTTTTCTCGGAAACATCATTTTTCATAACAAAAGCTTCCGTTCAGCCAACATTTTGCGGGGGAATTGAGGAGAAGAACGCGAAGAAATTTTTGCACCTTGATCTTTGCAAGAAAAGAAAAGTCTTGAGTTGCAAAGGAGATTCTGCAAGGGAGATTCTGAAACAAAACACAGGATGAAAGATTCGACGTGTAGGTAAATGTTTTCGTCAAAAAACGGCACCTGAAAACTGAAAAATGAATGGTTTATAAGAATTTGCAGATCCTTTTCACCTTTTCAAATTCAAATTCAAATTCAAATTCAAATTCAAATTCAAATTCAAATTCCAATTCAAATTCACTTTCAAATTCTTTTGATTGAGCCATTCAGCCAATCATAGCCAAGTAAATGGATAATTTTACTGTAAAACTGTAAAAGAATTAAATCCGGCTTATAATTAGTAGACTGATTTGTCCTATTGTTGTGTATAGGATTTAATTGACTCTTTTCAAAGTGTGTATTAATAAATTGTTCATAAAAAGGCCTTAAATCACAAAAAGCCCTAAAAAAGCATTTTGAATCTTGTTTGCAAAAAATCGGTCGCGAGAGGACCCGAACCCGCGAGGAAAAGTTCCAAAGTCGAGCGCACTATCCGCTAGGCCGACCGGTCAATTTCGAGCATCATCGAAGGAAGGCTTATATCACCGAGCTCATTTTTCGCGCCCCGAAATTCTGTTTTTTTCACGGGCTAAAGGGCCTATTGGGTTGATTTTAAAACTGGATTTTGCTCAGAATTTTGCTTAGAATCCGATGCACTAGGTAGCTTAACTCGCTGCTAATTTGAAACAGTTTCCTAGTGAGAGAACAATGCTATCTGATCCAAAAGCCACTTTAAAGCTTTCTTTAGTTTTCACTTGGTAATCTTGTCCAAAAATGTTCCCATTAATCTCTTTCATCTTTCCCTCTAATTAACTCTGTTTTCTATTAATTGAATTCCGAAGTCTACCCAAAAAAAGTTGTCCATTTGGCGTTTCCCCAAAATGTGTTTGTGGGTGTTCGTTTGAAATGAATGGAAAGGGGAATTAGAGGATTTGAAAGAATTGAAAGAATTGAAAAAAGACTCGAGTTCTCAATGTTTTTCCAAGTGATCCATTGAAAAATGGGTTCTTTTCCCCAAAAATATAGCGAAATAACAAAATTTTAGTTTTCAAACATGGTAAATGGTAGTTTTGCTTTCAAATTTGATTGGAGAGCTTAATTTGCTTTCAAATTTGATTGGAGAGCTTAAGTTGCTTTCAAATTTGATTGGAGAGCTTAAGTTGCTTTCAAATTTGATTGGAGAGCTTAAGTTGCTTTCAAATTTGATTGGAAAACTTAATTTTGGAAAACTTAATTTTGAAAAATTTAATTTCTTTTCACCAATAGTAAACGAATTTGGAGAAGCGAATGAAGAAAAAGGTGTCGAATTTCAAATTATTCAACTCAAATGCTTAAACAGTTCGATTAATCAGTTAGAACTTGGAAAAAGACAAAAAAAAGACAAAAAAAAGACAAAAAAAGAAAAAAAAGGAAAAGAAACGAAAATTTCCCGTTGCTTACAAAAAGTTAAACAAAAAACAGATATTTAGCGTAATATCGTTTTGTCGTTTTGTCGTTTTATTTATCGTATTTTTAGCGTGTCGTTTTATTTGTCGTAGTGTTGAAATCACTCATAATTTGTTGATCATCGGCTCAGCGCCTTTTCCGATCGGATGAATGGGAAAACCGATGTTTGATTCATCTAAAAGTTCAAGCTTTTCAATAATTGATTTTAAATTTCAAACACTGCTCTAGCTCTAGTCTTTTACTTGTTAAAGTATGCCAGATTACGGTATTCTGGCGAAAAATTGAATCATTCTAGCTTTAGTCTCATCAACCGAATGCTTTTAATGCTTCAGGGTATTGTTGCATCAAGTTCCTTCCAAAAAAAGCAAAAGCTAACGTTAAAAAAACTCGGTTTCAAAGCTTTCTAGGGAAAAATTTGCCTTTTCTAATTAATAAACCGACGAAAATTCATTCATTTTTGTCAATACGTGAAATGTACGTCAATACGTACGTGTCAATACGTGCGTGTCAATACGTACGTGTCAATACGTACGTGTCAATACGTACGTGTCAATACGTACGTGTCAATACGTACGTGTCAATACGTACGTGTCAATACGTCAATACGTCAATATCCATGAAACAGATCTGTGGCTTTGAAAAATGATGTCTGAACTTGATTAGGAACAAATCTTCGATTTTCGGGAGCAATCAATGGACAATTTTATTATAAGACGCAAAGTTTGTGTGTGTGTGTGTGTGTGTTCGACATTGCCGCTATAAACTACAAGATCGGACGACAAACGCTTGTAGAAACGCATAGAATGGCTATTTTTAAAAACTGTATTTACCAAAAAATTGAGCCAACTTTGCGCTTTTGAATGACACCAAGATCATGCCAATCCATTATCTCTGCGTCCAAATATAACGTTTTTTTTCAGGCTTGTACTCTCGTCCCATGGGATAGGACTAGAAACCTGGAACAAAAACGTTATATTTGAACGCAGAGATAATGGATTGGCATGATCTTGGTGCCATTCAAAAGCCTAAACTTGGCTCAATTTTTTTTGGTAAAAGCAGTTTGTAAAAATAGCTATTCTACGCGTTTCTACAAGCGTTTGTAGTCTGATCTTGTAGTTTGTAGCGCCCATGTCTAGTGTGTGTCCGTTCACTTCATAACTCGAGTCCCAGTTGTAATTTCGGTCTGATTTTTTGGGACAATATGTAATCGACTATGACGGTTTGGTCTGTCAAATCAGATTTTCAAAAATCTTTGATTTTTAGCACTAAAAACATTTTTAAAAGATTCGATGTTTTGAGAAAACGGTAAACGCGGAAACGATCAAAGGGTCAGCGGCGAAGATCAAAGGGAATGTTTTACGGGGAAATGTTAAATTTCAGTTTCAATGTAACTCTTTTAATACAACTATTGTAGAGTACAATTGTGCATAAATCTCAAGTTTATAAATTAATGTTAACGGATTGCGCTCAGAGGTATTTCAGAAAAAATTCAGCAATTAATTGGCTTTGGCTTTGGCTCTCAAATAGTAGTAATTTTAACAAAATTTATTGAATCCTTTTCGTTTTTCAATTGAACCATCCATTTCCGTAGTTCTGGAGGAGACTTGAAAGGCTCGAGAGTTGCGATTGAATGGTCGAGATGATTGTTTGGAGTTGAGTCCACGTGCCTGCGTAAATGAACCGTCTTCCCAGTAAAATAATGAGAAAAAACAAAGGAAGAAAATCGCGAGAATTTCTAGTTTAATCGAAAAATTTCTTAAAATCTATCAATTTTTGTTCATTTGTAAGTGGAATTGTTCAAGTTTCTGTTTAAATTTTGAGGAACAAAGGGGAAAAAGGGGAGCTTCTTGATGTGATTCGATTTTTATATGGCGGCAAGTCATTTCAAAACCGAATCAAAAGTAAAATCACAAGTAGGTTGAACGATTTTGTTTGAATTCTTTAGTGAAATAGTCAATATTTTGCTTAATTTCTAAATTTTGCTTAACTTTTAGCTAAACGCGTCGATCTTTAAAAGATCTTTTTCAAACTCAGCACTGCTTTCTTTGAATCATTCGCTTTCAAATGCTTTTGATTGAGCCATTCAGCCGATCATAGCCAAAAATCTTCTCACCATTATTGCCATTTGGTCCTCCATTGAAGCCGCCGTTGTTATTATTGTTGTTGTTGTTGTTGTTTGGTTGTTGCTAAATTTTTTCTCATTTGATGTATTCAGCCGGTTATGATACTTTAAAACTAACGAAATAGAGCCTGAAAATCTATTAAGATCTGAAGATAATTAGGCTGTCCAGAAAGTCTTTTCATTTCTTTTCGTACTTTCATTTAAAACCAACAAATGCATCAAAGAAGAGTTTTCCCCTTTAAATTCAAAACTCACTCCATTGAATCCACCATTGTTGTTGTTGGGTGGTTGCTAGAATTTTCAGTTACAAAATGTAAGCAAAAGATTTTAAACGTCTACTAGCCAAGTAGAGCCAAGTAAAATTCAATTACACAGTTTTAAAAGTTTACACATTTTAGGAAATCAAAGTACCAGTTACTGACTAGTTTCAAAATGCATAATGCCTTATTTCCCCAACTAAAATCCCAGACTCACTCCATTTCCTCCATTGAATCCACCATTGTTGTTATTGTTGCCACCATTGAATCCCTAAAAGCCTTGCTGGTTTTAAATATTATATAAAGTAACAATTTTATTTTTATATTCCCAAAAACTCACTCCATTTCCATTTGGGTTGAACGGGTTTTGGCCATTGTTTTGACCATTGTTGCTTCCCTGAAAGTTTTCTGTTTTAAAGCAAAACAAATCATGTTTCAAACTTGATTGAATGGATTGGGCTGATTGTTGTTCTAAAAAAACTTTTTGTAATTAAAAATTTCTAGTTTTCAAGCAAAAATCCCTTAAAACTGACTCCATTAGGGTTGAAGGGTTGTTGTCCATTATTGTTTCCTCCATTGAATCCCCCATTGTTGTTATTGTTATTTGGTTGAGGTCCGTTAAAGCCACCACCATTTTGACCATTCTAAATACTCTTTGCTGCCACTTTTGTTCCAAGATCTGCACTGTAAGTGTTCTTGAAGTGTTCTTGTTCTGTATTCTTGAACAGAATGACTTTACATAGTCAGTTTTTATTTAAAATCTATCATACTGTGAAAGTTGTCCTTTGGGTCACTAAAAAAATGCAAACGTACCTTTTCTAGCGCACTAAATTTGGTTTCTACGACTTAAAATCATAGCCAAAATAGAATCGAGTGCGCCAGAAAGGATATGTTTCAAGTTTTATGTGCAAATCGCTACGAATTATCCAAACTGACAATGAGGTGTTCTTTTGTTGTACTTTACTGTAGCTTACTGAAGTGGTTTCCTTATTGCAATACCTGTTGTCCATTGAATTGTGCGAGAATGGCCACAGCCAGCGATGAGACAACAATCACTCGCAGCATCTTTCGAAAATGAGGAATTTACTATTTACTAAAATAAATGAAAAACAAAATCGAATAAAAATTTAAACTCGTTTAAATACAAGGGAATCTCAATCCAAATCCATCTCGCCCATTTTTCCATTCAATATTTATTCAGCTGGGTGCCAGGTCTTGAACACGTCCCCGCCAGTCAAATAAAACGAAATTTTCAATTTTTCTATGCAGACTATTTGCGATTAGTCATTTTTGAGGTTTGAGTGAATCACGGATAATGCTAATTTCAAGACAAAAGTGATTCATTTTCCTAACCAAATTTCGAATTCTATCATTACAAACAACTTTTATTACCATGCCAAATCATTTACAGAACGAAAATCATATAGTTTGATGTTTACAAAACACTCAATGGGCTAAGAGGCCAAGAGAAATATCACAAAGAAAACAAAAAAGCAGTTGATGTTTTAAAACTCTCGATTCGTTTCTCCATTTGCTTGTTCACATGGCTTTCAATGAAAGGCGGCAGTGTTGATCATCCCGGCTGTCTCCTGTACAATGTTGTCCTCCATCAAACGGGTTGATGTCTACAAAAAATAAAATTGACAAGCTTACTATACTATTTAAAGCATCATGTGCGTTAGATTAATTCTTCAAACATAAACCATTTTGAGTCGCTGTTTCGCGTTGAGTTTCCCATATTTCTTGCGCCCCTTCTCACCCTTTTCTTTCTTCTGAACCACCACTCCATCCGTCACATCCTAAAATATGAAAAAGTTAAGCTTTTAAGCCTTAAACTTTTGCTAACCTTGGCAAAATGTCCGACCAGCTTGATCATCTCAGCCAGCGACTCGCCATTTCCCTTTGAGCATTTGTCGTAATCCTCAAAACAATTTTATAGTTCAATATTTGACAAAACCAAAGAACAACTCAAGCTTTTAACCAAACCTTAATGGCCAATCCATCCCTCCATGAGTGTTGATGCAAGGTCAGCAACATCTTTTGCTCTTTCTCCGTCGTCGGATAGTTCACCGCCAGATCGTAGTACCTAAATAACACAAATCGATCTTGAAATTAATCCCAAAATTAAACTCCAGGCGTTAATTTATACAGGAAACTACTTACTTAAAGCCGAGTCCTTTTATCTGCGCGACCAGTGATCCCTTGTCCAAGTTGCCAAGATTTGTAGTCGTCTAAAAAGTTTAAATAAGCATTAACATCAGTTAAGTGCAATCAAATAACACAAATTGCCACCTGTCTTGGCTCTCCAGTTGGTGCAACCGAATTTGTGAGGGCGAGAATCGGCTCCATTAAACGAAACGCCTCTAGCACTACCTGAACACACAATATTAGCTTTTTTAACGTTTTCGAAACTGCACCTTTCCCTTGACCGATTGAATCGGATCCACCACAACGGCCACGGTTCTTGGATGAAGCGCCTCGAAAGATTTCTGCGTCTAAAATTGTAAAATTATACAAGTAACCCAGTTTTAAAAGTCTCCATTCCAAAATATAAACCACCCACATTGACATCCGTGTCAGAAAGCCAACAACCAAAGCCGGGATGCGAGTGATACCTAAAAGACACTGCAGCTCAAAGACAATTACTGCTTACCATCCAACGACCATTTCCTCGCGTCCAGTCCGTTGAAGCATGTCCATCATTTTCGCCTGATAGGCCGGGTCCACAGATTCCACAGAGACTGACTAAATGAAGAATGTAGCCAATTAAAAATTAGCTATATACCGTCCCACTTTGTGGCATCGCAAACACATCGACAACATTGATCGTGTAGTCGTCGACGAAAGTCCCCAACATCAGACCCATCACTTCGAGGGGAACACCACTACTAAACATTAAGCAATGAATTTGATCAACAACAAAGTATTAGGTTGGTGAATAAGTCTTTTTTTCTTTCCTTTTCGTTCCTTTTCATACCTCCGTTTGAAAAATAACAAATTCACTAATTAACTTATGGTTTTCTCTAAATAAAAAGTGTTTATTGTTCAATTTCCCACCTTTTTAAGTCAATTTGGGTTCACTTTCAAGCAAATTCGAGCGTAAAAAAAGTGTTTTTCGTAAAAATCTATAAAAACCTCTACGAAGAAATTGACCGGATCAATTTCTCTGAACATTTGGCTAACTTTTGTGCTCTATCTTTTATATATTGACACGAAGATAGGTTTTCCTTAGCTCTCTTCCTTTCCTCAGAAAAATAATTGACCTTTCTAATGAAATAAACCGTAGTTCAATTGGTGCATTTGTTGGCTTTAAACGGAATTACGAAAAGAAACGAAAAGACTTATTCACCAACCCAATAAAATAAAGAACTTAAACTTTAAACAAAGTCTATATTGAAAAATTTTCCAGCATTTACACGTGCTATGCTGCTAAAAATAGAACAACATCAAAATGCTATGCTGCTAAAAATAGAACAACATCAAAACCAACTTACCGAGCATGTTTCAACATCTTGAGAAGTGGCAGCGAACCGATGTGAACGGTTTCTGCCGTGTCGGGATGATTGAGACGGTCGGTCGGTTTTCCACTAATTCCATTCACACGCAACTAAAAAAGAATGCCTTAAATGATTTTTAGAAACTTTTAATCTCTTGCAATTTACAAAAGCAATTTGCAGATAACGCTATGAAAAATGATAATTTTACAAACGATAATATGACAGACGCTATGACAGATAACGCTATGACAAAGGTAAGAACATCAGTAGCATATTTATTATCGATAGTTTTCCCCGTTACCCATTTTTTTAAAAGCACATCGCAAAAACGTGACCAAATTCTTAAAAAGCCTGCAATTTCCACTTCAAACATAGCTAAGGAAGTAAAAAGAAACTTAAAATTCTCTAGAAAAACGCAAACAACAAGATAGAAATCGTGCATTTTAGCACAAAAACACTAGTAGATACGTTTAAAAGCTCAAAGAACTACCGTAAATACTGTAATAGTACCCCACCCCCCATAATGACGGGGCGGAGTGTTGCGTAGTCTAGCTTTGACACTGGTTTATGCTACAATGCTCGCTTAAGTATCAAAAAATAGCCCTGAATTTCAGGGCTATTTTTTGATACCAAAGACGCATTTTTTGAAAGTACGGGTGCTTTGAAAAAAATTAAATACTAAAAAACTTTTGCGACTACGCGACTGTACGAGGGGGGTGGGGTACTATTACAGTATTTACGGTAAGTAAACACTTGAAATCATAAAAACTTACTCTTGGCATCATGAGCTGACGAAGTAAAGCGTCCATCTTTGTGAAGTGAAGAAACAAATAATAAAATTCGTGCGCTCAAAAGCCTTTATATACTTTTAACTTAGACGCAAATTTTGGTAAACTCATGCTAATTTGTTTTTTTGTGTTTTGTCAAGTTTCTTGCAACTCTTTCAATTAACAAAATTTATCTCAAGACACCGTAATCTTTTACAAAACCGTATGAAAAATAGAGAAATTATGGCACTTATTCAAACAATAACACCAAAAAATATATAAGAGATATGTGGGAATGTTTCAATAACGAAAAATAAGAAGAGCTAACAATTCTACTGATTGTCTCTCCATTCTATTTCTGTTCGAATTGGGTGTACATCTCGTTGGTCTGCTGGGTGCAACGGACAAAAGTCGTGCGTTTCGAGAGCTCCTAGAAAATGAGTTAGACTTTGAAAGGATCTCGAAACTTTGATAGTTTAAAATAAAATCCCCAGATCTAACCGATTACCCTTCTGACTTTTTCTAAGGATTATTAAAAGCTATCATTTTTGTGGGTTTTACGAAATTGAGATAAGAAAACGGGTACTTTAGCTCAACTCTCTCTCTTTCTCTTACTCCAAATCTTTTACTATAGAAATTCGCATTCTCAGCTAACCATAACCGTTACCGTTATAGTTACCATTACAGTTATACCGAGTTTTATAAGTTTCATTGCTAATCCCCAAACAAACCTTTAAAGTTTTGGCTCCAGTGTAGGTGCAAGCCGAGCGAATTCCACCCAAAATATCCTGCACCGTGTTCATCACGTCACCTCTGAAATTCGAGATGTTCATTGTACAATTCTATTGTATTCTATTGTATATATTCTACTGTAGACAGTTGAATTGATGCTTTGCTTTGCATTAACTAAGTTACGCTTTTTGATCTTCATCAAACAAACCGATAAGGCATCTGCACGGTTTTCCCCTCGCTAGCTCGGTACTCGGCCACGGCTCCATGATATTTCTTCATCGCCGTATCCGATGACATTCCGTAGAACATCTTGTACTGGCTGAAAATTGGGAATTCTTTATTGAGCTACCGCAAATACTGTAATAGTACCCCATCGCCCTCGTACAGTCGCGTAGTCGCAAAAGTTTTTTAGTATTTCATTTTTTTCAAAACACCCTTACTTTCAAAAAAATGCGTATTTGGTATCAAAAAATAGCCCTGAATTTCAGGGCTATTTTTTGATACCTAAGCACGCATTGTAGCATAAACCAGTGTCGAGAAAAACGCTTTCAAAGCTAGACTACGCAACACTCCGCCCCGTCATTATGGGGGTGCGGTACTATTACAGTATTTACAGTAGGTGGTACTGTAATATGTAATATGTAAACTGTAATCCAATATACGATCGTTAATATCGTAATACGAGGATCGTTGTCGTTTTTTTCTTTCCACCAACCGTCCATTGATTTCAATGAGCTCTCCACCACTTTGATCATGCCCGGCAAACATTCCACCCAACATCACAAAATCCGCGCCTGTAAAAATATTATAAAAACTCGATCTATGAAAACTTCTGTGTATCCCATTCGCAACTCACCAGCTCCGAAAGCTTTAGCCACATCACCGGGATTCGTGCATCCACCATCCGAGATGACATGCCCATTCAATCCATGAGCCGCATCTGCACACTCCAAAACAGCCGACAATTGAGGATAGCCGACACCGGCCTTCTTGCGCGTCGTGCAAACGGATCCCGGGCCAATTCCGACCTGGAAATGCTTTCATCATCATCACCATCACAAATTCAATTTGTCATTGCAAACGTTGAGCAGAAGGATGCTGAGCCTGGCCTGGCCTGAGCCTGACCCATCCACAACATTTCCCCCACCTTGACAACATCAGCTCCAGTCAAAATGAGCTCTTCAACCATCTCTCCAGTCACCACATTTCCGGCCATCATTGTGTGATTTGGAAACTCCTCTCGAACTCTGAAAAAGCTTTGATTTTTGATTTTCTTTATTAATAGCGTTTTTAAGATCAAATTAGGCTCTTGAAAACATTGAAAACAAAAAAAATTAGCCTCTTGAAAACAAAAAAGCTTTTTACAGCTCTTTCCTTTAGAAATCAGAGGATTTGCTTAAAGGGGGATTAATCGCGGCCGGGTGACCATAAAACTTTTTTTACGGCAACCACCTGTTTATTTATTTTCGCACTTACCTTGTAGATGAACTACGCGAGCCTTGCAGCGTCTCCAAAACTTTGTAAACCCATCAAATCACTCTAGCCGGGTGATTTTTATTCTTTTTATAATAAAATCAGCCATATTAAAATAAATAAACAGGTGGTTGCCGTAAAAAAATTTTTTATGGTCACCCGGCCGCGATTAATACTCCTAATACCACTTAATACTAAAGTATTTCAACTTAAAGAAACAAATGTTCCTACACTTCCTACTAACAGCTTCATCTTGTTACTATCCAGATTTAGTTTCAAGTGATCAAAATTCAGCAAAAATCCTCTCCAACTTCTCGAAAAAAACAAACTTTCGAATGAAATCAACGAAGCTTTGCGCATATCCATTTGCCACGTCCACACAAATGTACCCCAACTCAGGCACTTCTTTGATCACCGTACGAAGCTGGAATTTGAGTTGTTTATTGGTTTGATCTTTTAAATCATTAAAATCATCGTTTTTAAATCTTTTCACCTTGTTGAAATCATTCTCAGAGATTCCCGTCGATACAGCGATATGATTGAAGGCCTCTTTGTCGCATTTTGAAGCATAATCCTTCCATTGATCGATCTGAATTTTCGTTTAATTTAATTCGCTACAATAAACCAATATCCATTATTACAGTAATACAATTTATCGTATTCATTATCCATTCTACTAATTATTAACTACTAGTTATTACTAATTAATGTAAACTTTTATCAACTCTAAAAACATTAGCTTGTACCCAAGTTTCGTTTTCTTTAAAACTTTTACAGACTTGAAGCTTCAAAGCTCTAACTTTCATAAATATTAATCTATATAAAAGTTTCAAGCTCTTTAAACCTTTAACCATTGAAATCTCTTGCAAATTCACCAATAACCATTCCACTCACCGAATAATGTTTGTGAATTGTGGTGAAGACTCGATTCTTGCTCAAAGCGTCCGCCATCTCGAAAGTTCCCGTCTGAAAAACTTCTAGTTTTAATTTTTAAGCTCTATCAAACATAAGCTCACAATTTCCGCCTCAACTCACCGTGTCCATATTCGACGAAATCACTGGAATGCCCGAATAGGTCTTCTTCGAGTTTTTGAACGTGTACTCTCTAAAAAAAAACTTTTAAGTTTTAATCTTTAAAATTTAAACTTAAAAGCTTACAGTGATCTTAAAATATTACTTTAAAATCGAAAAAACACTAAATTATTAGTGATTGTTCATTTGAAAAGCGGTTTGAAATAGTAAAAGTTTTAGAAGAAGCTTTTTAGAAGAAGCTTTTCTCGGCTGTGACAGGTCTGTCTTACAAGTTAGTTTAGTTTATGATTTCAGTAAGTAATACTGCATTCATATAGGGATAAAATAGATTTAAATAAGAGCATCCACACCCACCTATTCAAATCGACATCGGCTCTCGAGGCAAGGGTGCTTCTTTTCGGTCGAATCATCACATCCTTGAAGTCCAGCTTCACATCGGTGATCGTCGGCATTTTGATTACCTGAAAACTCTTGTACAGTTTGCATATCCAATACTATCATATATACAAAGTTACAAAGAAAACAAAAGAAAACAAAATACGGAAATCGTTGTAGCTCCCAGTTCATTGGCTTTGTTTGCATCGAAATTAAAGACCTTTCTTTGAAACTTGTACTTACAAAAATGAAAATTCAAAAAGACCAGTCTATAAACAAAGCCAGATAAAAAATGTACTTTGTAAATATTGTGTGCTGGAGGAGGGGGAGGAGGAGGAGGGAGGGGGAAGCGCGCGAAAGTTGTTAGTGGAGAAGAGTGAAAAAAGGAGATGAAAACTCTCTTTATGGGCCATCAAAACGAAGAGAGGGTGGATGGAAAGGAGAGGTGAAAGAAATCAAAAAGAACATGGACTCGTGAATGGATAAAATCTCAAAATAAACCGTGTACTCCAGTGGAGTTCTGAAAGATCCAGCTATCGATTTTCTGGCAGACAATCATTAGGTTACTGTAGCGTTATTACTTTAAAGCAAATGCTATATGAACTTTTAAAAATGTCAAAATGGTGATGAGATACCGTATTTCCTGATACGTCGCTGGACTGTCTGGGTTGTCTGGGTTACGGTAGCGGAAAAGATTACTGATTACAGATGATATAGTAACTATTGTACAACTAAAGATACATGTAGAAAGATCTGAGGGACTCGGGGTTTTAAAAGATATAGCTACTTTAAACTTTGAAAACTTTCAAATGGAACTGAGTGAGATAAAACTATCTAAGGAAACTCAATAAAAGGAAATAAAAAGACTGATTTTGAAAAGAATGCTAAAATAAAGTGACAAGAATAAAAGATATCTGCTACGAGAAAATTTCCCGACAGATACAGAAAAGGATTAAAGAAACGCCACAGGCATCCCCATTTATGGAAGGGTAAATTATCTGGAAAGATAAGAAATGCCAATCGGCAACAATAACTGATCGAAAGATAAGAGATTTGAATGTAAATCTAATGATTGTCTGCCAGAAAATCGATTGAACAAGATTATTATCTTTTAAAAGACAATTGAAACGATCCAATAATTGTTTTATCGTTTCAACATCTTAAAACTCGACAAAGCTTTCAAAAAGGAAATTTTTGATCGATCAAACAAAAAAAAAATCAATTTCTTTCAACTCTAACTTTTCCAAAACTGAAGAGAAGCTTAGAGAGTGTTTACTCTGGGAATTAATTTCGCTTTCTTGATATGAAAAACTTTCTAACCTTTGATGTTTCAAAACTGAGTTAACCCTGCACACTAAAGTCTATAGATAAGTTTCCTAGTGGTCATTATGAAACGTAGATGTTGTATGGGCACTGTAGCTGCCGCTGGAGTACCGAAGCTGTACTGCAGTCGCCGTAGGGTACTGTAGTTGACGCAAGGGTATTGTAGCTGAATGAGTTTAAGATAGATCAAGCCAATATTAAATATCATTCTAGAAGTAAAGCTCAAAATCAGCAACTAAATTCCGCTGAAAATACAATTCGTCTAATCGTGAACTTTTCTAATCACATTCTAAAATCAGCCTTTACAAAAATTTTCGAATTTTTCTCAATGGACACTCAATGTTTTGGTTTGTCTCTTTTTCACCAAGATTTGACACCAGCGATATGAGCCATCTTTGCTCAAAAATAACCATAAAGTGATACGAATATTTTTTTGCATTTAAAATTTCAATTAAATTAAACCATTCAATGAATTTGTCAATACGCAACAAGAAAACTACAGAGACAAAGAAAAGCATTCGATTGATAGTGGTAATCACGGCGTTTTTTTCCCCATACATCTAAAATAAACAGAAATTAAAGGGGAGTGCAGATCGCGGCCGGGTCTTGAACAAATTTTTTTTACGGTAACCCTGTTTTTATTTCATAAAACATTACGTTTTATTATAAAAACGACAAAAAACACCCGGCTAGTATGTTTTGACTTTTATTTTTAATTTTGGAATACTCCGAAATTCGCCTGCAGACAGAGTCGAGTCATCCTCTAAGGAGTCATCAAGTACAGACCCAAAAGAAGATATTATCCTCGGCGAAATTTTGAATGTAGAACTATGCTTGCTACACTTGATCACAACGAAAGAATACAAGCTGAAATCAGAGAAGACCGACAGGTTGAGTCCCATTATCGGTGCTTATCGAGGGGAAAAGGTCGCTAAGATGAAAAAGACTCCTGTTAGTGACAATTGGAAAAAATATATTCTACAGAAAATTTTAGCCTCTAAAGAGAGCTATGGAAATGGTGATCCAGTTAGTGATTTTGACGTCGACGACGAAGATCTTGACAAACTTGGAACTAAGCTGGAGGAGAGAACGTAATGTTTTATGAAATAAAAACATAGGGTTACCGTAAAAAATTTTGTTCAAGACCCGGCCGCGAACTGCATCCCTCCTTTAACGTGCAATACAACAGAAATTAACTTTGCTAACAAGAGAGGTTCGTCAACTTACCACCAGCTTTTGAAACGTGGCCTAGTACATCTAGACCAGTTTTTCGCGCTGATTCCGAATCTGTACTCAAATCTACCCCGGACGCCCTCTGAAGCCAGGAAAAATGGTTTTAAAATTATTTGTTATTAAAAAATGGTATTTGCGCAAAGAAGACACCGCCTTTAAGAAGGAAAGTTAAAGGAGAGAAAAAAAGTGACCGAATGGTGTGATGTTAGTGCGCTACGCTCACATTTTTGCATCCCTGGTTCGGGGATCCAGGTGCAACCTTTCTTTTTGGCTTTTTAAAAATTAGTGTCTAACACTTTTTTGTTTTACCACTTTATAAAAAAGTTGAGAAGACAAGAAAAGTTTATATATCCAGTTTATGAAGAAATTATTTAAAATACACCGCTCTGTTGACACACAGTATTATTCGTCGTTCTTTCAAAAAATCTGACGACTCTGATAACTAACTTTTAGCAGCTTGGCTCGCCCTATACATATTCAAAATGTTAAAACAAAAAAGTGTTAGCAACTATTTTTTAAAGAAAAGTCGCACCCGGATTCGAACCAGGAATGCAAAAATGTGAGCGTAGCACACTAACATCACACCATTCGGTCCCTTTTTCTCTCTCCTTTAACTTTCCTTCTTAAAGGCGGTGTCTTCTTTGCGCAAATACCATTTTTTAATAACAAATAACTTTAAAACCATTTTTCCTGGCGTCTGGGTAGATTTGAGTACAGGTTCAGAATCAGCGCGAAAAACTGGTCTAGATGTGCTAGGTTACATTTTAAAACCTGGTGATAAGTTGACGAACCTCTTGTAAGATAAGTACCATCTGCATTCAGGTGTATTATAAAAGCACACATACCTTTAGAACAAAGAGCACTCTAATTCTCATAATTGACGAAATCATTGGGAATTTGCTCGAGTTTCTTTCCGATCACGCCTTCCATTCTGTGTCCTTGTTGGATTACCTAAAAAAAAATATATGTGCATAAAATAGGACATAATAACCAAAAAACGCAAAACTCACATCTTCCCAATCTTGAAAACTGTCCGTAGCATTGTGGAGCGATGAATTTCTGCTAAAGCATGCACGTGTTAAGGGAAAAGTTTATACTTTTGATTTACAGAAAATCTTTACCATTAGACGTACGTTTCTCCCTATTTAACCTAGATTTCATCACAAAAACGAGAAGTATAAGATAAAAAGGCTTACGTTATCACTTCAGGAATTTTTGTTGTCGCTGGCACTGCAGGGATTTTTGATAATGATGATTGAGTCGGACCAAGTTTCTAAAAAGAAAATTGGTACTTTGTGGGTTGGGGGCGCCACCTATATTTTTAATTTATCACTTTTCTAGGGGTAATCGAGGGCGCTGAGCACGATTTTTATAGTTTTAGCATAGGTTTTCAACTGAAAAGCCGCCATTTCGACACTTTTTTGAGCTTTAAATACAACTTTAAATTTGTGTACTTAAGCTATCGTCTATTGGGCCACTTTTCAAGGTCAAAACTAGAGCCAAAATCATTCTTAACCACCAAATATTCATTTTTTTAAAACTTAACTTGACTGTGAGAGGCGAAACAAACTGAAAAAATATTTTTCGAGATCTTGACCGATGTTGACTCATGTGGGGGACCAAATGGTCAAAATTTGGAAAAAAATATTTTTTATTTGGCTCCAATTTGATCAGAAACGTAATCAGTAGGTTAAATCATGCCAGAAGAAGTGTTTTGGTTTCAAAAAATGTTTTGAGAGACATTTTTTAGACCTCTTCCCTATGTGTATTCCTCTCATCACACTGTAACCGCGCACTTTGGAGTCCCGAAACTTAGCTTAAAACGCATATTCCCAAGCTCTCGTTGTGTTTTTCGGGATCTACGCATAAAACTACCGCAGAAAAAGTGGTTTTGAAGAAAAAAAGTGCCCCCCCCCCAACCTTAATAGCGTCTAGAAAAGTAATTTTCAACGTGTCAAAATGTCGGTTTTTCAGTTGAAAACCTATGCTAAAACCGTCAAATTCGTGCTCAGCACCCTCGATTACCTCTAAAAAAGTGAAAGTAAAGTGAAAATATAGGTGCCCCCAACCCACAACGCACCGACAAATCAAAGCAAATGAGCACTTATAAGCGCTCACTTGAAGCAAGTCTACGGTCATGTTACCAATAGGACGTAATAAGACCTCCATTGTGATACAACTAAAAAAAATCAGTTTGCAACCCAATGTACTTACTACCCTCACCCAAATAGCAAGGCCATGGTCAAAACCAATGTAAACCTCATTGAAGATTTGGGTACTTAAATTAACAACCTCAACGAAAAACAATCCTTCTACCGATCGGTGCTGGAAACCAGAATAATTCCCAAATGTTGCCTGATCGTTGCTAACTTTTAATGCAAATTCCAAGATTTTTCATGCGCAAATTTACTTTCACTTCGTTAGGCCGTTTCCCGTGTCGATGATTAGGTGTGATTTAGTAAAAGTCAAAACTCAACGATTTATTGACAACAAACAAAAACTTTACAAAGCTTATTTCTTCTTTCCACCTTTGCCTCCTTTCGCAGCTGCTTGTGGTTCTTCAATGACGAGCGTGTCGTGACATCTAAACCATACTTATGAAGCGTACATATGCTAAGAAATATACCTTCCACAAGTGTGCCGATTTGCGTGAGCAGCCATGAAGACACCTCCCCCACAGTTTTGACACTCGCGGCGCTTGCGATTGATTCCACCACTGCCGTCAACCTCGTAGTATTTGAGAACAGCAAGCTTGACCTTCTTTCTGATGTGCTTCTTCTTCTTGGGGGTCGAGTAGACCTTCTTCTTTCTTTTCTTGGCACCTCCGAGCAATCTAAACAAAAAAGGAATTGGTGACATGAAAAGCAACTAGTTTACCTCAGAGAAAGATGGTAAGTGGTCAACTCTTGCAAACCTTCGTCATCCTCAAGCTGGACACCTAAATTGAAAAGAAACTTTGGAAATAGGAAAGAATCTGCTGGTCCGTCCTCAAGCAGTTTAACCACTCTCTAGATTCAGCACTAATTAAAATAAGCACACGCAAATAACTGACCTGAGCTAATAATGCGTTGATCCTCGACGGGGATTCCCTGCGATTCGGCCACCCACTGCTTCAGAGAAGAGACGGTGTCGAACGGCGAAGTTTCGACTGTGACGGTGTCACCTCCAAGTGTTCGAAGGAATACCATCCTGGAAAATAAAAATTTGAGTCAGTTTCACAAAAGCACGAGAAACAAAAACCCGAAAACTGAAAACTCAAAAGTTTGCGAAACGAAAGGGAAGTCGATGCGACAAAATTGCGCCAAACTGAGTATCGTCAGTTGAGAAAACTGTGCCTCGACTATCAATTCAATTCATTAATTGAATATCATTAGATTTTTCAAAAATGATTTAGGTCCGAAAAATTAAACGTTCTCTCTTTCCTCGCAACGTCATTAGAAACGGACCGTTGGGTGTCTTTTGAATTTCGTTTTTCTGTAGTTTGCTTGTCCAATTATTAAAACTTCAACTAGTGTGTTCTTAGCTTTTCTTTTTTTGCATATTAAGATAATTTTTGAAACTTTTAGATGGATGAGCACGAAACATTGGAAGACGGATTGCTCATCGAGCACGCCTACGGAAGCGTTCGATGGAAAGGACCGATTCAAATACGGCGGAATCTTCAACTCGATCAGGTACGGTTATTTTTGACTTTTCGCATTCTAATTGATGAGTTAGATAGTGCAATTTCGAAGGCGTGAAATCGAAGTTTACCCAGATACCGTAAACAAACCACCCATTGGAGAAGAACTGAATAGAAACGCTGAAGTAACTTTGCACGGAGTTTGGCCACTCAACAATGAAGTTTGTTTTTAACCTCGTTAGCTTGCATTTCTGTTTTGCAGGCAATAAAAAAACAATTAAATTTAGAACTCAACTTATGCGCAACATTGGTCAAATCGACTAAAAGAAAAGCTTGATCTGATGGGTGCACGATTTCTCGGATACACAACTGCAACTGGCACGGTGACCTTCGAAGTGGACCATTTCTCGAAATATGGCTTGAATGTATGCTTATTTCCTATAATTAGTATACAGCTAGTCATCTCTATCTACATTGCTTGTTTAGCATGCGGATGAAGATGACGACGTAGAAATGCCGATTAGAGATCAAGATACTTCTCGCCAAGAATCCGATTTACAACTTCATGTGCAAAGAGCTAGAACGGATAGATTTATTGTCGACGAAGACAACGAGGTATGGCTGTTTGAGTTTGTATCAACTTTTTCTGTTTTAGGTTTCTACGCCGCAAACAATACAAGAGTTTGGTTTGACACCTCGCTTTTTTGCTCCAGTAAGTAATTGACACATTTTATAGAAGCGAATTTCTGATTTTAGATGACAGCCGGATTTTCAATCACACCCATACGGTCCTTCAAGAGAAAGGTCGCGTTTAACGATCGAGATCCGGTTTTTGATGCGTCGCTTCCCGTGATGAAAAAGTTGAGCTTTTACAACGACAAGTCGATATTTTATGTTTAGATTGGAAGTCGTAGAAACTACCGCACATCGACAAGTGCTTTCGAGAAGATTCGATTATGAAAATCAAGTAGTGGACGAAGTGATGGTTTTCGACGCAAAGTCAGTATCTCCATCTTTCAGAAACAACTGAAATGCTTCATTTCTTAAACTTTGTCATATCTTGCATTGCAAAATTGAATTCGAATGTTTAACTACAGTTTTTGTAAAAAAAACGAAACTTTTGCGGAGACAGGAATCGAACTGGGAAGTCAAAAACTTGTAATACGGTGACACTACCATTTGGCCATGCAGTCAGTGGAAAGGGTTGCATGTGTAAGCAGATTTGGAATCAGCGTAAAATTCTGCGTCGAACGGCATAGGTCTCATTTTGATCGGTCATCTGGGCCAGACAACCTTTCCTTGTGAGAATAAAGTTTATACTAGCATTCCGATAACTTCTGTATTTTTAGAATGGAAGATGCGCCAAAGAAAAAAACGAGGGAAATCGAGAAAACTGAACCACTTCCGCGAGAAGGGCCATTACCGTCAGAATTGACCACTCGTCCACTCGAAGGAGGACCAATCGATGTGGTGGCTTCGAAGGGACCTGGTGCCTCTATTCGCATGATTTCTAGTACGTTTGCTTTAATATTCCAAATCACTGCATTCAATGGGGACTGTTTTTTTAAACATAGTTTTTAGAAAGTGGCGGTTTGATGACTATTGTGAAACCATCGTCCTGCAAAGTGGCTGTTGTACCTTTGGATTTTCCAGATGATCTTGAAACGGTAATTACCTAGTTTGATTAACCTCATCATTACGTTTATTTTCGAATTTTCTCGAGGACACCATATGCAGCAATGTGAAGTTTTCAAGAGCTACTATCCAACACCAGGATGAAGATTGCAACACGAAAACGTTATTTGTTCAACCATCGGGCGACTTTCAAGGACTCATCAACTCTTACATTCGTGTCCACGATTTATGTGAATTTTGGGTTTTAAAAGAAAGCAACTAGATACTTTAGATGACAAGGAATCTCAAGCGAGGCTATGGACTTTGTGCGCCCTTCTTTTCAAGAAAAATGAAACAACTTTGGGTATAATCATTACTCTGGGTGATCGATATTTTCAAGCGTTTAGAAGAATGGCATATCGAAAGAGCGCAAATGATGGGATCTTGGATTCAAAAGGTGCTCCGGGATGAAGAAGCAAACACTTTGTGGGAATACGTTTCAAGGGGGAAATTTGACGAGGTTATTGATATAGTTTCTATTAAAATCATTTTGGTCTTTAGTTGCCCTTTTCTTGTTTACAACGATTTGTTGTGTCCGCCTCCTTACCATTGTGTCATGACACGAATGTTCGTTCGAAAGCGCGAAAGCAGGTTTCAACCCCCTAATTTTCAGCTTTCAATGAAGCTCTTTAGATTGACTATTGGCTCAACAATCGTCAATTGGATCTGGTAAATCAAGATGAGCTTAAAACGTATATGGTGATTGCTGGCATGAGGAAACTAACATGGAAACGAGCATCTGGAGAGTACGAGTTCGTTAACATCTATTCGGGACTACACTGGCTTCAGGTAATAAATTTATTAATTTTCAGTATACTTCAGCTAATGAATTAAATGTTTTTAGGCTTTCGGTCTTCATGTTTGGTATCTGGGCGAAGAAGATGAGCCGATTTCCAGATCAGTCGACAGGCTAATTGTGAGTGATTCAAGGAACATTAAAATCTATCTGTTACCAGGAAGATGCGAATGATCAACTGTTGATGCTTCCAATTCGAGATCCTGCGTGGGAGCTTATTCGTTTTGCCGGTGCCGAACATCATCGACCAATTGAGCCCTGTCTTGAAGCTGCCCAATTTTGTACTTCATGGGTTTCAGACTTTTACCCAAGGTGGATTTCACAAATCTTTCTGTAACAATTTAAGTCTTTAGTTGGCACATGTGGGCTGTGATTCAGACAGCTGGCAATTGGAAGATGGATCCGGTAGCCGAAGAAAAGCTCCACCGACAATATGCAGCTCAACTTGTGTCTTGTGGCTCCTTACATTTGGCCGTGTTTGTCCTCTCACACATCCAAAATGAAATCAAGTAAGAAAATTGATTATAAACTTGTATAATTGTCACTTTGAGTCGTACCTTGGCAATTCAATCGCTTTTGATTGCTGAGGTTGCTTCCTTGAATGATGCGTTGATCAATAAGATGATGTCTCTTGTCAAAATTCCCGACAAGCTTATCTACACGGCCCTAGCTCTTCACGCAAAGGTAGTTGTATAGGAGTTTGTATTTTTAATTGTTTTAGTTTTAGTTAAACTTCAAAGCTGACGATGAATTTGAATATCACGTAAAAGCGAAAAATTGGACCGATGCAGAGAGTTTATTCGTGAATAAACTGGGGCGAGAGGCGATTCTATTGGGTTTGGAGCATTCCTACTACCTTGTATAATTGTCACTTTGAGTCATACCTTGGCAATTCAATGACTTTTGATTGCTGAAGTTCAAAGATTTTTTCAGGTGATTGCAAACGATTGAGTAGCCTTACTGAAAAGCTTAAATCCGATTTGAGCATAGAACAAGTAAGAATTTGTGTTTTTTTCGCTAATAAGTGTCTTTCCAGAGATGGTGTCCAAGAACGTTGTTATTCGCGGAGTACTCTTACTTACTCGTAATTGTTGCGTCAAAAGGTGAAAAAATAAGTTCAGAGGTATTACAAGACGTCAAAAGACCTATACAAGTAGAAATTTTAGTTGGTTCAATTATGCAACTCTATTGATGAACGTTTGGATGGAGAAGAACATTTAAAAGCACCCTTCAAGTAAGTTCGTGCTAGTTGGTCAATTTATATGGTGTCAATTTTTAGAGAAATCGCAACTACGATCGCCTTATACGTAGCGACGCTTCGTGCAACAATTGGCGCTCCAAGTTGGATGCAGGGATCAGCTGCCGGAAAAAGATGTGTACGATTTGGTTTCTCCACGGCCGATATGGGCAAAATAAATAGGTTTGCATTCGCTTTTAATAATCGTAAGGAGTAGAATCTTAAAAAGCTTGAAAATGAGAGTTGGTAGCTATCAAAAACATACTTTAACGTTTGAACTTTGTTTAGACTTTTGAGGAACGCAGAGGCTCCGTGAGCATGACAATCCCATGACAAAGTTGATCTCAAACCTAGGATATTCTATTTTTTCTTTTTCGATGTGTTATTTTATTGCTTATGTATTCTTTTCAATATACGGGATTTTATGCCACTCAATTTCGAAAGTTGTATATCAGTGTGGATTGCAGTATTCTTATGAACCTATTTAGAAGTTTGTTAGCTGTCGTTTTTTTTATAAATTGTCAAAGTTATCCAGCATGAAAGTAGGCCAGAAAGAAAAGAACACGCTGAAAGGATTGAATTGGATGACCTTGATTGGGTTTCTTTCTTGAGATCCGATCCATCGATATCCGCCTCTAGGCGACAAATGCTATTTGACTCGAAATATTTTGTCAACATTCAGTAAAATATTCTGTAGCTAGTACATATTGTTTCTCTTTCTGAAAGATGCCTGTTCGAATCGTGATTATTGGAAGTGGTCCAACGGCACTTGGAGCAGCTCTTCGATTAAATGAGCTGCAAATTGAAGGAGGGCTAGATTTAGAGGTTTAGTGAAGCCAAGAAACTTGAGAATTTTCAGTACTTTGAGCTACATATTTGACTAGTTTTTGAACTGTAGCAATTGAATTTAGATCTCGATTCTCGAGAAAGAGGACGCAGTCGGTGGCTTGGCCAGTTCGGTCACTGACAAGCGGGGATTCACGTGGGATTTGGGCGTACATGTAACCGGTTAGGGTTTTTGTAAATTCAAAAAATCTGCAATTTCTGACAATGATCATAACTTTTGAATGTTGTTCTTTCTTTCAACAGCTTGTTTAAATCTTATACCCCAAAGAATATCTCTTGAGGTGGAAGCAAATACACGGATTTCATCTCGACGATCAATGAAGCGGTCGGCGAATGGAATGAAATACCGAGATGTGTCAAGGTGGAGATGGGTTACGGTAGAAAAAAAGCGCAAAATAGCTATCAAACCAGGATTTTTAGCTCTGATTTCTTTATGGCACTTAGAAAGCTGACAGAATATTCTGTACAAGATTTATTTAGGCCAATATGAGCCACATCATCCAGGCTGAGGCCCCAATGGAAAACTACATACCCTACCCTGTGCAAGACTCGATTCCATATTTCCCCGATTATGGTAAATTATAGAATTAGAGAATTAGAGAATTAGAGAATTAAAAGATCAAAAAATCTAGAAAAAGCTTGCTGCTTGGCGGATATCGAGAAAATCGAAGCTGAAAATTCACAGGTAGCAATTACTGATCGTTACATGAAGATTTTTAAACTTAAGAATATTTATTTGCCTAAAAAACAAATAAAATTAATTATCGAAATGGATAATGAGTGCAGTTAATGGGGGTGGGACAAATGCGACCTTTTTTTTGCGCACCTGGACATTTGCGCACCTTTTTTTTGGAAAAGGCCTTAGGAAAGGTCGTAGAGCTTCAAAAATGTTTTCACAGAAGGGAATCATATGCGTAGATTCCGAATTTCGACAAATCAGACCTCGCTGACACGTCAAATTTGGGCTAAAAGGCAAAAACTATGCAACTTAACGCTTTTCCGCAGTTTTTGCCTTTTAGCCCAAATTTGACGTGTCAGCGAGGTCTGATTTGTCGAAATTCGGAATCTACGCATATGATTCCCTTCTGTGAAAACATTTTTGAAGCTCTACGACCTTTCCTAAGGCCTTTTCCAAAAAAAAGGTGCGCAAATGTCCAGGTGCGCAAAAAAAAGGTCGCATTTGTCCCACCCCCCGGTTAATACGAAGAAAAATTTCGATTTCTCCCAGGTGGCTCCACAAAATTTTGCCGAATTCTCTCGAAAAGTCTTCGGCGAGACTCTCCAAGAACTCTTCATTCGGCCATATAATGAAAAGGTTTACTTCTATAAATGACGATTACTGGCTTTTCAACATTTTAAGACATTTATAACATTTTATGAGAACATTTACACAATGTACTCCCAACAATTCACTTTCACTCACTGATTAAGGCAAATACAGTCGAACTTCCATATAACGAACATTCGATACAGCGAATTCGAAATTCTAAAACGTGCCCAAAATTTTTGCGTAGTTGCCCCAGCCAAATGCAATCAGTGCCCGTCCAGGGCAGTTACGCAGAAATTTTGAGGCACTTTTTAGGTTCGTTATATCGAAGTTTTCGGTCTAGAGAGATTCCTTATATCGAAGTTCGACTGTATCACAATTGAAAGCTGTTCACATTGAACTTGAAGCTGTTCACATTGAAGCATTTAGCATTCAACTTAAACTTGAGCGTAAATTTCAATTCAAAGCTTCAGTTGAAAAACACGTCTTATTTAACAATATCCGCAAATAAAAGCTAAATTTTTGTCTCTAGGTATGGACGATAGGCTTGGATGAGCTGAGCTGTGGATGGGTGGAGGGACGAGTGCCGCAACCAAATGGGAAAATGATGGCAAAACGGTGGGTTGCGAGAAAGTCGAGGCTTAAGTTAAGCTCTTGATGCTTAAATGAACGATTCTTTCGGTGAATTTTGAAAGTTTTGTGCTCTTTTTTCAAAACTTTCCTCTAAATCGAGCCTTTTTAGGTGCGCTCTTTCACTGTCCGAACTGCATGCGGAAGAGGAAAGCAAGCCTAGAGTCTTGTTCAGGTGAAACATTCGCTTCAAAGTTAAACTATTAAAGTCTATACTTTTAAAAGCTTAACTCATTTCAATACTCAACACATTTCCAAAGGTGTCAAGTCCAGTATTTTGGCTTGTAATCCTAGCCAAGAGTATTCATCCGACAGATTGGATCTCTTCTGAAGACATTTTAAAAAGACTTTCAATTTACTGTAGTGAAATACTATGTCAAATTGGAACACTAGGGCTATACAGTATATACTTTTAACCAAAAAAAAAAAACAATCAAGTAAGTCAATTTTCTAAAGCCCACTATGAAATTGTTCTGTTATTAAAAATCGTTTGAAACTTACAACTTAAAAGGGAATGGTTCAAAGTTAAGGTGACCGGTTTGGGATGAGTAATATTCGATAGATCTCATGATAAATATTGATGACCAAAAAAATGAGCTACCCAAAGTAACTCTACAACGAGAAATGCGGCCGACAAAAAAGCAAAAATGATGTTTTTTGACCCTCCTTGACGGAGTTGGAACTTTTTACTGAATCAATATTTTTGAATATTCTTTTTTGCATGTAATAGAACTTGAATGAAACTAAAAAATAGACTTTCATTAATTATAAAAACTTAAGATGTTCCTATAAAAAAAGTTCAGTAAACTTTGGCTAAAATCAATAGCTTTAAAATGTAAAATTTTATAAATACTTTGGAAATTAAATTTTACTCTTTTTAGTTTCATTCGAGTTCTATTACATGTAAAAAAGATTATTCAAAAATATTGATTCAGTAAAAAGCTCCAGCTCCGTCAAGGAGGGTCAAAAAACATCATTTTTGCTGCTTGTCGGCCCCATTTCTCGTTACTCGTTACGAAAGTAACTGTAGAGTTACTTTCGACAGCTAATTTTCTCATCATGAGATGTATCGAGGTATGAGGTATCACTAATCTCAAACGGTCACCTTAACTTTGGACCATTCCCTTGTTAGAACTCAAAAATTAGCCATTTCCAGATATCCGGCAAAGTTGAAAGGCGTCGGAGCGATGTGGAAGAGAATCACCGAGAAACTCCCGAAAAGTTGGGTTCATTTGGGGAAATCGGTGGAGAAAATCGATTCAAAGACAAGAACAGTAAGTGACGTGCAAAATAAAACACAATAAGTTGGGCACGCCGGTGCTTTTACGGGTTGAAGATGCGAAGGCAAGAGACGTTCGACGTGGTCGACCCCGGGGCCCGAACCCTCGACCTTTCGTTTACCGGCTGAACGCTCTAACAATGAGCTACAGAGACATTGATCCCATTGCCATGGTAGGGCCATATATATATATATCTTACTAACAGGTTTTCTGCTCGGATAAGTCGAAATTCGAGTACGATTATCTGATCTCAACGATGCCTCTTGTCGAGTTGGGACGGATCACCGGATTGGCGCCTGAGATTCAGCTGAAACACTCGAAAGTGAGGAAATGTGGATCGAAATGAAAATAGTGCTTTAGTATTGCTTAATATAACATAGAATTTAGAAGATCTTCTCGCAGGATCAGCATTTAGGTTATTGTAATTGTGGTTGACCATTTTGAAAAGTGAAAAATCTAGCAAGCTAATTTAGGTGACAGATTTCAATTGGAATATTTCAATTTATTTCAATTTAAGAATTGAATACATTACTTTAGACTTGCTTATCTTTATTTTTCTTTATTTTTCATTTCTTTGTCTGACTGCTTTCAACTAAAAACATCTGAACTTTCCTCTGCAGGTAGTGCTTGTTGGTTTGGGTCTCCGTCGACCTCAACCCGAAACACTCGAGAATTTCTCATGGGTCTACTTTCCGCAACCGGAAATCGTCTTCTATAGGTAAATTATGATTGTGATTATGAAAATATTGGGAAGTGAAGAGAGATATTGAGAGTTACGCTCGTGAGAGCCCTATTAAGTTTTATAAAACTTTCAATTACACTTGAAATCAATCAATTGTCAATCAATTGTCAATCAATTGTTGAAATCAATTGCCCAACATGAATGATCAAGTGATTCACATTGAAATTGCACATCTGGTTCCCTATCTCTCTCAATTTGGATCCTTATTTCTACAGATTTGGTTCCCTATCTCTCTCAATTTAGATCTTTAGCTCTACAGATTTGGACCCTTATCTCTCAATTTGGATCCTTCTCTCTACAGATTTGGTTCCCTATCTCTCTCAATTTGGATCCTTCTCTCTACAGATTTGGTTCCCTATCTCTCTCAATTTGGATCCTTCTCTCTACAGATTTGGTTCCCTATCTCTCTAAATTTGGTTTGTTATCTCTATAAATTTGTTACCTTATCTCTTTATCCTTGGTTCGTCATCTCTCTGAATTTGGTTCCTTATCTTTTTCTTCTACCCACCGATTTTAAGTTCAGCTGCCATTTTTAGTGCCTCTTAGCTTTGAATATCAATTATAGATTTTACGAATACTGAAAGCTTTCTTGAAATCTTTAATGTCTTTAATTTAAATGTTCAGATGCACGTTTCTCTCGAATTTCAACGAGTATCTCACCCCGAATGCAGCCGTTTTTTGGAGTGTCATTTGTGAAATCGGTCTCCCATCGAATAAGAAAATTGACGAAAAAGAAAAAATCGAGAAAACGATTGAAGGTTGTAAATAGATCTTCTACATATAAAGATCTATTTACAATTGAATTTTATATGTAGAAGATCTCCGCAATGCGCAAGAAATTGAAGGATTATTTGAGAAATTTGACAAGTTTGAAACAGATCCTAAGCTAACAAAAAGAAAATGAAAAAAATTGATCTATTTTACCTTTTAGTTTAATCTTTTAAGTAAAGTTGTTGAAATTTTCTTACATTTTTACATTACATACAAATTTTAGACTTAAAATCGGTGGGTATCCTGCGAGAAGATGTGCAAATCGTGTCGAAATGGATCCACTCACTCCCCTTTGGATACCCGATTCCCACAGTGAATCGAGATGATGAATTGAGGAAATGGCAACCGATTTTCGAATCGAAAAGGATTTACAGTAGAGGAAGGTCGATTTGGGGATTGGGAGACGAGAATTTAACAAAGCATTGATATCATAAAATGAACGCAAACTATGAACTCCTAGACATGGTTTTTCCTGAATTGTTTTCAAACTAAACAGACTAGGACAGGAGTCAGGGTCTGATCTTGCCCATCTTCCTCAAGTCCCTAAACCTGCCAGAACTCAGGCCTGGATTTATCCTTGGCTCCTGACCTGGCTTGGCCTTACAGCTTGGCCTTACAGCTTGGCCTTACAGCTTGGCCTTACAGCTTGGCCTTACAGCTTGGCCTTACAGCTTGGCCTTACAGCTTGGCCTTACAGCTTGGCCTTACAGCTTGGCCTTACAGCTTGGCCTTACAGCTTGGCCTTACAGCTTGGCCTTACAGCTTGGCCTTACAGCTTGGCTTTTTGAATCCTCCTAGTGGTGAATAAAAGGGATGTAGAAACAGCGTCAGAATAGAAAACGTTCAAAACAGCGCCGTCAAATTTCTCACAAACCAATCCGGTTCAATTTTTATACCAAAAATTCCTTGCATTCTTTGCTGTATGATGGGCAAAAAAGTTAATATTTCATCGATAAAATTAGCGCTAAAAATGTGTTTCAAGTGATACTCGGTTGGTTAACTGAATATCTTTAGAGACCCTAATTGAACCCTAATTTTTTTCTATGAAATATTAACTTTTTTTAAAAACTGTTTCACACATCATACAGCAAAGAATGCAAGGAATTTTTGGTATAAAAATAGAACCGGCTTGGTTTGTGAGAAATTTAACGGTGTTGCTTTGAACATTTTCTATTCTGGCGCTGTTTTAATTACGTTCCGAATAAAAGTCGAACTTTTTTAAGGCAACAAAATTCAACTAACATTCGTTTTTAACCTTTCTTTTGCAAGGAAATCTTTAGATTTGGTTCTTGGAAATACGAGGTGGCCAATCAGGATCACTCGTTCACAATGGGACGACAAGTGATCGATCGAATATTTATGGGCGAAGAGGAGACTGTGCATGGGAAATGAATCGAATGCTGATAAAAATATTGAAATCTAAACTAATAAACTTTATATAAGAACGATAAAAGTGATCCAATCAATGCTTACATTGAGCTTTCAAAGCTTTGAACAGCGACAATCTTGAAATTTTCTTTTTTCTTGTCAAACGAACCTTTAGCTTTTGGTTTTGATCTTCGATAGAGGCTAGAGTTTCTTCAAAATTTCGATTCGCGATCAATTAATTAATCGATTAAAGTTTGAAAATAAACGGTACAAAAAGAAAGGAAATGATTTTCTGGACAGCTTAGGCTCTTCTGGACAGCTTAGACTCTTCTGGACAGCTTAGACTCTTCTGGACAGCTTAGGCTCTTCTGGACAGCTTAGACTCTTCTGGACAGCTTAGGCTCTTCTGAACAGCTTAGGCTCTTCTGGACAGTTTAGGCTCTTCCGGACAGCTTAGGCTCTTCCGGACAGCTCTTATTGAAGTGCTTCTTAAACGTAGCGCTGATATTTAAACTCCAAGAGAATTTACCGAAAACTTTATTCCGAAAAAAAAGAACGCACAATGCTCTTACTATTTGCGTGGACTTTTTATTTTGTATGTTCTTTTTTGGCGAGAGAAATCACAAAAATTTGAAGTTAGAGAGAAAATTTGAAAAGAGAAGGCCATTTTCGTTTTTTGGGGGGGGGTTGAAAAAGAGATTTTAAAGCTGATATTTAAACTTTAAAAGCACACTAAAACAATTTCTATTGTGTACATCTAGAGAAAAAGGATTAGGGAAGAGAAATGAAAAAAAATGATTATTCTATAGCCATTTTATTTTTCGGTGTTTGAAAAAGGGGGGAGGGGGAAATAAAATGAGAGATGGGTAAAGGTTTGAAATTGTTTTTTCGTTTCTAATTTTCGTTTATGAGAAATTTCAAATTGAAATCAAACTTTTGCCCTTTGTTTTTTTAACCGAATGATTTGAGGAAAGGAAAAACAAAAAATGATAAAATTTTCTGTTTTTGTAGAAGATGCGGGATGGCCATTGGGAGACGGGCGAAAGGTTTATTCGTCGGGGAATGGACCAGCGAGCACCTGGAAATTGCAGATCGTTTAAAACACTGAAATTATGTAAATACTAGCCGATTTCTCTGGCTAGATGATTTGTCGTTGTAGCGCAGCCAGGAGTGCGCTTGTCTACACTTGTCTACGCTTGTCTACGCTTATCTATGCTTGTCTACACTTGTCTACGCTTGTCTACGCTTGTCTATGCTTGTCTATGCTTGTCTTTGCTTGTCTACGCTTGTCTACGCTTGTCTACGCTTGTCTACGATCCGGGTTTGACCCCCCGTAGTGCCACTCAATTCTCAAAGCCCGTACAGACAGACAGACACTGTAGAGATTTATAGTAGATATAGTAGTAGATCTTTTTTATATAGATCTTTTATATAGATCTTTATATAGATATTTATATAGATATTTATATAGATATTTATATAGATATTTATATAGATATTTATAAAGATCTTTTATATAGATCTTCTATATAGATCTTTATATAGATGAGATTCAACCTTGATACCTGAATACTTATCTCTATGCTATGCTATGCTATGTATCTCTATGCTAGTTGCTATGTATCTCTATGCTGCTATGCTAGTTTGTCAAATGACTCAGATTCACAATATCTTTGCAAGTCTCAAGTTTAAAACTGGAGTTTATAAGTCTCAAGTTTGCAACAACACAAGTTATTTTTAACTTGCGAAGACACGAAAAGTTTAACTATAGTTTAACTATAGTTTAACTATAGTTTAACTATAGTTTAACTATAGTTTAACTATAAGACAAGTCTCTTGTCTCATTACGATATATTGAAAGTGTTCAGACAAACCATTTAGACTCAATAACGATTCAAATTCTGTATTAAAGCTAAAGAAATTCCACTGAAGCTAAAGATATTCTCAGAGAAAAGTCTAAGACTTTACAGACAAATCTTCAAGTTTTAGTTTTAGTTTTTAGGAAGTGGAGAGATTGGAAAAACCTATTGATTAAATATTATTAGGTCTTTTCAAAGCAAAGCTAGCAACTACATTTATTGAGAGAATCTTTCAGATCTTTCATTTCAGAATCAAGGATTTCCTTCTAAACTTCTAGTCTTTTATATTTCTAACTAATCTCTGCAAACCTTCTTCACGAAGTTGTTGTAGTCGACCATTCCTTCGCCATCTTCGACTCCCTTCATGATCTCGTCGACCTGGAAATGAAGGATTTTAAAGCTTCAAAAATCTCAGACACTATGTTCTTTGCTGGCTTTTACAATTTCTAGATTTTGACTCGACTAGGAATATCTTTTTCGTTGTTTCCCAGTGCTTAACGTTACAAAATCCAATTCTTGACCTACTACATGAATCAAAAGCTTCTTCAAAATGAGTTAATCAAAGTTTTGAATACCTTCAAAAATAACAAGTTTGCAAGCATTACTCGTATCGATCAAGCACTCTACCCAATCCATCTTTCTCCTTCAAAATCGAACTCTAACTCTAACTCAAACTCCTCGAATCCACAACCATTCTTTCCCAATCCCTTTTCTCTCAATCGATGTTCGTTTAGATGATCCGAAGTTTCCTTTTCTTTTTCCATTTGATGAATCCATCAAGCGGGTCCCCCACTTTTTTCTCGTGAAAAGGAATTCACCAGTTTTTTTCTTCTTCTCTCTTTTCTTTTTTCCTATTGCTCGAGTACTTGGAATCACCGCCCCGGGGAGGCGTCAGTTGTTATTCGAAAAAGAGAAAAGCATCTCTTTTTGATCTCTTTTTGATCTCTCTATGCTCTAATATCTTTTCTCTAACCTATCTCTTCTAATCTTTTCCCAATCTTTCCATTCTACCCGATTTCTCTTCTAAGCAATTGCCAACTGCGGTTGCAAAGAGGAGAACTTCCCGAAGAAAAGGCCATTCACCCAAGTCCAATCACTTATCTAGTAAACTTAGAGAAAGGAATTGAGTGTTGAAAGGAATTGAATCATTTATAGAATTACAATTGCTTTTATAAGTTGTAAGCTTTGATTGTAAGCTACAAAAGTTGTAAGCTTTGATTGAAAGATAGAAATTAGATTTTTGAGAACAGAGCTGAGCCAATGATAACCTTCTCGTATCGAATGCATTTTTGAATACTAATCTCATAGCAGACGGGTATATTATTCAAAAATTGCTCGCTTTGAATGCGTCAATGTTGAAATTTTGGTTTCTGCTAGCTTTGAGCGGTTTATCGTTGATTTTTAACGATCGTAGCTCGTGCTTTGTCGAAAAATGTTATAGCTTTCAAAATAAGGAAAATCAACTCCCATTTCTATAGATTTGTATCAGGAGTATCTAATTTCTTAAAAGCTTTTGATCATTTTTGAATTGGGATCGATTCCAACAAATAATCATGGCTTAGGTGAACTATTTTGAACTATTGATTATCGATTTCAAATCGATTTTATGCGTTACCTCATCCTTGGTGAGCCTCTCACCGAGGGCCATGAGGGCGTGCCTGATCTCAGCTCCCAAGATTCTTCCGCACTCCTCCTTGTCGTACACCTAGAATATATTTATGATTTAGACTCGTTTTATTTAGATTTAAATCTGAAGACTCGTTAGTCCGACAGTTTTTTCAAAAAGATTTTTGACAAAAAGACAAAAGTGAGCTCAAAAACTGTAAGAGTAAGAGAAAACTGTAAAAGAATAAAGTTAAAGTTGGAAATTACATATCTGGTTTCTCATTGTTAATCAAATAAAGTAGATTTTTCTAATAAAATAATAGCCTGCTATCTGATATCCCTAGAATTCTCAAACTATAGTCTTTCTAGCGTTAACTATACTCTTTCTTGTGCTACAAGCAAGCTTATAGCCTACAGTAACCTACAATAAACAACTACAGCCTACAGTAACCTGCAATAGACGCTTACAGCCTACAGTAACCTGCAATAGACACTTACAGCCTACAGTAACCCGGGTTTACTGTAGAATCAATCAAACTATAAGTAAGTAGGACTACTGTAACACATTCTGTACTTTGTAGAGATCTTTCACAAAAGAGGAACTCCCTAGCTTCTATTTATGAGTAACAGTCACTTCTTTTAAACTACAGTAACCCTACAGTAACCCTAGAGTAATCCTAGAGTATTTAGCCACAGTACTACTGTATTCCAGTATTGTATCAGTACCATAGTCCTTCCTCATCCTTCCTCACCTTCAAACCCTCAACGAAATCGGCTTGTCCTCCTTGGGCTTTCTCTCCCTTCAATTGCTCGTACATTGGGAGGAATTCCTCGAATGTGATTCGCTTCTGACCCACTCGCTGGAATAGGAAAATACAGATATTGTTTTGATTGATTGAATAAAATTTGTTTGAATAAATATACTTTATATTCTCAGCAAATTTATCTATAATTTGTTAAAGAATATTGCAATGAAAAGTAGTAATATTTCTTCAGTTTAAAGAATGGAAAAAAAATCTCCTTAAGATTGAAATCTTTTTTTAAAAATGAGTTTATTCTTTTTGCATACTTTGAACAGCTGCTTCTTCTAAGATTATCCGATCAATTTCTATAAGTTTTTGAGTTGTAGAGCTAGATTGTAGAGATTTGTATAACTTTTCGACTTGTTTAGCTAGATTGTAGAGTTTTGTATAACTTCTCGACTTGTTTAGCAGAGATTTGTAGAGATTTCGATAACTTTTTAACACTTTCCCCACCTTGTACTCCTCTCCGGCAGCCTTGTTCACTTGAGCGTTCGTCACTTTGAGACCAGCCGCTCGGGAGACGGCTCCAATCTAGAGATTTCAAAATTACAAATCTTTCTTTTATTTTATGTTTCTTTTAAACCTAACGAATCCTTTAATCCAAAAGTTTCTGTTGAAAATAGTTTATTTTTGTTTTTTCAAAGTTTTGTCACTGCTTTCAGCACTCGTTCGGGTTGTTAATCCCTTTCGAATCTGATTGTCTTTAAAAAAAATCGATTTAAACATAATGGTTCCATTATTTTTGAAATCGTTTTCTTTATTTTCTTTATTTACTTTATTGATTTCATTTTCAAATCGATTTAAAGCTCATGGATTATCTAGATGAATCTAAAGCTCATGGATTTGCAGATGAAATTCGGTTTTTCCAGTTCCCGATTTTTCCAGCTTACAAGTTAAATGTTTAGCCTTATTTAGCCTTAGACGTTTAGCCTAGATACTCAATGATACAGTTCAACTATTCAACTTTATCCAATCGCTTTTCTTTCCACCTGTGTGCCATCGATTTTTCCATCAAGTTCCTCGTCGTAGAGGTTGAAGATCTCACGCAATTGATCGGGGCTGGGGGCCATCTCGCACCTTCTCGCTTAATGGAATGGGGATACCCTGGAAATTGGGAAAATCGAAGGATTGAAACGAAGGATCGACATTGGAAAGATATTTTGAAAAGACTTAGTAGAAAAATGAATCCAAAGTCCATCCATATCAGTTGGAATCAACGAAAGCGGCTTGAAGGGAGAATAGTGGGTTTCTTTGAAAACTAGAAACTCAAAGAATACTGGAGAAGTTAAGACAAGACAAGCTGCTAATGGGTAAGCTTAATAGATCAAGAGTGTTCTAAAAAATGTTATTATTTACTATTACTTTATTCTTTGTTCAAGAATAAGCTCAAAGTTGAAACAAAAGCGTTTATCAAGAAATAGAATCCTAGAATCAGATTCCTAGAATCGAAAAAGCTTAGAAAGTTCGAAAATAGATAAAGATTACTTCTGATTTGGATAGAGAAGATCATTTTAAGCCAGCTAGATCTGTTTGACAACTTTGAAATGGTTGTCAAACATTGAGGTTACCTAAGCCTAAACCATCTAAAGCTTTCCGACAAAGTTATCAACGGTTATGAAGTTATTAAAAGTCTCTAAAATCCTTGGATAAGATTAGAATAACAAGAATTAGAATTAAGATATAACAAGTAATCAAATCATAATCAGAAGCTCAACAAGATTCAAGAAAAGAGTCAGTCGAGAAGTCAGTCGAAAAGTACTTTCAAAGTTTTCAGGGCCTTCTCTAGCATGATCGTATTGTGTGAAGTGTATGGGTGGGATGGGGCTTGTTGAGGGGCTTGTTGAGGAGGGAAGATGCCGATCGTTTCAGAGGAGAGATTGGCAAAAGACGAAGAATTGGGCTGAGGGAGGGAGGGGGAGGCGTGTTACACTCCTGCGGCACTCCCCTCCCCTCCCCTCCCTTCTCCTCCCCTCAGGCCAACGCTGAGGCTCTCGGAAAAGAGCACGAGCCACCGGCATTTCTCTGATTCTCATCTGCACAATCTATCTCCTCTAAGACCAAGGTTTTTGTGTCTCTAAAACCTCTATGATCCTCTATGACCATTCGATTGCCTGATCTCTCTGCCTGATCTGCCTGATCACCCCAATCTAGCTGGATTCCTTTTTTTCTTTGGATACAGCGAGCCTCACTGAATCCCCAGGATCCTGAGAGTTGTCTGATTTCTCTAATCTTCTCAATCTATCCAATTTCTAGGATTTCTTTAAAATCCATTGAAAGACTAAGTCTCTAAAGAATCCAAAAATCTCGCCGACTTCCTAGCTTTCGATCACTCGATCTTTCCCCCTCCAAGTGTTCTCGAATCACTCTACTTTTCTAAAACACCCAATCTATCACTTACTAGAGAATCGAGCCATTGTTGCCCTTACATCTTCAAGCTTTCCACGATCTCTCGCTCTTCAATAGCCCATCCTTTCTCTCAAACCTTTAAGTCCATCGAAATCTCGCAGCAGGAACTGTTGTCGGACTTGCTAAAGTCTCTCCACATCCCCAATCTCTTTTCTTGTCTAGGTGATCGAGTTGTCCTTTTCATTCGTCAGCTATCTCTAAGCTCTCTAAAAATCTCGGCTATTCAAGAATCTGTTACTCAAGAATCAAGTAGTAGTCAAGTAGCTTCTAGATAGATTCTAATTGTAGCTCTCTGACTTGATATCTGAAGTTTAGCGGAATTAGCGGAAACTTTTATGTTGAAGGAAATGTCACTAACAAAACCTTGTGAAATTAGGGGATCAAGGCTCTTTTGAAGTGGTTAACTTTCAAACAAAAATGTTCAAAATCCAGTTTTTAAAGCACAATTTGAAAACAAGAATTAATACAAAAGTAAAACAAAAGTAAAAGTAAAACAAAAGTAAGACAAGAATCAATACAAACGATATCTAGAAGGTAATCAACAAATATAAAAGATTTTCAAGAAAATTGTTTAAGGAAGAAGTCGAAATGTAAATGAAATCATAAATAAAACATTTTTTCTGTTGTAAAAAGATTACCGAAATAAGAACAACGACAAAAGTTCTCAGCGGCCGAGATTTACTTGAAGCAAATGCCCCGAGATCAAGCAGGATGGGCTATTGAAAAAAAAAAGAGAAAATGAGAGAGGAGACTGATCACTTTTTCGCTTTTCTTCTTTCTTTTCAATCTTTTCTTTTCCTTGAAAAGGATCCATTGAGCTGCTTGAGAATGGATCAACTTGGAGGAAAAAAGAATTGGGGAAAAGAATGAGAAAGAGAATGAGAAAGAGAAGCTTTACCTTGAAGACTTAGAGGAAGGGGAAGGGCATAAAAAATGGGGAACTGAAAACTCGGAAAAGCTCACTTAATTGATTGAGGCATCGATTTACCCTGAAGACTTGAATGGCTAGTTGAGTGACATTGGAAAAGGTGGACTTAAACTTGAGTTTAACTTAATTTAAACGGCTATGTTAACAGTTAAATACATTAAAAGATCAATCTAGACTACTAGCCATTACTTTTGACATCAAAAATTGAAATGAGGGGCGATTCTTGAAGAGAAGTGATAAACGACATTAAACAGAAAATAAAACTGCAGTTGACTCTTGATATAAGTTGGTTTGCTCGGGACCCGGCGAATCTGTCGTCGTGGCGCAGTCGGGAAGGGGGTGGTCTTTGAGCGGGACGTCTACGCCAGCCCGAGGGCTCGACCCTCCGTGGTGTCACTTTCGGCTCTTTTTCCTTTTAGTTGTATTATATTTTGAGACTTTTAAAGAAAGTTATAGCTTTTATCGACCATCGTTAGATCGAAAGTCGACTGTACTGTTTTCTCTTTAAAAAATGCTCCTACATTTACCCAAACTGACTAACTGTTAGCTGAGATATTGAGAAACTAGAAGCCAAAAGCATTTTGTAGAAATCCTATAGAGAAATCCTATTTCACCGTTCCCCAACACACTCCACGATCAGTTGTTCGGCTCCTCTCCTAGAGGTTCAATCAAAAGTTACATCAAAGGTTGACTCATGTCTTGGACATCATCATCTTAAACATCATCTTAGAGGTTGACTGTTTGACAAAGTCACAGTGATTTTGAATGAACACTTGAATGAGCAAATCCAAGGACGTCTTTCAGATTGAATAACTCGGGGCGCAAATTCTTTCCAATCAAATTTTGACTCACAAATTCCACGCAAAAGTTCAAGCATTATCAAACTTTTAACAGCAAAAAAAAACAATTCCTTTTCTTTACCCCTTTGCATCGATTTCCCTGTCGACTTTTTGTGATCTTTTCCAGGATTCTCGGGTATTGCTTGAGGGAGTCAAGGTTTGGCCCTTTTTTTCCCTTTCTTTTCTTTTTCCATTTTTCTTTCTGGTTGTTACAATCATCCAGCCACCACGGTTTTTCTTTCTCGGATCGCTTTGAGGGAAAAAATGGGCACACGGCTAAGGGGAAATCGACTTGAGGAGAAAAAATGAGGTGTGCAATCGGTGGGGGGGAAAGGGGGAAAGTACCGAATTGAAGATTCAGGGAGTCTCGGATTGTGGGGAATTGATCGAGAAGGGTAAGTCGAGGAAAGATTTCAGATGAAATAGGTTTAAAGCTTGTAAAGGTAAAGTTTCTGTCTTTTTTAGTCTTTTTTTTTTACTCTTAACCATAAAATTGTTATATTTAATGTTGTATTGAAGCTGTGATTGGTGAAAAGAAAGATAAAAGCGCTTTTCAAAGTTCTTGATTTTAATTGAGTGATGGGAACTCTTCAGGAATTATTCATGGCTATAAAAAAGATTTACTATATTCAGTTGGGATAAGAACGTAAAATTTTATTTGTTATAATATATACCGTATTTCTCTAATAGTATTGCACTCTGGCAGCCGAGTTGGACTATTTTACAATTTCCAAGCTTTTGCACAAGCTCAACACTCAAATCCCCCACAAGATCACATCGTCAGCTACATTTTCTAACCCCACATCGATAGGTTCTGATAAGTGGTTCTCGAGATATCAAGGAATTTAGGCGACGCTCTTGGTGCACTACTATTAGAGAAAATACGGTCTAATATTTCTTATCTCTTATTTTATAATATTATAATTACAATTAGAATTATTTAATTTTAAAAAAACAAATGCCTAAGAATGTTTTCTTTACGTTTGCCATTCATTTGTTCACATCTCAATCCATTCGATCCATCCGTCCTTGTGCCAGGGATCTGCTTGCTTTCATTAAGTTATATTTTCAATTTCAGCTTTAAACAATTATTTTATTACTTAATAAACATCTTACACTCAAATCCCCCATAAAATCACATCGTCAGCTACATTTTCCGACCCCACATCGATAGGTTCTGATAAGCGGTTCTCGAGATTTCAAGGAATTTAGACAAGGCTCAGAGTGCACTACTATTAGAGAAAATACGGTAATTTTATATTATCATAAAAGACTTTTTGAGATACAAATAATGCTTAGAGTACTGTATTTTGAGTCTAGGCTTACCGTAAATCGTTATTAGAAAGCTATTAGGAAGCTGTAATATTAGTAAGACTTCTGGACTTTTACAAGGGTGATCAAAAAGTCTCACTTTACAAAAGAAACCCATTTTTTCAACTAAAACCCAAATCGAAAGACTTACAATATACCGTAATAATTCTAATAGAAGACCATGGTCTTCTAATTTTCAACCCCTTCCCCAAAGGGTCTTCTATTAGAGACTGGTCTTCTGTTAGAGACTGGTCTTCTAATTTTCAACCCCCTTCCCAAAGGGTCTTCTATTAGAGACTGGTCTTGAATTTGTCAAAGCTTTAGAGAACGATTTTAGGAAGCAACCCTTTTTAAAAATCAGTCACATTGTATCATCACTCTATTCACTTAGTTAAAGCAACAATTAACAACAATAACAACAAATAATTATTAACATAAAACATAAAACAATTTGAAAGGAGCAAATCCGTTAAAAAACCTCAATTTAATTTTCATTAATGTCATTGATTTCAATCGAGGCATCGCTTTCGTAATCCTTGTTTTCCTCCTCTTCGCCCAAATCAATTTCATCCAATAATTGAGCAACCATCTCATCATTTACCTCCAAATCGCTTCTGGATGACCGGATCAATTCGTTTCCGTGGCAAAAGAACAAAAGGCTTGCACTTGTAACCGTCGGAGCGCGCCGTAAGCATCACAGAAATTTTTGTCTTTTCATGTCCACTTGATCGAACTGAGACTTCATTTGCTCCTTTTTCATCAACACATTTTCCGCCAATTGGATCAAGGAAGACGGCCGTTTCATCACAAGCGTAGATGTGTGTGATTTGTTCTCCTTTTGCATCCGATTGAGATACATTACGAAATTGACCAACACATCAGCATATTCGTGGGGAGGCTTCTGACAGATTGACGTTGGAGTTCTCATTGAAAATCCATGACGCTTCATGAACTTTTGAAGCCATCCCAATGAACAATCGACTTTGATATCGTTTTTGCTCACAAAAACGCTTTGCTTTTTCTTGGACCAAACGCCTCGAGACCTTGTTTTTCTTCTGTCGTTCGCTTCGGACCCATTCGGCAAGTTCCACGTCGAGTTGCGTATTTGTGAGGGTTCGGCCACCTCCTGTTAACCTCTTGTATGATTTCCCCATCTTTCGCAATCGTTTTTCTTGCGAAATCCATTCGCGAATCATCTTTCTGCTGACTTGAAACTTTGTGCTTGCAACATTCTTTGAGATCGTCTTTGCAAATTCAATTGTTTCTAACTTAAACTCGATCGAATATGCCTTCCGTTTGTTTCCATTCTTGAGCAGTTCCGCTTCGAGAGCCTCCAAAGCATTCTCCGAATCTTGATTCATCTCGTTTTCATTCTCCTTTTTTCGTTCCTTGAAAATTTCAAAGTCGTCTCCTTCATCTTTTCGAATATCTCGATACTCCTCCAGAGAATCCGTGCGAATTGGCAGTCGCTCAGCCATCAGCCCTGAAAATAAACACATTATTTATTTTAAGACAAGAAACAAGAATTACAAAAAACACTAGTAGGAAAGAAATAATAACTTTGCACAATGATTTTTACAAGAAAATCTGGGTGGTAGCGGGATACGGTAACATCGTGCATTTTAAGAGTTTGGGTCTTCTATCAGAGACTGGTCTTCTATTAGAGACTGGTCTTCTAATAGAGACTGGTCTTCTATTTTTCAACCTCCCTTCAAAAGGGTCTTCTATTGGAGACTGGTCTTCTAATAGAGACTGGTCTTCTATTAGAATTATTACGGTAGCTTTTGCTTACTTTTAAACTTTGCTTTTGCTTTTGCTTACTTTTAAAGCTGAAATCCTAAGAAGCATTTCTACACTTAAACCATTGTGATCAGAGCCACCTAGCTCTACAAAGAAACATTGGAGTGCGCTTGAGGAAAACTGTCATCGCGCTCACCCTATTTAAATCGGTTTTCAAATGAAAAATCCTTCAAAAAGTCTTTTTAAATATATATTTTTGTTCTAAGTAACAGTTGAATTGTTATTTTAAAAGAATAAAGTCTCTCATCAAACGTAAAAAAAAATGTAAGATAGTCTTTAAAAACATGCGAAATTTTTGACTCAAATGTAGGCTTCTTGAAAAAAGCTATAAATTTGTGATCCGAGTGATTTACATTATAGAAAGAAATGTTCATCAATGCTTCAAAATACTCAGTTTTATTTTTTTCATTTTAAAAATGAAACATTTCCATGAATGGAAATGATTTTTTTTCATTTCCATGAATGAATTCCTTTTTTGATCACCCTATCATTTCCAATTTGTCCATTATTTCAAAGTTGTTTACAAGATGAGATTCTCAAGGAAATTCATTCATCTATCTTCTTCAAATAAAAGATCTTGACTCAAGTTCATGTAAAACGGGATGATGAATGGATTACTTTCGGTGAATCGGAAGAGATTGGCTGTCTTCTAGAGATTGGCTGTCTTCTAGAGATTGTTGTCTTCTAGAGATTGGCTGTCTTCTAGAGATTGGCTGTCTTCTAGAGATTGGCTGTCTTCTAGAGATTGGCTGTCTTCTAGAGATTTGCTGTCTTCTAGAGATTGGCTGTCTTCTAGAGATTGTTGTCTTCTAGAGATTGGCTGTCTTCTAGAGATTGGCTGTCTTCTAGAGATTGGCTGTCTTCTAGAGATTGGCTGTCTTCTAGAGATTGTTGTCTTCTAGAGATTGTTGTCTTCTAGAGATTGGCTGTCTTCTAGAGATTGGCTGTCTTCTAGAGATTGGCTGTCTTCTAGAGATTGGCTGTCTTCTAGAGATTGGCTGTCTTCTAGAGATTGGCTGTCTTCTAGAGATTGGCTGTCTTCTAGAGATTGGCTGTCTTCTAGAGATTGGCTGTCTTCTAGAGATTGGCTGTCTCCTAGAGATTTGCTGTCTTCTAGAGATTGTTGTCTTCTAGAGATTGATTGTCTTCTTATCACCCCTAGGATCTCCGTTTTTATGTTAGTATATCATAAAAAACGAATAAATATATTTTCATATTTGTAATAAATGGTAATTGAGTCTAATCAAAAAAGTGTCGTAAATTTTGAACAAACCTAAACGAATCTCAAAAGGAATTTCAGCCGGTGTTTACTCATTTCAAAATCATCTCACCGCGTTCTTTGACTCTAATTTCGCCAAAAGAGATCTCGAACAATTTTCTTCTTTCAACCATCCTCCTTTCAATCATCAATCTCATCATTTTCAGAGAGATTTCAATTTTTTTCGATTTATCATTTTACAATTTGTAAGTTTTTCATAAAAATGATCTTTTTTCTTTTATTCGTCTACTCTTTCTTCAATTATATTTTTGCTGGAGATTTTGTTGAGTAAGTGGAAAAGTAATGAAGTTTTTAAAATTCAATTTTTCTTTTATTTTTGTTAATTTAATTTCTTCAATAGAAATGATTTTCAAATTTTTGAAGAATTGGGGTTTTTTTGTGTGCTGAAAAGTTTTCATTTCAAAAATTAGCATTATCAAAAGGAAGACTTGTTTGTTTGGATTGTTTGGAGTTGAATTTTTATATGTCGCAGCCGCTCGTGATTTTCAGCCGCTAGTGATTGAATCACCAACGGCTAACCGCTAGTGATTCAATCACTAGCGGCTGAAAATCACGACCGGCTGCGACATATAAAAATTCAACTCCAAACAATCCAAACAAACAAGTCTTCCTTTTGATAATGGCTGCTACATATACAAATCTCGTTTAGTTCTTTAGTAGCTTTAAATTTGAATCTTGAATATTAAAAGCTAATCTAGCCTTAGAATTCATATTAAAAGCTTATTTTTTTGAATTTATTTTGCAGTATCCCGAAAAACGAGATCGGACCGTGCACTCTGTTGAACAATCGGATGAAATGCACAGGATACGGTCAGTGGGGGACAAGTTTTTTTGAAATCAATTAATAAGCCAAAAAATCCACCTAAAGACGGGCTTTTGACGCCGTGGCACAGTCGAGAGCGCGCTTGTCTACGGCTCACACGACCCAGTTTCGACTCCCGGCTGTGTCGTGACTTTTGCCTTTTGGAAAAACGAAATATTGGATGCACAACTACATAGAATTCTAAGCCTAATGAACTAAAAATTATGTAAATCCGTCAACTAGAAGCCGAGAACTCGCGCGTGCAGACAGACAGACGGACAGACAGACGGACGACAGACGGACAGACAGACGGACAGACAGACGGACAGACAGACGGACAGAAGACGGACAGACAGACGGACAGACAGACGGACAGACAGACGGACAGACAGACGGACAGACAGACGGACAGACAACGGACAGAAGACGGACAGACAGACGGACAGACGACGGACGACAGACGACAGACAGACGGACGGACAGACGGACAGACAGACGAACAGACAGACGGACGGACAGACGACGGACAGACAGACGGACAGACAGACGGACAGACAGACGGACAGACAGACACTTCCCTTTTATAGGTAGTAGATATAAAATTAGAAATTTTGAACTGATTGTATGTCTCACAGTCTCACAAAATCTTTAAATTACAAAAAGCTTACCAAAAAAGAAACCATTCAACTGATTACTTTTAAAATTTGAAAAGAAAACGAGCTTGTTAAGCCTTGGAGATAGCTAAGATAGCTTAAAGATTGAAAGGAAACTCTTTCTGACAAAAATTCCTCTATTAATCTTAAAATTCAGGATATTTTGAGCTAATCCAATGCGATAAAGCATCATGTTATTGTGTACAAGCAAACAATGGAGAGATTGCATTTGAGACAAAGACCCCAAATTCGAGAATGGCTCCAACGTGCTCGGGTTTGTCTTTCTTGCAAGTATTGAAGATATTAAACAGTTTACAGTTTGCTACAATCGTTTAAAACAACTCTACAGCAATGGGCAACCAGCAAAGAATGTCTGGATACCATTGTGTGATAATCGAAAAGGTCAGTTTCAAGTTAAAGCTTAGGTTAGCCGGACAATCTCTTTGAAAGCTTTATTTCCAGATTTCATTTCATTTAATGTATTCCTTTCAATTAATCAATTTCCTTTATTTAGGCGATTTTCAAAATATCCAGTGCACATCAAATCGCGAAAATTGTTTTTGTGTGGACAAGGAAACGGGAAATGAGGCAAAGAAAAAACAACAATTTTCTATTTAGCCCTGTAGCTTTAGTTACTCAGCTTTAGTTACTCAGCTTTAGTTATTCAGCTTTAATTACTCAGCTTTAATTCCTCAATAGTCACTCAATAGCTTTAGTTACTCCCAAATAAAAAAAAACATTAAAATCTTTTAAACATCTTTTAAAAATCCTTTAAAAAGATCATTTATTAAGTAATAAAATCATTGTTTAAAGCTGAAATTGAAAATATAACTTAATGAAAGCAAGCAGATCCCTGGCACAAGGACGGATGGATCGAATGGATTGAGATGTGAACAAATGAATGGTAAACGTAAAGAAAACATTCTTAGGCATTTGTTTTTTTTAAATTAAATAATTCTAATTGTAATTATAATATTATAAAATAAGAGATAAGAAATATTAGACCGTATTTTCTCTAATAGTAGTGCACCAAGAGCGTCGCCTAAATTCCTCGAAATCTCGAGAACCTCTTATCAGAACCTATCGATGTGAGATCGGAAAATGTAGCTGACGATGAGATTTAGTGGAGGATTTGAGTGTTGAGCTTCTGCGAAAGCTTGGAAACCGTAAAATAGTCCAACTCGGCCGCCAGGATGCACTACTATTAGAGAAAATACGGTATCTATCTTATAACAAACAAAATTTTACGTTCTTATCCCAACGTTTCAGATGAAGCAACGCAACGTGAACCAACGAAAGGATTAGTAAGTGATTTGTTTGGGTTTCTACTTTCAGTTGATTAGAGTGACGTAACCAATAAGTATAATTAATAAATCTTTCTTATAATGTCTTTGCTTATTCTTTGCTTATTCTTTAGAACGTAATTCCACTTGGTTCTCCATCGTGTCGTTTTGGGAAAGATCGAGGATATCGATGTGCGGAAACGACACCGATTGTTCAGGTTCAAACAACATTTCTTATCAATTAAAAATCGTTTTTATCTCAATGTTCAGTGGCATTTTGATGTGGAAACATTTCAATGCTTGGCCTTTGAATATCTGGGATGTGGGGGCAATCAGAATCGATTTCCAAATGAAAAAGAGTGCTCAACAACATGTAAATTTGGTGAGAAAAGAGTTTAGGACAAAAAGAAACACAAGTTTTTTCAAAAAAAGAAAACAATCAAATTATAGCTACCTATTATAAGTTGAATCATAATCAAAAAGACCATCTCATCGTCAAATGTAAGCGAGCTGTCGAAAATTGATTAGAGACAAATCAACTACAACTCTGTTGCCTTTAAAACATGACAACTTTCAGCTGATTTGAGCGGTTGTGCCGGCATGAAGTCTCCATCGAAAGATACACAAGGAAAAACCATCACTTGTGGACAAGTTGGTTCAAAACTTGGACGAGAAAGCGGCCTTATAGAAAGCCATGCGCCGGACGGCCACACAAAGAACAACTTGCGGTCCCTTTTCAAAGGGATTTCTTTTGTTTTGTAAACATTGCTCAGCTGACTTGGGAAAAGCATTAGGTCAAGGTGGCCTTTTAATACGATTCTTTATAGAATCGGCTATGCTGATTCCGAATATGTTATTACTTTTTTCAAAGGAGCTCTGTAACCCGAGATATCTAGCATCAAAGCTTAGGCCGATTTTCGGAGTCCTTATAAAGTTGTAACCTTTTTCTCTGTTGCTAAAAGAGAGAGCTTGTGGTGCAATGGATAGTGTGCTCGCCTCCAGAACAATCGCAGGTCCTTTCGCCCGGGTTCGAGTTCGCTCAGGCTGACTCCTTTTTATTTTTTTGAGAAAATTAGAATTGAATTTCACTATTTTGTGGAATTCAATTCAATTCCATTTTGCGTATTGAATTCCACAGCATAAGCAGTCCGTGAAATGGTGAATAATGCTCCAGCAACAAAAAAAAACATTTACGAACAAAGCATTTATGTTCCTAAATCATTTTTAAACATTTTTCGATTAATCTTAGTCAAAAAAAATCAAAGCTGATGTCATAAACATTTTCTAACCATTCTCTCAAAAAAAAAAAGCAAAATGAGTATACCGGGAGCGAACTCGAAGCTGGGCAAAGGAAATGGCGACGCTATCTACAGACGAGCTTACTATCCACTGCAACACTAGCTCTCTTATCTCCCACGACAAGAGAAAAAGCTTATAACGACTTCGAAAATCGCCCTAAACTTTGATACCAGATATCTCGCGTTACAGAGCTCCTTTGGAAAAAGTAAAAGCGTATTCAGAATGAGCATAGCCGATTCTATTGGGCTAATGAAAAAGTCCTTTCCGATTTTTTGGGAGAGTACCTTAAATTTGTCCAATTTTGACGTTTTATAGCTCATCATAAAGCTTCTGAAAATGCGTGTGTAGGGGTTATTTTTGACGCCGATCACGAAACACATGTTTTTAGCCTAGGTTTCTGCACGGAAAACTAACGAAACGTGAAAACAGCCATTTTTTGGCTCTGCCGCCCTTTACTAAAATAGCTGTAAAAACTTTTAGAAAAGAGATATCTCAAAACGGTTTTTACCAATCGATCTGTCGTCTTGAATTCAGCTTTAGGATGAGCGAGAAAACGTCAAAATTGGACAATTTTAAGGTACTCTCCCAAAAAATCGGAAAGGACTTTTCCATCAACCCAATATAAAGACCCGTGGCTCTCGTATTAAAAGGCGACCTTGACCTAATGCCATTCCTTAGTGAAGCCAAAAATTTGAAACTCAAATAAATTAGATTAAGCTTTGATTGGATTTTCAAAGTCCCTTTGCATTTTCTATTTTCTACAATCTTTTTTCTAGACCTTGATGAATGCACCCCATCTCTTTCCACCACCTCCACCTCAAATCGGGAATTTCCCTCAATTCTCGCGAAATCCCGATGATGAATGCCCAAAAGAGGACAAATGTGTGATTGGAGCATTCATTGGAGTGTGTTGTGATCGAGGAAATGAAGGTGAGAGCGGCTTAGGTGAGGCTTAGGTGAGCCTAAGCCTAACCCAGATTCAACTCGAGAACCGAGCAATGAAGCTGTAAGGAAAATGCCACACGTAGACCGAAAATCTTAAACCAAATCAAAATCAAATCAAATCTTTTCGTCAAGATCTACAATTTTTTTTTACTCTTAACCATAAAATTATTATTATTTAATGTTTGCTTTGATTGCTGGAAAGAGGTACAAAAAAGAGGTGACCAGAAATCACCGATCCTTTTTTTCTAGGCTTATATTTCTGTTATTTGTAGATCAAAAGGATTAGTTTCTTTTTTTAAATGAATATTCATATCGTTTCCTTCATAAATTCAAGATTTCATCACCCATAAAGCGATAGTTCATTTTTTATGAACACTCAAAAATAGCTGATCAAATTTAGGCAAAAAGAAAGATTTTGGTATTTAAAACTTTGATTTTTCTACGTTTTCTAGGGTAATCGATGACGCTGATCACGAATTTTATATTTAAAACGCGTGTTATCAATTCACTTTTCGAGTTATTGAACCTTTTAAGGAGTTCGAACAAATTTCCAATGCAGATCCAATGCAAATGAGGCTGGCGGTGTGCCAAGCCACCAGCCAGCCTCCAATATCCCTTCTGATCATTGGAGATACTCAAATCAAAACTCGACCATAATTTTATCAACATCCGACACTCAACCATCGTTAACTTTTTCAATCGAAAAAAAACCGATCACATACGCGCAACCCTAAAAGGCATAAGGGTTTAAGAAAATGCTCATGCTCATGCTCAAAGCTCAAAGAAATCAATAGCTAACAAAATAACAAAAAAAAAGAAAAATGGTAGTCCAAAAGGGCATTAAAACCATGCAATTACCTTAAAAAATGCTAAATTTGCACATAAAATGCGATTTTCGATTAAAAACCATGCAATTTGTTGGGGAAATTTCGAATAACTCGAAAAGTGAAAGGATATTGGAGGATATTGGAGGATCAGAAGGGATATTGGAGGCTGGCTGGTGGCTTGGCACACCGCCAGCCTCATTTGCCTTGGAAATTTCTTCGAACTCCTTAAAAGGTTCAATAACTCGAAAAGTGAATTGATAACACGCGTTTTAAACATCAGATTCGTGATCGGCGTCATCGATTACCCTAGAAAACGTAGAAAAATGTGAAAAATGTGGAAAGATGACAAAATTTAGATCCCTAAATCTTTATGTGATCAAACAAATAAAAAGGTGCCAAAATTGCTTTTCTTTCAATAAAAAGTATCAAAATTGCTTTTCTTTATAAAAAAATCCCAAAATTGCTTTACCTTTCAGAACTTTTCCAACGAAATTTCTGGCCAACTTGTCAATTCGGAAAACCCTTCCAATGGAATGATCATCAAGTTTTAATTGGTAAATTAAAAACAACTTAATAATTGAATAGTGAACTAGTTAACTGAATAGCTTAATTGAATGGCTTAATGGCTTAATTGGCTTAATTGAATGGCTTAATTGAATGGCTTAATTGAGTGGCTTAATCAAATAGCTAAATAGCTAAATAGCTGAATAGCCAAATAGCTGAATAACATTCATTATTATTAGCTTAGAAAATTTTTTATAAAAGATGCTTCAGGGAAAAGCTGCTCGGACAACTTTTGTCCCCGGGAAACAAGCTGTGAACAGGGATACTTCTTCGCGTATTGTTGCTCATTTTCTTCATAAATTGTTTAAGAAACTAATGATTTGAAGTCATTTCATTGTTTTCTTCACTGGGAAATCAAAAAATCCAATTTGATAAGCTCAAATTCGATTTTTTTGTTTGATAACTCAGAAATCTTTTCCCTCTTTCTAATCCTTTTTCTCTTTCTACCGTAATCTTGTCTATTTTTTGTTCAATTCACTTGTTATACCTTGTTATATCCTTTGTGAATAAATAGTTGAATTTGTGAAGTTTGAATGTGAATAAAAAACGCAAAGAATAAAAAAGTTTAAAAATTTTATTCAAAAATTTCTAGAAAACAAAAGAAATTTGGACTAGAAAGCATTCAGAAAACGGAAATTATTTGAGCAAATTTGAATTTAGACATTTCTTTTCAATGAAATGAAATTAAATGAATGAAATGAAATGAATGAAGTGAATTCAATCAAATCAATTCAATGAAATGAAATGAAATCAATTCAATCAATTCAATTCAATCAAATCAAATCAAATCAATGAAATGAAATGAAATCAATCAAATCAATCAAATCAATCAAAACAAATCAATTCAATTCAATTCAATCAATTCAATCAAATCAATCAAATCAATCAAATCAATCAAATCAATCAAAACAAATCAATTCAATTCAATTCAAATCAATCAAATCAATTCAATTCAATTCAATTCAATCAAATCAATCAAATCAATCAAATCAATCAAAACAAATCAATTCAATCAATTCAATTCAATCAATTCAATCAATTCAATCAAATCAATCAAATCAAATCATTTTTCGTTTTAAAATCTCAATAAATTGTCATGGTTTAAAGAAATAAATCAATTTTTTTTTTTTAGAAGAAAAGAGATAAAATTTTTCGGAGATTGTTGGTCCCAGCACAGAAAAAGAAACGGTAAATGGAGGGAAATCAATTTTAGAAGATTCATTCTTTGATAGAAAACGTGAAATTAAAGACAAATACTTTGAAACACGATTTATTTCAAAAATTTCTCTCAAAATTCAAAGTTTTCTTTGAAAGAAAATGAGGGAAAAACATTTTTTGTTTTTTTTGAAAAATTTCTAAACACATAAATCTAGTGCCATGAAATTCGATTTTTATTAGATAAATCGAACTTTCAGTGCACTAGCTCCTGTGCGTTTACGTTAAAAGTTGAATTTCCTCATTTCCTTTTCATAAAATAAAGTAAATTGAAGAAGAAATCGTCAAAATTGTGGAGAGAAATGTCTCGGTTTTTTTGGGGATCATAAAAAAAGAGAAATAAAGGTGAGTCCCATTGAAAAAACGATCAAACTACGATAAAACGATAATAAAACCATCAATTTCCCTTTAATCAACTCAATTTTGATGTTATTTGACTAAACTTTGTGATAAAATCAAATCAAATCAAAATCAAAATTGAAGCTCAGAGAATCCAGCTATTAGTTGAAGCAACTAATCTCCAGCATTCTCTATTTTCTCTAAATTATCGATGCCTTTTTACAAAATAATTACCTTCAGGGAAACACTCTTTTAAAAATGAGATTCTAAATGAAAATGGAAAACGAAAAGCTTCTCAATTTTAGTTTTATCAGACGCCTTTTCCTTTTCCAATTGACAATCCAACTTTAAGCTCAAATATCTTTGTATTGAGCTATCCAATTTCAATATTCTTGTATTCATTAGATGAGCCAAGTCTTTCTCTATCGATTCGTACAAAAACTACTTCAATTGGACAACCCAACACCAAGAAATTTGAGCTTAAAGTCAGATTGCCAATGGCAAAGGGCGATCAAAGGTCTTTCTGGCGCTGTCCCTTTTCCAATTGACAACCCAACTTTAAGCTCAAATATCTTTGTATTGAGCTATCCAATTCCAATATTCTTGGTATCATTAGATGCGCCAAGTCTTTCTCTATCGATTGTTATAAAAACTATTTCAATTGGACAACCCAACACCGAGAAATTTGAGCTTAAAGTTAGATTGCCAATGGGAAAAGGGGCGGCGTCACAAACGCTTCAATTATCAAGTTAAATCCCTTAAACTTTCGATTCGATTTTCCATTTAGCATTTAAAATGAACCCGAGTTAGACGCCATTCACATTTCACTCGAATCCGCAATGAAATGAATCGAAATGAAATGAACTCATTTTCGGAACAATTTTCTGATTTCTTTTCAATAAATTACACAAAAAAACGATAAAATTCAAGGAATTTAAAAACTCGTTTCTTTTTGATTAATTAAGGAAATTCTCACAAAATCAACTCAAAAACGACCTAATTTTAAGCCAATTTTAGCATTTTAACCCAAAAGAAGCTTTTGCTTTTTTTTGGCGGTAAATGCGAGCAAATTTCAGTGATAAAACGCAAAAATGAGTCTAAAACGCATTTTTAGACTCATTTTTGAGTCTAAAAGCCTCATCGCATCGAATTTTGATTTAAAAATCGAGTTTACTTTTTAAAAAAAACGAGTTTCAAAGTCGTAAAAATGGAAAAATTCAAAAAAAACAAACAAAAAACGAAGAAACATTGAGCAAATGATCAGTGAAAAGAGAAGAAAGAGAGAAAAATTTTTTGTAATTATTTAGTAATGAAATCCTTTTTTTTATTTTATTTAATTCTTTAAAATCTATCTACCCAAAAATAAAGATAGATTCAAAATAGAGAATAAATAAAGGAAAATAGAGAAAAATAGAGAAATAAATAAAGGAAAATAGAGAAAAATAGAGCAAAATTGAGAATTAATATAGAAAACTCGAGAATTAATATAGAAAAATAGGGAATTAATAAAGAAAAATCAAGAATTAATATAGAAAAATAGACAATTAATATAGGAAAATCGAGAATTTTACAACGGATCCCTTCGTGGAAGGTACCGGTTTGGATTTGAAAGGAATCGAGGAAAAACTTTGTGACAAAAGAGCCTTTTTTGAAAAGAAAATTTTGAAAGAGGAACTTACTTTATTTGGCTTAGAATTTGGGAACGCTCATCATCTGGCACATTGGTTTTAAACAAGCTTATTCTTAGCAAAACGATGTCTCTTCCGCAAACAGCAAACGCCTTGCATGCATTGTGCATACCCTTGCCCACATGAACAGCCATTATTCGCCGATTGACCGCACATTGTGATCGCTGCTGGTTGCACGTACACCTAGAAAATCTTTTATTTTAAAGATTTGAAGGCTTTATTTTAAAGATTTAAAGTCTTTATTTCAAAGATTTGAAGTCTTTATTTCAAAATTTCGTTAAAAATTTTGAAACTAATGTATTCCTCTTGAATAATACGTTTTCTAAAATGCAATTACCGTCAAAAAACAACTCTAATAGAACCTCTAATAGAAAGATCCCCTATAGAAGTGTTGCGTAGTCTAAGTTTTACTCTTAAAAAAACGCTCATCACTTGACACTAGTACGTTTATTTCTCCGTGCTTAGATATCAAATGAAAGTAGAAAGAATGTGCGTGATTTTTTGAGATATAACACATATTTTTAACTTTAAGCAGCGCTTAGAAAAGAGTAAATGAAAATTGGCTCTTTTTATCGACTCTTTTTATTGCCACAATTTTCGAAAACATATTATTCAAGAGGAACACTCTTCGAGAGATTTCGAGAGACGATAGCTTTTCTTTTGGACAGAATTGAAATTTTGAATTCAATGCTCAAGTTTTTCCGGCTTTCGAAAACGGATTTGTAATCAGCGATTCTATGAGATGAAGTTGATCTCGCTTTAAAAGGTACTTGGCGACGTTCCCTAGCTCTGGAGCCTAAGCCTGAGCCTGAGTTAGACCCCAGCTCTGACCTGAGCCTTCTAGAGAAATCCCTTTAATCAAACTATTCTTAAGAATTCATTGTTCTTTATCCTTTTCAAATGTAGACTGAAAATGTAAATTCAAATTTCATTGAACAATTTTCATTTATATGAAAGCCGATTATTTTGAAACTTAATCTTTCTAACAAAGTTTTCCCCACTTTCCAATGTCATTCAGCTTGTCTAGTATAGATCTTTTATATCTAGTATATATATTTTAAGACTTAGACAGTATTTATCTTTTTTGAGAGCTTGAGAGCTTTTCAGCTTTGCAGCTCTGAAAATATTAGCTTCTTTTCAAATGAAATAACTTTAGTTCTTCATATATAGTTCAATAGATCCACTTCAAACGTTCCCTTTTTCTTTATTTTCTCTTTTTCTATTGCCAACTTTACTATCTCCCTTCGACAGTCAATCTTTTTGAAAACGGAAAACAGAAATGAAATCGTTCAGTTTTTTTGCAAAATTTCAAATTTGACTTCTCCAACCACCAATAGATCCACTTCAAACGTTCCCTTTTTCTTTATTTTCTCTTTTTTCTACCGTATTCCTTTTATTTTTTGCTGCCGAGCCGTCTTTTACGTTGATTTTCAGGATTTTAATCACCGGTTTCGAGTTCTGAATCGTTGAAATCGATAAAGTAAGCTGGTAAATTCAAGAAACTCATTTATATTTAGAGTTTTGTAATGCTGAAAAAGATTCTCATGTTACTCAAGAACTAAAAAAACCGATCCCGATTCTCCATCCCAGAATGCTTCCGGTTACGAATTTTCAGATCTACACATAAGATCTACAGATAGATACAGTATTGGACAATGAAATATGATATTTGAAAAACGATCGTCACTTTCGCACGTCCGTAACTCCCTTGTCTTTAAGTTTAAACTATTAGTGTTATACATTTTCTGAAAGCTCTTTTCAAGGGCTACACAATGGTAATATTAATATTTAGAAATACGGTAAAGACAACGGAGTTACAGACGCGCGAAAGTGACGATCGTTTTTCAAAGATGATACTTCATTGTCCAGTACTGTAGCTTCATTCAAGCCAAGACAAAGATTTCTTTGCCTTGGCTTGGAGACAAAGATTTCTTTAAATGTGTTTAAATCACCACAAAATCTTCACTTTAATGCGAAATTTGGAAATTCTCTTTGAAGATTCAATGCCAGAAAACTGTACGCAAAAATGCACAGCTTTTGGCGCACTGAACCTAAGCCAACACACTGGAAAGCCAACAAAATATTACAGAATCCCATTAATAAACTCATTTGGCAGCTTTTTAAAGAAAATCTAAAACAAAAAGAAAAAAAGCTTTTACTTTTGACAGATAATGGTCATTTCTTTTATCTTTTTTGATTAGAATTAAGTTAATTAGGTTCCCAAATTCTTTTGATGCCCTTAATATTTTCCTTTACCTGTTGCTGTGCTGTACACGATGGTTGACAAGCTGGCTGACATTGAGGGACACATTGCATCACGGGTTGAGCCTGGAAATTCGACTTTTCAAAATCGGATTAGGCATTGAACTGGGAAACATTTTGTTTCAATGTTGACAGGATAAAACACTGCGTAATCACTGCGTAGTCTTGTAACAAGCAAAGTTTCTGTGTGTTTTTTCATTTCATAAATCGAGTTCTAATCCCCATTAGAACTCGATTTATTTATTTTATTCTGATTTTTTGGGAAAATATGTAGTCGACTATGATGATTTAGCCTGTTAAATCAGTTTTTTAAAAATCTCAACCACTTTTTGAGTAACGTTGGAAAAAGTCGAGATTAAAGGCCTAGAAAGGCCTAAAAAGGCCTAGAAAGGCCTAAAAAGGCCTAGAAAGGCCTAAAAAGGCCTAGAAAGGCCTAAAAAGGCCTAGAAAGGCCTAAAAAGGCCTAGAAAGGTCTAGAAAGGTCTAGAAAGGCCTAGAAAGGTCTAGAAAGGCCTAGAAAGGTCTAGAAAGGCCTAGAAAGGCCTTGAAAAAGTGAATTACCGGTTCATTTCCTCTAAATAAATTGGGGAAAAGTCATTTTACGTTTAAAAATCACCAACCTGACATGATTGTCCGCATTGTGGCTGTTGTTGTTGCACGACGACCACCTGTTGAGTGGCACACGATTGAGCACAAGAGGACTAAATAAAGCTGGCTTTTAAAGAAGAGGTATTCAAAGCGCTACTCAACGCTCTTTCACTTACTTGACAAGTTTGTGTGCATTGTTGATTGCTACCACATGAGGATTGACACGATGGTTGACACGCTTGCACACAAATTGCTTGCTAAAAGTTGATTTCTGTGTATACTTTGTGCTGTTCCGTAAACACACCCCTTTCTAGTGCACTCAACTCTTCTTCCTTTTCCGCCAATTTCTTGACTTTTTAAAAAAAAAATTAAGAAATTGATGGAAAAGGGAGATTTCAGTGGGCAAGAAAGGGCGTGTTTAAGTTAAGCCCCTTTGAAGCGAGGGAGGGCAGGATCATTTTGGTGTAACGGTTAGCACAGTTGTCTGGGAAGCGGTAGGTCGAGGGTTCGAGTCCCGGCGGCGTAGAAGTTTTCGTTTGCCAACTTTTATAACAAAAGAACAAGATTAGTATTGAAGATTTGATTTTCCTGATCTTGTAACGATGGATTTAATATTTTCTTTAATCGATTTATATTCAAAAAGCAAAATCACCTGTTGTTGACATTGTTGTGTGCATTGTGGCTGACAAGCCGGGACACATTGTTGTTGTTGGGGTTGTTGCTGAACAACGATCACCTGCAAGATTCGTTTTTGATTTTTGAATCGAATTTGCCAAACTTTGACTTTATTCTTTCAGTTTTAGCGTTAAAGTTAAAGCTAAAGCGCTAATTTTCGATATTTCAAGGTCCGAAAAAGGATTTGAATCAATTTTAGTTTTAAAAAAGGTTTTTGCTATAGAAATCCAAACTCTTAACATACAAAATGCTAACAAAATACATTTATTAGTTGGATCTTTGGATATGATAAACTTAAAGATATTCAGTTATTTGATTTCCGTTGTTCAGTCAATTCAACAGCTACATCAAAATCTTTTCGAATTTCTTGTTATTAAACCTGTGGTTGTTGTTGTTGGACACACGAGTTTTCACAAGATGGAACACACGCTTGAACACATTGAGAGTTTCCGCCACACGATGATTGACACGAAGGTTGACAGGCGGATGAGCAAATCGTGTATTGTTGAATGCATTGACTGAAATTCGATTCATCTTTTCAAGCTCTAAACCTTATTGAAAACATTTATTAGTTTGATCTTTGGATATGAAATCTTTGGATATGATAAACTTAAAGATATTCAGTTTATTTGATTATTGATATTTGATTTCAGTTGTTTAGTAAAGTTCAATCAAATCAATCTTTCTTTTACTTCCATTTAAAACCAACAAATGCACGAATTGAACGGTTTTTTTTCATTGGAAAGTCAATTATTTCAATTATTTTCCTGGGAGTTGAGATTTGAGTTAAACTAAACAATTTTAAACTTTTAATGATAACCACCTTGAGCATTGTGGTTGACAAGAGGACGGGCAACTGTTCTGATTTTGTTGAACGACGACAACCGGTTGAGACTGAAATTTTTGATTGCAAAGATGCGAATTCATTTGAATAGTTCATTTGAATAATTCATTTAAATAATTCATTTAAATAATTCATTTGAATAGTTCATTTGAATAATTCATTTAAATAATTCATTTAAATAATCCCATTCTACGATACGAGTTTCAATGTTTTCCAGAATTTAGAATCCAAATCTTCTTTTCAATTCCTTTCGTTTTAGATCTTTTTAAATCACCTGTTGCACACACGAGCTTTCACACGATGGAAGACAAGCCTGTACACATTGAGCATTGTTGTTACACGATGATTGACACGATGGCTCACAAGCGGCCACACAAATTTGTTGCTGAAGGAAAGATGAAACTTTTAAAGGAAGCCAATAAGCAGTAAAGAGTTAGTCGTTTGTATAGAAAAAGTGACAAGTTTGCTGAAAACTGTGCTTAAAAACTGTGCTTAAAAACTGAAGTAACTCTATCCGCTCCCATTTCACCTGTTGAATGCATTGTTGAGAGCATTGTGGCTGACAGGAAGATGGACAAGACGAAGAAGAGGAAGACGGTTGCTGCAAATGGATATCATAAACTTAAAGATATTCAGTTATTGGATAAAAGATTCAGTAAAGTTCGTTGTTCAGTAAAGATCAATTGAATCTAGAGCTATTCAATGAAATGAGTGAAATGGAATCAAATGGAATCAAATGGAATCAAATATAGCCGTTGTAGCCAACCGGATCTGTTTCCTAGTCTTGTCTCCTAGTCGGGGGGTTAAGGGTTCGATCTCGGCGGCTAGAAAGATTGGTTCTTAGGGTAATTAGGGGTAAAAATCTCCTCCGTTGTGTTGTAATTCATTTATATATATTTATTCGTGTCGAATAAATATATATAAATGAGTGAAAAGCTTCTCAATTGCAACTCTCAACTTGCGCCCAATTCAGTTTTCTTAATTTTTTACGAAAAACTTATCTAAAAAATATTACAAGCCTATGATTGCTATGATTGCTAAAGGTTGTTATATAATTTTATAGCTTTAAACCTCACTCACCTGAACGACAACAATTTGCGCTTGTTGCTGTGACACACACGAGTTATCGCACATGGGTTGACAGGCCGGAGCGCAAGCCTGAATGGGAAAATGATTGAGAATGATTGAGAAGAAGAAGATAAGTGATTCGATGCTAAGGTTTGTAGATTTTTGTTGTAGATTTCGAACACTACCTGCGAAACACAACTCTGCGAACACGAGGGCATACAAGAGGAAACACATTGTTGTTGTTGAGCCGGTTGCTGGAAAAATTGTCATTATTGCAATTTCGAAAACTATAGTGTCATTATTGCTTATTAGAAAACTCAAAAAACCTTTTTGATATATCGTTTAAATCGTTTAAAAAAAGCTCTATCGTTTAAAAGGATGCGGAAGCTCTATCGATAGAGCACTAGGAAGGATGCTCTATAAAAAGCTCTATCGTTTGAAAGTGTAAGCTTTTTTTAAATCGAGCACTGTTGCATTATCATGACTGACAAGTTGTGAGTTTCTAATCCTTAAATGAATATCTTTAATGCTGTTGCAATCATACAATCAAGCAATATCATAAATTAAAGCAATTAAAGCTGTTGCAATGCTTTAATGCTTGTAGTTGAAATCATTCAAATACAAAAAGGCAATTCCTTTTTTGGAATTGTAATTTGTAAGATGACTGAAGTTAATTGGTGATTAATTGATGAGATCTGCCTCACCTGAACAACGACGATTTGTTGTTGTTGTTGAGAGACGCAAGAGTTGTCACACATTGGTTGACAAGCTGGTGCGCAAGCCTAAAAGAATGAAAGTTTCAAAGTTCACAGTGCACTAGGAAGGATGCGTTTACACGACGTTTAAATGTTTCAGCACAAAGTACAGCAACAGATTTTTGATTTACCTGTTGAATGCACGTTGGTTGACAAGCGGGCATACACTGAGAAGCACATTGCTGTTGAGCGGGTTGCTAGAAAAGAAATGACGAATTTTCGATCGTCACAATATTCAAGTTTTTCGATTGTTCTTTTATATTGTTTTTTGATTCTTTTTTGATTCTTTTTCAATTGAAATATCAATTAAACAACTCGATTTTTAAAAGAATCAAGCTTCCTTTTTTTTGATTCACTCAATCAATGTTCATTTTGTCTAGAATTAGAATTTAAATGATAATTCGACTTTTCTTATACCTGAACAATGATGATTTGTTGATCGTTATTGCAATTGTTTGACGAACAACCCTGAAAATGAAACGTTACCATTTAGAAAGCTTACTAAAATCAAATTTCAACTTAAGCCTTGCTAGCTTCTTTAACATCGCTAGCAAGGCTTAAGTTGAAGCCTTACTAGCTAGCCTTGAAGCCTTACTAGCTAGCCTTGAAGCCTTACTAGCTAGCCTTGAAGCCTTGCTAGCTAGCCTTGAAGCCTTACTAGCTAGCCTTGAAGCCTAAGCCTCAAACCTGTGTACAACTGGGAAGACAAGCGGGCATACAAGACGAAGCACATTGGTTCTGGGGTTGCTGAAAGGGAGGCATGGGTATTTAAAAAGTTATATTATATATTATATAAAAAGTTGAAAAGTTATACTATTCAAATTAGTGAGTTTAGATGTTACGTCTGATTTTGAATACATTCCAAATCCAAATCCAATTTGACATTCACAGAAATGCTTAGGAAGATTGTCAAATAGTGATGCAAATAAGATCACATTAAGATCAAAAGACAGTCCCAGTTTTGTTCAATGTTCATGAAACGACCACCCCACCTGAACGATGATGACTTGTTGCTGTTGTTGGGAGACACACGACGATGAACACATCGGTTGACAAGCCGGGGCACAAGCCTAAAAGAATCACTTTAATAGAAAACTGTGCTGTATACTTAAAAAAATTTATATAATTTGGTAAATCAAGACAAGAGACAATTTTTAAGAAAGACAAAACTTTAAGAAACTTTTTTTTAAAGACAAAACTTTAAGAAACTCCAAGAGTAGATAGCAAATTAGGTAGCATTTCGGGATAAAACTTGTAAATTTTTCGTAAACAGATCTGTATTACCTAACTTTGCAATCATTATTCTATTTTTTTTTTTTTCATTCTTCATTTCACCTGTTGAATGCAAACTGGTTGACACGAGGGCATACATTGAGAGGCGCATTGTTGGGGTTGCTGTAAAGATTTCGATTTGTGAGAGCTTTGTGAAAGCTTTGTAAAAGCTTTGTAAAAGAATTAGAATCAGAATTCAATTTCTGATCATTTCTGATCATTTTTGATCATCTTATAGCTGGATTTCTGGATAAATTTGACAGCTAAAGCTATCAAAGCAATCAAATCAAATTTGAAAAAACAATGATGATGCCTCACCTGAACAATGATGATTTGTTGCTGTTGTTGAGAGACACAAGATGATGAGCACATTGGTTGACAAGCCGGAGTGCAAGCCTACAATATGTTTGGTTTCAAATGATTGAAACGTTAGTTCTCTAATCTCAAATTGATTCAAAACTCAAATTGCTTTTAAGCCAATATTTTAAGCTCAATATTTGCTCAATATTTGCTCAATATTTGCTCAATATTTTAAGCAAAACAACAAACCTGTTGAACGCAAACTGGTTGACATGAAGGCATACATTGTGGAGCGCATTGTTGTTGTTGGGGTGCTTGCACGATGATGATCGGCTGCGATTGTTGCTAAATTCAAAAAATTTGAATCGTTTAATTTTCAATACTATGAGCACAAAGTATACAAAGCTAAGGAAAGCTTTTGCAGAAAAAAAATCAGAATTTTCGAGTTAACCAGTTTAGCCAAAGTTAGCCATTTTTTAGCCAAAGTTGGCCATTTTTAGCCATAAAATTTAGCCATTTTCTAAAACGCTGCTTTTATTATTATGAAGCATTTGTCTAAAGTCCTACAGAGCCGAAAGCCTTACATCTTTGAATCTTTGAATCATTTACCTGTGTGCAGGACGGAGCACACGTTGGCATACAAGCCGGAGTGCACGTTTGTTGTTGAGGACATTGATTGCAAGAGACCTGAAACAATTTTTTGGTGATGTTGTTGAAAGAGGCTTAAGTTTAGGCTTAGGCTTAGGCTTAGGCTTAGGCTTAGATTTAGGCTTAGGCTTAGGCTTAGGCCTAGGCTTGGACTTAGTGCTTAGGCTTAGGCCTAGGCTTAGTCCTACAGGCCGAAAGCCTTACTTTTGGATCTTGGGATCATTTACCCCCAATTTCCGGATCTCAGCCCGCTTAAGCCTAGGCTTAGGCTTAGGCCTAGGCAAAAAGCAAATCGGTTGACAAGCTGATGCATAAAATCTTCAGTATGCCTTAGTTTAGTGAAGTAAATCATTTTAAAATAGATCCAGTTTAAAATAAAGCTTTTCTTGATGTGCATCCATCAGCTTTTCTTCATTCATCAGCTTTTCTTCATTCATCAGCTTTTCTTCAAACGAACTTGATAGGTGAGTGAGCCACATCCGCATTGAGCGTATTGTAGCTGAAGTGAGGGACAATTGCAACCCGAATTCTGCACCGAGCAACCGCATTGAGATTGCAACATATTCGCGCAATCGCATTGTTGAACCTGAAGGGAATTTTAAGGGGGAAAACAACTCGATTATACCTGTATTTGTAGTGCTTGACAATTGCATTGATTGCTCTGTTGTGGCACACAGCAATTGTTCTGTGCCGCGAAGCAACATTGCCTCTTCGCTCTCGACAATTTCTTCATTTTCTCTTCTTTCTCCTCCTCATTTTCTTTACTCGTTTCCTCTTTTTTGGGTCTTTCCGTTGATTGAGATGATGATGATGAGGAAATGGAGGATTTATCAGCTCCATTCTCTGTCTGTAACATTTTCAAGTTTCAATTGTCAATTTTCAATTCTCTAAGCTTTATACACTCTTCAACTTACCGTATTCTCAGTATTTGTAATTGTGGTTGTTGATGGAAGAGTGGTTGACTCTTCCTTTCCCTCCTCATTCTCCACTTTTTTCACATCGCTCTTTTCGGAGCTCTAAAAAGATCTTTTGATCTTCAAAAGTGATCTACAAAGAAATACTGTTATTCTAATTTTTTCTCGTTTTCTCGTTCACAAGCAATCCGTTTTCTAAAACGTATCCTCTACCGTAATCTTGTCTCTAATTTTGGGCTAATTTCCGCCATTTTATTTGGGCAACTAGGTCTTTTGCGCAACTGGATCGTTTGCGCATCGTTTGCGGTCGCCATAACTTTCTTCTAAGTAAGTCAATCTTTATGATTTTGGTGTCATTTTGTAGATCTCAATAAGTGTAACAAAATGACACCAAAATCATAAAGATTGGCTTACTTAGAAGAGAGTTATGGCGAGTTGCGCAAAAGACCTAGTTGTGCAAATGACCCAGTTGCGCAAAAAGCTTGTAGCCTATCCCCTAATTCTTATTCAATCTATTCACTTTCTTTCTTTCGTTATTCTTTATGAATCCTCAAAGAAATAGACAAAAAAAATGGATTGGTTAGATAATAAAATGAAAGGCAAGATTACAATAGAAAGAGAAAGGGGACAGAGCCATATTTTTTCAAAAGTTTTTCTAGTCTAGAAAAACTTTTGAAAAACATGCCTCTGTTGAAGGAAAATCTAGCCTACTATTCCAGTTATTCTTATTATTTGATTGATTTTAAAATCAATCAACATTTACCTCAGCATGCGCTAGAGCGAGCAAGGCAAAAAGACCAAAAAGGAGTGCCGTCCACCGCATCGTTCGGATAAAAGAAAAGAAATATTTGAATAGAAATGAAAAAGAAAAGAATATCGATGAGAATTGATTTGCTGATGAGATTTGATAGGCGATGAGAGAAAGAAACGCAATCACAATCCGGGACACACTCCTCTAGACAAAGATCTGAAATCCTGAGATATTGAATAGGTGAAAGGACGACAAAGTACTTCAGCCTTTGTCTTATAAAAGTATTCAATGATTGAGCAATGATTCAATGAGCAAAAAGCCTTCAAAGGCTTCAAAGCCTTTAAAGCAAGTTCTAGATTAAAATCAAAATCAAAAATGATTCAGAAATTCGAAAAAAAGTCATAGAAAGGTTTTAAGCTCTTCAGCTATTGATTCAGCTTCAGCTTCAGCTTCAGCTTCAGCTTCAGCTACAGCTACTCTTGAAAACAAATGTTTTAAGGATTAAGTTCGTAGTTTGAGCTTTCAAATAAAGCTTTCAAACTTCTCAAACACGGTGAAAGAGAATCAAAATATATAATTCATGAACTGTTGAAGATCGCAAAAATACAGTGTGAAGGAATATTCTTCTTCTTTAATGTGAAACTGAATAATCTAGATAAAAGATGAACTCAATGAACTCAATGAAGTCTAATCTAGTTAAGCACAATAAGAACTAGTATTTATTGTGCTTAACTAGAAGTTTGAGATTTCATTGAATTCATCTTTTAAGCACAATAAAATCTGGAAGAATTCAGGGTTTACGGCATAAAGAAAGACCAAAGCTAGGTATCTATCTAATAATCTATTTCAGAATTCCAGTCAGATAAGTTCCAGTCACATAGTTGATTGGCTGCCGACTGGCTAAGAGCCTTGTATCTTGGTCAGGAGGTCAAGGTTTCAATAGATTATTCGTTATTATTGGCTAGATTATTGGCTAGATGTACGGATATGGTATGAAGGATAAGCCAAGCTCAGAACAAAAGTTGGAGAAAGAATTTAAGCCATCTGATCTTAAACAACTGGGTAAAAGTCGAAAAATCGAAGAACGGATCTCGTAAATGATTCTCGAATGGCCGGATGCCGTGTCTCGAGATTTAGAGTATCCGTGAAAAGTGGAAAGTGAGAAAACAGGGCGGAGTCCATGAAATGGATAAAGGAAAGAGAATGATGAAGGGAACGGCATCGGATTCACTTCTGAAAAAGCGCCGACGGCAGGGAAGATGTAAAAAGAGGAAAGGGTTTGATGTGTCAACACATTGAGACTCGATTTTGGATGATGGGTGGAAGAATTTTGGGGGTGGAGAGAACGGGGCACAGACCTGGACAAGGACCTGGAGGGACCCTGGAGACTCTGGAATAGAGCTGGACAGACCCTGGAAAAGCCTAATCATCTTTTTTCTCTAATCACTTTGCTCTCTTGTGCTCACTCTTTCCCTAATCGAATCGTTTAAACGAAATTCCCTCTTTGATTCTAAGTCTCTTCACCTTTCTCAGACTCTAATAACTATTTTCTTGTTCTCCTCTCAACTGTTCTCTATTTTAAATGATAGACTGGACTCTCTAAAGTCTTGACCAAACTCTAGGACTCTCTGTTCCCATCTTTGTTTTCCGACTTCTCTCATCAACAGCTCTTTCGTGGATCTTTCTACTGTCGCTGGAATCTCGCGACCTTTTCGTTTCTCTGCGAATTTCTCTAGATTTTCACTCGACTATTCTTTCGTTTTTCTAGCTTCCTACTAACTTTCTCTATTCAGTGGATCTTTTCCCAAGCATTTCCCCTTCTTGATCACTCTCTCCCGAAGACTTCTCTGTAGCTGATTCTCTCTTCTTCCCTTCTTCCCTTCTTCCCTTCTTCCCTTCTTCCCTTCTTCCCTTTTTCCCTTCTTCCCCCCAAGCGATGTCCAAATGCACGCACGTCAAATATCGTTCGTTCACATTTCTGTCCTCCAAAAAGAAAGACAGATGAGAGATTTCTGAAGACGGACATGTCCATCCTATCATCTTTCCTTTCCCCTCATTTTCCTTTCTTTAAATCAAATCTCCATCCGGGGAGTGTTCGAGTGTGACTAGAGTCAATCTTTTTATCGATCAAAGGGAAAGGGATTAAGTTTTGAGGAAAGGGATTAAGCTTTGAGGAAAGGAATTACCGTATGTCATGATATTAAGAAAAATACGGTAAATGAAAAGGTCCTGAAGAAACAATCAATTTTAAGATTTTTCAAGGACAATGAGCTAGAAGGTGGTAACATTTGTAGTTCACAAAATAAAATAAAATAAAATATGCACAACTTTTGAATGTTGAAGGATCAGAATGAACACAAAATTGAGCTGATCGAAAAGCTGGGGATAGATTGATTAGGATAGATTTCAAAAATCGGAGTCTTTTAGAAAGCGGATTGACAAGTCAGACAAGTCAGACAGACAAGACAGACAAGTCAATCAAGTCCTTAAGCTTAAAATTTCCCTGAAAAGTCTCCAGTCTACAGTCGACAGTCTTTTAAAAAAAATTCCAGAAACCCTTGTCCCAAATCATCATTAGCTTTTCGATTTTCGAGAATCCGCTTGTAAAGATTGGCTGAAAGAGCAAGGAAAGCAATAAGAAAGTCTAAACAACAAATTTTTCTTTTTCTTTTCTTCCAATTCTCATTCTTTTCCCACATGAGAGCCACAAACAAAAGCGCTTCGGCTTTTTGAAGAGAGGGAAATTTGCGGGAGATTTTTGTGGAACAGAAAAAGAAGAAGAAGAAGAAGATGAAGAAGAAGATGAAGAAGAAGAAGATGATGATGAAGAAGAAGGTGCTCTCGATGATTTGTCGTGGAGGGACTGTCGACTCACTCCCGGAATTCCCATCGTTTTCTCGTGGATGCGGAAACGTTTTGCTTTTTTGTGAAATCTTTGGGATTTATCGGGAAATCGCTTTTTTTATTTGATCAGGAAGTGTTTGGGATTTGTTCTGGGAAAGAGACGAATCAAAAAGATGATCAAAAAGATCTTTTCAATGGAAATCAACATGCGGGAGGCAAGCCAGTGCTTTAATCATAGCCCTGAGAAGCGTTTAAGTTGAAACATTAGCTCTGGAAATTGATTTTCGTTTAATGAATTGAATGAGAACGTAAAATTTCGCGAATATGACTCAATCATGGATTGATCGTGTGCATTTTAAGTTCAGAAATTGCAAGCGAGATCATTTTCGAATGGTACACCTTTTGTAAGTTTACTTTGCTATCAATCCATCGAATTTCCGATTTTCACCAGAATTTCCCTTTTTAAGCAATGTAATTAGCTTCTAGAGATTTGAAATAACAATTTACCGTAAATACTGTAATAGTACCCCCACCGCCCTCGTACAGTCGCGTAGTCGCAAAAGTTTTTTAGTATTTCATTTTTTTCAAAGCACCCGTACTTTCAAAAAATGCGTCTTTGGTATCAAAAAATAGCTGAAATTCGGGGCTATTTTTTGATATTTAAACGAGCATTGTAGCATAAAACAGTGTCGAGAAAAACTCGTTCAAAGCTAGGCTACGCAACACTCCGCACCGTTATTATGAGGGTGGGGTACTATTACGGTATTTACGGTAGTTGTTAGCTAATCGTCAAATAACAATTTGGCAAAGAGTTTCTCAATCTGAAAAATGAAGAACTCTCGGTTTTATATGTTTTAGCAAAAGGTCAAGTAACTTTTGTGATAATCAAGCCCAGTTAAATAGCAAGTTTCAAATGTCAAATTCAAATGTTATTCATCCAAAAAATCAATGCCAATTTTAGCAGTTTTTCTTTGTTAAAATTTTCATTTTTTAAACTTCAAAACCCTATCTTCAGTCTTCAGTAGAAAAACTGAAGATCAGTTGCCTACTTGACACTTTTGAATTTCAAAAAAACGATCTACAATTGTTGCAAGTTTTTTGACTGAATTATTCCAGTTGCTTTCCCCGTTCCCCATTGCAAGAACATCTTGCAAGATGTTTCCTCTTGAAGAAGAAAATACGCAAAAATTTCCTTGTTCGGCACTCCATTTCGACATTTCCGCTTTCCGAATCATCGAAGAAAAAACAAAGAAGAACAACGGTTCCATTTAAGGGGAAAAAGGTCTCTCTTTCAAAACGATTTGATGAGAGTTCAAAAAAAGGGAAGAAAAGAAGTGCTTGTTTGTCTGTCTATCACAGACTGATCACTCCCTTTTCTTTTCCATTTTTTTTTCTAAAGTCCTTCAGTCTTTTCTCTCTCTAAGGATTTCCCGATTTGGAGCGCTCTGGAGGTTTTTCTTTTTTAGACCCCGATGACAGTTTTTTGAAGGGACTTTGGGGAGAAATTTGAAAATTAGCGCTTATTTTTGGTATTTCTGTCGTTGCAAAAGTTTCCTTATGAAAACTTGTATAAAGGTTGATGTAATTGATCGCGAAATTGCTTGAAAATAGTGAAACTAGGCTGAAATCTAAAATCAGCCAATTGAGTTTACTCTTCCTTCTAGTATTAAGCGTGGTCACTTGGTGACTGCGCGACTCGCGCCGAAGACAGCTTCAGGCCGGGAGAATGGTTCCAATACGGTTCCAATACGGTTCCAATACGGTTCCAATACGGTTCCAATACGGTTCCAATACGGTTCCAATACGGTTCCAATACGGTTCCAATACGGTTCCAATACGATTCCAATACGATTCCAATACGGTTCCAATACGGTTCCAATTGATTCCCTTTTGGGAACTTGTTGAAACCTGGAAACTTTAATCGTGATCAGGTTAAATATTCGACAACAATTATTCAGTGTTTAAGCGAATTTTCTACCATATTTCCGTTCTGAAACCCAACTATTCACGTAGTTTTTAGCGTTTTTCTGGTTCTAGATAAAGTTAAAGTTAAAGCTAATGAATAAGCAGTACAAGCTGGGGTTAATGGCTGAACTTTATCTGCGTAAATGTCTGTAATCGATTGTTCGATTAATGTTCACCTTGCGAAGAAACAATCCAAAATCTAAATACAGTGTCTCCTAAAAATAGCAAAAGAGAAAAACGGTTGCAATTCCATTGTTCTTTTCTTTTTCTTCTTTTCTTTTCCAAAATGGATTACGGTTTAAACCGTCCACCTCATTTAAAAAGTCGAAAAGTCGTGAGAAAAGCGTTTTATGTGTTGAGGGAAGCTTTTTGGAAGAAAAGAGGAAAAGTTTAACCCGAAGAGGATCGCCTGAAAGGAGAAAATGAAACGATGATAAGCTGATTATGAAGTGGAGAAGAATGGGGAAAGGAAAGAAAACAAAAGAAAAGAAAACAACAAAACAAAGTGCTTTGAGAGGAATGGATGGGATGGATAAAGGGAATTTGCAGCTTCACTACTTGGGATACACCGTATTTTATTCTAATAGAAGCGCATGCGCTTTTACGTTTCAATCATTCCACAAAATTGCTTCTATTGGAGGCTGCGCTTCCATTAGTTCTATTTCTTTGACTAGAAAATTTTTAGAACTACACCAAAGTCATTTTTGACAGCCCTGCTTGTGATTTTCATTGAGTTGGCCAATCTCGCAAATCTCGAAAAAGCCAATCTCGCAAAAAATCTCAAAAGAATTCAATAATTTCGATTTCGATAAAAATTTGGCAATTTCTGTTCTGGATCTTTCAAAAACTAAAGTTGTTCAAATCCTCCATTCACTTTCAATTTCAAAAGTTAGTGTTAAACTTTCATGCTACCGTTGTTGATTGACATCCTGTCACCCCAATCATCTTCCGTAAGAGAAGCATGGAGGGGTCTTTCCCCCTGCTTCCCCATCCGATAGATAGTTCCTTTCCCTGTCACCGCTTCTTTTCTTTCTTTTCTCCCCCCTGTCCCCATCCCGAAACCCCTTCAGGGGCACTAATATTTACCGTATGCAAACAACGATTGCGTCCATCCAATTTCTGAAGAGAGAAGACACTTCTATTTTCCCCTAAAAGCTTCATGATGACCTACAAGGGGTGTGCTATGTAACTAGGGGGAAATAATTACATCGAAGTTTTGATTAGGAACTTGCAAACCTTATTCACAGGGGCATATAGGCTTTGTACTTCAAACAGTTAAGCCCTTCTGTCGAAGTAGAAATATTTATCAGAAGCAAAATTTAAACAAAGAATAGTCAATATAGAGATCTCAAATTAGTGAAATAAGGTATATAATTTACAAAATGTGGACCGGTTATGTAACAAGGCTGTCAATAAAAAACAAACGAAAAAAATGAAAATATGAGAACAAACTACTTGGGGGTTCTGGGAAAGTAATGCAAGATATTTCGACTATTCGAGGCCGGGGTTTTTATTTTAGAAGCAGAGTCGGCTTTTGGTGTGTTCTCGTCGGCGAATTTCAATTTTCTTTGCATGCTTCTTGGAGTCGTCGTTGTTGATGGAGCTGGGGCGATCAAAGACTGAGGGACGAGAGGAATACCTGAACAAACGCGTAGTTTTAAATTTGGCGCTAATTCTTGAACAATAAACAAAATCCTGACCTTGTGTCGCTTTAACAGGAGTTTTAATAACTTTCTTCACTGGGGATTTTGCTTCCAAACGCTCAGCCTCGGTCATCATCTTTGAGCATGACGCTTCGGTGAATTCATCTTCAGCTGGCACTCTGAATAATAATCATAAGATAAATGCATAACCCTACTTATTAACCATTTCAAAAAGTCCATAACTTACTGCAATCTGATGAGCCGGCTTGGATGCCCCCCCTTTGCCGGTCGTCTCAACCAATCATCCATCGAGCTGGGTGAAGCTATGTTTGCCATGGGGTCATTGTTGGGTGTGGACTTTTCTAAAGCATCTTAAAATTTTGATAAAACTGAATATAATACCTTCAGCCTTTCCTCGTATCTTCTTGATGTAATTTTCATAGCGAATGTTTGGAAGCTTGCAAGTAGGGTATCTAAACAAAAATTGGACGTCAAAGTTTAAACCTTAAATCTGTTTATGAAACTTAATGTTCCTATTAAATTATTAAACTAGCATAATCATTATATCCATAGACTAACTTTGCATGAAAAGCATTCTTTGGCCGCAAAAGCATCCGTTTTCTCGGTGTTTTGTTTGGCGTCTTCACAGGAGTTTTCTGCATGTCAATCAACGGGGATAGTTGCTTGTTAGATGATGGGGAAGTGATAAGTGGAGGAAGAACGGGTGATATTTGTTCAATCCTACAAAAAAAAATTATAAAATTTCAAAAAAATAATACCGAATTCTTTTTGCTTGTGGTGTTCTCGGCGAGTAACCATTCCGAGCAATGCTCTTCTGCGGACTTTGCAAAGCTTCAATGGCTACTCTTTTTGCACTCCTCATCGCCGTATCCTTGCTTGGTGAAAGAAGAGAATTGCCAGCAGGTGGGTGATCAAGAGAGGCTCTAAAATATCCATAAATAAATAAGTAATAAGGTTCAAGAGCGTTACCTTAATCTCGATGCAGGAATAGCAGTAGGTCGCCATTTTTTAATTCTTTCAAAGGCACCCGGCATCTAAACAATTCAAATGATAAGAAAAAGAAATAACTAAGCAAAAACGTTTAGATATTGCAAAATTAAACCTGTGTTGAGTCTTTTAACGTTTCAGAATATGGTCGACTTTTGTCCCAAACTCGCAACTGCTCTTCGTCAATCGTTAACATGTAACTAAAAAAGTTCAAGTTGATACGTTTCAAAAAATGACATACTTCCCGCTTGCACTCCATCCAACTGAAATCACTTGTTCTTGATGACCATTGAGTTGAAACTTTGGCTCGATTGGCTCAATTTCACAAATTGAAGACAGTGAGCTCACCGACGGATTATCATCCACGTACAAATGCGTTTCCTAAATTAAAAAATTGTAAAACTTTTATTTTAACCTAATTATTACCTGAAGATCCCAAATCACTGCTGTTCCATCGTTTGACCCGCACATCAAATGATCCGATACGGGACTTATTGACATCTAAAGATGCAATACATTCTTGAAAATTAAAAAAAAACAATAAATATGCAAATAAAATGCAATAAACCTGAGCAACATCAAATACATTAAACCGAGCGCCAGAGAAAACATGAACTAAATGCACAGTTTTGTTTTAAATTGGGTAAATCAAATACTTGGTGTTGTTCGAGCTGAATTTAAAGAGAACTCATAAACATTTTTGTCGGTTACAGCCGCGTAGAGCGATGATCCGAATCGATCAATAGTGAGGCATGAAATGGCTAAATAAAATCCAAATTATCAAGCGTATAAGCATTAAAATCACCTTTGTTTTGTAAATTTTTGATGTTAAAAATTTTCACAGGCGTATAAGAGCCAGATGTTTTTGTTTTCATGAAGCGAAGATCCCATAAGCGGACGCCACTAAACATTTGGATTACGAAAATAAACATCTGTAAACTAATTGTAGGCTAGTTTTGTAAGGTTACTACTCACACAGATTTGGAAACTCACGTATCAGCTTTTACACTGCCGCTCACAAATTGATTTTTGTTCACAAATTGCACGGAAGTTATCGACAATTCGGGATTTTCACTTCTTCGCTGCCGGCCCTTTCTTGGCGTCATTGCTTCTAAAAAAAGCAAAATTGTGCAAGTAGGAAGATTGAAGCGGTAACGTATAATCCACTACAAATGGCTTACTACAAATGTGAATAAACCCCACCTAGTGAATGTGGATCTGCATAAACATCTCGAGCCTTTGAACATCGTCGATCCCATCGTTGAATCGTTCCATCTCGACTAGAGCTGATGAACATCCCTAAATAATTCTATTTGCGCCAATAAATCTAAAAAATACATGGATCATCTTTGTTCACCGATAAAGAACGCACTGTTCGATCGTGGCCCGTAAATGTCATGACTTCTCGCTAAAAGTTAAAAAGTAAAGATTTACCCAAACAGTAAAAACGAAGCGCTAATGTAAAAAACTTTTTACTTACGCATCTTTCTAGATTCCATTGCCGAATCGTTGTGTCCCCAGATGCCGAAAGAAGATCGATAGATTGAGCCGACGAGCATGGTACTTCAGCCAGATCCATAATCAAGCCGCGATGAGCCGTGATACCTGCAAAGAAACCAGATAAAATATTATTTAAGATTTGATTTAAAGGACAGAGAACATGAGCACAAAAGCAACTCACAACTTGCAGGTGGTGCCTCGGTGTTTGGAGAATCCCAAGTGTGTCGGACATCTAGAATGCCGATTGTGCCTAAAACAAAAAATTAGGTAAGGTAAAATCCTATGAGTCGTTACAGATATTAAACTGCCTTACCTAGATTCCCGCCAAGAAACACCAATCGTTCATTGCTCGTCGAAAAACGTCCGATGACCCAACTGTCCTAAAACCATAATTTTAGACTCTTTGCATTTAAAAAATACCCCTTGAAAGGAGAAAACGTGTGGAGAGCTGAAATTCTCGATTTCTCGATCGGGAATTCTAAAGACTTGAAATGTTTTATTGTTCTTTTTTAATGTTACCTTCTTTGATTTGCTCCTCTTCTAGTTTGATTCCATATTCGTGTCAACTCTTGCGACCCCATCGCATACCTGAAAAACTTGATCGATTGCATCTTTGGTCTCAAAGAAAGAAAACACGTGAAGACAAGCAAAATGTTTCTCAAAATGATTCATCAGCTGACGAAGCACAAGCGGAAAAAGTATGTCAGAGAATTATTTGATTTTCATTTCTTGATAAAACTCTAACAAACCCAACCAAGGTTGATTGATTTCGATTTTTAGATCAATCATGAAAGTGGACGAAGGTAAATTTTATACCCAGTGTAGATTCGACATATAAAAATATTAAGCCAACGTCTTTCCATGCGTCAAAGTCAATGAGCCTGCGGACTTTGTAAGCAACTACCTAAATTTTTCACCTTACGTATAAAATTATAGGTTCCACCGAATAACCACAGCCAACGTCGCAGATCGAAAATTCATAGGCGACCAACACAATTTGTTCAGGTATAAAGCTCAGCTATAAAGGCAAAAATTGTCTAAACTTTAAAGTCTTTTAGCCTTTTGCTATCCCCGATGAAGACGAGCCGGAGACTCTCGAAGAAGCTACTCGAAATGACGAAGTCAAGGCTATCAAAACTACACCGCCTTTTACTAGAGGTAAAATAACGCTGATTTTTTTTGAGGAACCTAAAATCTAGATGATATCACTGCCGAACAGATTGACGAAAGCTTTGCGCCTCCGATAAACGACATTTTTATGTTTCCTAGTGAAACAAATTTGATTGCTGGTATGCAAAACCCTACAGCTTAACTAGCGTAGTTTTCAGATAGTTCGCCCGTTGTTGAGGAAAAGGAGTTTTCAAGTAAGAGTAGTTTTAAGATATCTAAAATCCCGAAACCTACAAAACTCTCAATGAAGAAAAGTACGGAGCTTCCCTCGCATCGAGTCTTGCATAACTTGTATGACAGTGGACGTCAGAGTGCTGATAGTCGCGAGGGTAGCGAGCCGAGAACTCCGACCACTCCTACAAGGTAAATATAGAAACACTGTCGACACAGGACACTATTGACCATTTAATTTAGCTCCAAAATACCTCGTCCAAAAGCTATCACACCAAGAGCTTCTCCAAAACCTAATCGAAAACCAGCAACAAAGACTTTGAAAGGATCAAAATCAAGATGGAAATCGTAACTTTTATCCCATCCGCGCACAAAAATATTATCCATCGATGATCGCTTATAAACGTAATACATAGTTTTTTTGATGTTTTATTTGCAAAATAAATAAATTAAACGAAACCAAGAGACCAGAAAAGTGAGAACATTGACAACATAATACATAAAATAGCCAAAAAGTCGAAAAAATATTATTTTATGCTGGAGTGGGTTCGGTTTTCATTTCTTCCTCATCGTATGCCCGATCTAACGGAGTGACAACAATCTAAAGAAACATCATAAAACTCGTGAACATATTTATGAAAACCTTTTCTGTAGCAGTGGTGTAGTAGGTGGGAACTCGAGTCACGTCTAAAAGAAATTTGCAGACTTTCAAAATTTTACTGGTACAGTATGAACTTTTCCATTTTATTTTGTATAATTCACAAACAAATTAACAAAGTACATACCAATATTTTCTAATGAAGTTCCTAGAATTCTTTGATGACCTCCATGTCCAAGTACCCGAATTAGCGTTTGTGCTGTAGAACAAAGATTATCCTCAAATGAAAAAAAATTAGTTTTGATGATTGATAAATAACCATTTCTTCGAATGTGAGTTGTTGAAGGAAATTATTTGGCATATCACACGGGTCAGCCAATCCCAATGAACCAGGTAAGAATATCTAAAGTTGACTTTAATTGAAAAAAACAAAGATCTTACTCCAGAGGCTAATAACTGTAGAACGCGCATGAATGTTAGTCCAAGCGGTAATGGTTGACGGTTTGCCGACTGAACCATACAAAAGTGGCACTAAAATTTTCATTTTAAACAAAGTAGCATAGCAAGCAGCATTGTGCCTAGTTTTCAAATTTTAAATGTTACGTTTCAGGTCTAACATTGATAAACAGACCAAAAATTCGATAGCCCAAACGTTCAACGGCTTCAGTCCTTGATATCTATTGCGCAGATCTTTGAAAACCCGAACGAGATCCTAAACAATCTAGGTATATTGCTATACTAAAACGCAAATCTGATTGAAACTGCTGATAACTAAAAACGAGCACCAACCTTCACCGGCGATCCAGCAGCCGCATCCTCCCACCACCGAATGTGCCTTTTAGCGGCCAAATGGCGAAGCATTAACTTTTCAGACACTAAAAATTTAACTTAAAGATCGGCCAATTTAATTTCTCACCATGTAATCCTTCCTCCAATTGTGGAGCATTAGCAGCGATTGTTCCAATTAACAAGTTTACTTTTACTCCGATTGACGTAAAGTTGATTAGACAACCAAAGTCTCGAGATTGCACGGAAATAACTAAATACATAAAATTTGAAAGAAAATTGGAAACGTTTACTTTCCCGCTCAGCACGAATCAACTCGCCAACTTTTTGTCCCAATGAATGAACTGATTCAACTAAAGAATCCGATAAACAGTGCGTAGAAAGTAACCAACTGATCGGCATAGACTTCAAAACAACACATATATCAAGAGTTTTGTGACCGAGAAGAATTGTGTCTTTTTTCGATGATCCAATTTCAGAGTATTCTTCGATAACCTAAATAGTCATAAAACGATAGTCCATATAATCAATAATCACTTACCAATCCTGGCACCAACTTGTCATCTGATTTAATTTTACTCAACGCGCTCAACGTCTTCGTAAGTGCATTTTGTAAATGGCTTCGTTCAACTTCTGTTGGTGTTAATTTAATCGATCGATTGACAATCTCCTAAAAATTAAAATTAAACTACAGAAAAACGTTTACAAAACCTGAGTAAGCAGAGTGTCATTGGAATCAGTGACTTTCGGGAAGAACTCGCTAGCCATCGTGAGATCAAAAGTAGGTTGTCGAGAGTTGAATGCTGGTCGCGGTGGGCCGCCCGGTCCGCCTGGTCCGCCCGGTCCACCTGGCCCAGGGGGTCCTTGCGGTCCTCCCATCGGTGGTCCCACTAAATTTCCCAATCCGGATCAGTTTTTAAAATGGTAATTTTGCTCAATCTAGTGTTACCTCGTCTTAATATACAAGTCTAGCTACCATTAAACGTACTTAAAGAAATCGATAAACTAAAAACTTACTGCTCATCAACGGAACTGGAGGTCCACCTCCTCGACCACGAAACGGCGGCCCTCCTCCCCGAAAATTTCCACGCATCTGAAATTTGCAACAAATTTAAAAGCCAAACGTTAGAAAACGGAACAAGAAAGTGTTAAAAACCAAAGAAACTTTTAGAAAACTCTACTTCATTTCAGAAATTCTACTGCGGATGGATGTTTTGATTTTTCCTGCTTGAAATAAAACTGCGCGGCAGCCCATTTTTAATGGAATTTGTGAAAAAATAGAAAAAGTATTCAATAGATTTTCTGTAATAAAGTAGAACCATAATACGCTTATTCTATTTAGCTGGTAACCGCATAATTTGGCCTGGATCAAAAACCGTAAGCAAGGTTTTCAAATTTTCGATAGCGGCGGTTTAAAACGCATTGAATTTGACGCTTTTTTGGGCGCGTCGCGTATTCGACCGTGACGTCAGCTACCCAGTCGTATAAATACTCAGTCGAGCCGCCAGAAGTCTTCGAGGAACGCCGGCAACCCTTAACCCGGCACTTGGTGAGTGATTTACGTTGTTGAATCTAGTGGCAATAAATCATAGTTGAGAGTCAGAAAAAGCAAAACAATGACATTTAACCGACCAAATAGCGACTGTATGGAAATTTAGGTTCGAGCCGGGAATTTCGAAAATATTGGAACCCTACGTTCGACAATTTTTTTTAAAATTTTGCCACAACCTAAATCTTTTATTCTAGTTTCTAGATTAAATTGGCTGAATATTTTATATTTAGTGTTTAATTTCTAATTCTAAGTACAAATTTTTGTCGTAGTGAGCTTGACGAGATTTTTCATTTAAAAAACTAACTTTGCTGTCTATTTTCTATGATAGTTTAAGATTTTTTAAGGAATAGTTGCAAGAAATTTTCAAACACTCGAGATAGAAAATTGCACCAATTTGCCAGTACAAACTCTCTTTTCACAATTGCTCTACTTGGTTATTTTCCAAATCTTGCGTAAAAATAATGCCCAATATTCAGGCTCTATTCACGCTCAGCAAAAATGAGTCATCAAATCGCACCCGGACAAACTATGGTTTGATCTGAAAGAAAACCTTCATTCAAAAGATTTCAGGCCGAAATATACAGAGGAGTGATAAACGATGTGATCGCACAGATGAAGGAAACATTCTTGGATGAAAACGTGGACATCGATGTCCTTCAACAAATGAAAAAGGTTCGGGATCTATGATAGGTAGCCAACTGAAGTCTCGAGTTTAGGATTGGGAAGATCGTGTCCGTCAGTCTCACGCCGTCGATTTGGATGGACCTAAAGTCCCTGCTCAACAGGTTAGAATGAAGACAAAAAAATGTTGATATAATGCAGATAACATGCCTTGCCAAAGCCCTAAAATCAAAATTATCGTTAATTAGAATCTCCCCCCTCTTCGTGCGAATCAACGACAAGTGACTCAAGCGATGCCTCAACCACAAGCTACCCGTGCTCAACAGCAGCCTGCTACGCAACAAGTTCGTGTCAACATTTATTGCACTTAAATTTTAGCTTGATCTTGAGAAAACCAAATCTTTGATTTTAGTATCAAAGTCCACCAAAACCAACGCCCATCGCTCCAGTGAACTATGCAAATAGGCCTGTAGCAGTTGTGAACGTAAGTCTAATCAGAAAATCTAACAATAAGTTGACTATTGCTAATTTACCTAAGTAGTTGCTAACCTGATCCAGTCTAGATGCCCCATCAACAACTGCTTGGACACCAAATGGAACAGCCTCAGGCTCGAGTCCAGCAACAACCACAGACTCAACAGCCCGCAGCAATGTATATGCAGCAAGCTCAACAACAACAAAATCAATTGCATCATTTTCAAGGACTTCCGGTATTCAACTCCATTTAAAGTCAATTATTAGTATTTTTCAGAACAATGTGGTGCAGATTCAGGCACTTCAGGCTCAAGCTCAAGCTCAGGCCAATCAGCTTCGGATGTTGCCAAGTAAAAGTAAACAGTTGAAAGCAATCAATTTTTCTAGATAACGCTCAACCACAGCAACAATTTCTTATGCACAATGCACAAGGGATTCCACAACCAGTGATGATTCTTGGCGGTAATACTTAAAGCTCTTTCCGGGAGATAAAGAGGACTTTAAGGTCAAGGACAACAATTCTTGGCAAACACCAATTTTGTGGGCCAGGTGGGCCAGCGGATCGTTCTCCAACCACAGCAACAGACACAGGGTCAGCAACAGCAACAGTTGGGCCACGATCAACAACATCATATCCGACAAATCGATGGCCAAAATTTCATAGAAGTTTGAATTTGAACTCTACGTAGTTGAACAACAACATACGTGCGAACACAAACCAATGTAACAGAGTCAAAAATCAGGAATGCTAGTTGGAGGCCTAACATCTTGATTTCCAGGAAGAGATCATCGAAGATATGCCTGGAACAAGCCACTCAAACACGCAAACGGTTCCGCCAAGATTGATTCTTCGTAACTTGAAGGATCTCCAGAAACCAAAGAGAGTGAAGGGTAAAGAGCTAAACGAGTTGCTAAAACGTCTTGGTGGCGTAGTACAAGTCGATGGTAACGGTGGAATGACAGATAGCTCAAGTGAAGACGAGGTAACTAAAAGCGTCAACAATCCTAAATACATTATTTCTAGGAGGTGGAGGAGGAGGATCCTTTGCAGAATATCGTAAATCGGATCGATGACAAGGGCGAGGGTGATGATGAAGAACAGGTAAATTCTAGAGTCAAGACCAAATAGAGCTTAAACTTATTTTATAGACAACCGATGAGGCTCCTCTTAATTCGGGCGATGATCAATCGGATGAGGAGGATGTTGAGACACTTTTTGCGGCTGAGAACATTGTCGTTTGCCAGTTTGAAAAGGTAAAAATATCTATCAATATAATAGCCATAACATGCAAGTATCGAAACTTCATACAGAAAATCTGAATTCCCTATATTAGGTTAATAAAATTTACCTAGGTCGGTCGCACTCGTCAAAAATGGAAGTTTAATCTGAAGGATGGAATCATGCATATCGCTGGCCGCGACTATTGCTTCCAAAAATGCACCGGTGAAGCCGAATGGTGATTCTGCAGACCAAGCATGATTGTTTCCCAATCGCCTACGTTAAATTATGTTTATTTTTATTAGTTCATTTTAATTTCTGATTTATGGGAATGAAACCATCAGGTTTCAACCTTCCTTTTAAGTTTAAACAATTTAACAAACCATATTGTTAGATTGGGTAACTCAAATCTAGTAATGCGCAAAACGAGTTTCCGTCCGTCCCGCGTAGTGTATTATTTTACTGCCCTGACGGAGGTAGATCTGTGTTCCTATTTTTAGGGGTGTATTGCGTTCAAGATGTCTTTTAAAATTTTTTTGACTTTTTCGACTGCTATCGTTTTTGCTTGTGTGATAACCTAGAATTATCCATTCAACATCTTCAATACTTTTGCCTTGGATAACTGTAATGTTTTTGGTGACAATAAACAAAATTTTTGGAGAAGCATGCAAACCTAGGACCAAATCAACCAACTTCACATTCCAGTAGCGCATCTATTAGTCTTTGTTGTAGTTCTTCTAGGTATTGCATTTCTAGGTCGGCTTGACCAAATGCTTGGGCAGCAGCCGCCTAAAAATTGGTGAAGAGCCCTGCCAAACAAAACTAACTTCCCGTTCTAGCTTCATTCTTTTTCGCAACCTTGCTGCAGTTCTCTTGCTTCTTTGTGTCACCTTCTCGAATAACATCCATCTAAATTATGCTCAAGAAAGAACTTATGCTTGAATACAAACCAGCCCAACGTGTCCGTCTGCACCTTCTTTAGTTGACGGTTTCTTCTTGCAACGCATTCCAAGACCAGCTCGATTCGATTTGCGAAGAACAGCCACCTAAAAATCTTACTTATTATAAGCCGAAAAGTTTGTGTGTTTGTCCGTTCACCTCATAACTCGAGTCCCAGTGGAAATTTCGGTCTGATTTTTTTGGGACAATAATTAATCAACTAAGGCGGGTTGGCCTGTCAAAACAAAATTGAAAAATCTTTAACCGTTTTTGAGTAACGTTGAAAAAACTGAATTTGGCAATGAGATCAAAGGTCTAGGGATCTAGGGGACTTCAAAAAGTGAATTTCGGGTTCATTTTCTCTGAATACATTTGAGGAAATATACTTAACTTTTGGCACTAAAAACATTTTGAAAGTTTTCGATTTTTTTTGAGAAAACGTTAAAGGCAAAAAAGTTCAAAAGGGCGGAAGCGTGGGTCAAAGGGATTTTGGGTAAACGGAAAAATTTGCCTCTCAAACTTAGTTTAGTTATTAAAATGAAAATTCAGTAGTAAAATAATGAACTGTAGTAAATTTGCTAACAATTAATAACCAACTTTGACTCATGTAAACTATGCGTTGGCCCAAATTGGTCAGCAGTTAACCCCGGCTAAACACCGGGGGTTAGCTGTTGGTTGCATTAAAGAAATTATGCCAATTCGCTAGATTCTTGGGCAGCAGAATGGTAGCAAAAAAAAAATGGTGAAGCGTGCTGCCAAATGAAACTAACTTCACGTCCTCGCTTCATTCTTTTTTGCAACCTTGCTGCAGCTCTCTTGCGCTTCGCTTGCTTCTTTGTGCCACCTTCTCGAACAACACCCATCTAAACATTATGTTCAAAAAAGAACTTATGCTTAAACAAACCGGTTCAACGCGTCCGTCTAGACCTTTTTTAGTTGATGGCTTCTTCTTGCATCGCATTTTGGACCAGCTCGATTCGATTTGCCAAGAACAGCCACCTAAAAATTGCAAACAGAAAAAAAAAATGTTTTAATACAAACCGGATCAACGCGTCCGCTCTTGTTTTTTCCAAGTCCCTTTCCTTCCTCCCATCTCAACGCCTTGAGTAGCTTGAAGCCCTTGTTTTGAGCCTCAACGGAGTGTTCATCGTTCTTGATTGTGCAGCCATGGCACATGCATAAACGGTGCTTAAATATATTGGTTTAGGTAAGTTTTAAGTTATTTTCAACCTAATCTTTTAGATTAGACAGAAAATAGCTTAAGCTATCCTCCAAAACTTGCTAAACCATTGAAAATCCCAATGAAACTCTCATTGAGATTTTCCTTTCTTTCTTTCTTTCTTTCTTAACTTTCATTATGAAAGTGTGAAAAAATTATTATTTCTCCTTGTTTCGATGTTTCTTCGCTGAAAACATATCTACAGTTTAGAAAACAATCTCCATTGTTTTCTAAAGTGTGGACAATTTTTGGTGCTAAATGCTCATTTTAAATTTTTGGTTTTATGAATAGAAAAACTTTTCCTTTAAAAGTTCAAAGCCAGCGCTGTTTTTTAGGGAGCTGATCAAAATAGCGCCATAGCAAAAATATCCCCTCCGCGGTTAAGTTTCTATGTGTTTCTTATTCTTATTGGATGCAGAATAAAATTATTTACATTTTGCATACTTTGGGATCACTTAAAACAGAATTGGTGTCGAGAAAAGCTCAGTTAACATCTTTTTGAGCCCTTTTTCTTTTTTTGGCCTTTTCTCATCCAAGATTTGTTCTAAACGGCTCCAAAAACTCAAAACATAGCTAATTTTTTTCCAGATCTAATAAATAAAAGATACAAATAAACTTAACCGCAAACGCATTATTTTGGCCGGCGCTGTTTGTACACGGCACTCTTTTGACCAGCTCCCGTTTTTATGGTTTTTATGACACTTTTGCTATTTTATGATAGCTAGAGACTTTTAAGCACCGGTTAACATTTTCAAAACATTTAATACGTTCTTTGGTCATTTTCTTTTCACGTCGTTGATGTGAAAAGACAATGGTCATAAAATAGCAAAAGTCTTTTAGTTTTAGCTTTCCTTTACACAACTCGCTAGAATGAGCTATAACATTGGACCTGGACAAACGATGGTTTGGTTGTATAGATCTTTTTAAGCTTTGAAAGTTTTAGGCCGAAATATACAGAAGAGTAATCAATGAGGTGATCGCACAGATGAAAGAAACATTTTTGGATGAGAATGTGGACGTTGATGTTCTTCAGCAATTGAAACGGGCTAGTTTTAACCTTTTTAAAGATTTTTAGTCTTTTGATGCACTTGAAAACAGTGACTGTAACTTTATCTCTTATATATACAGCTCCAGCAACAAATTTTCACTAGTAACTTAGCTTTGTACTATACGCTTTTTTTATGAAAGTTGATTTTAGGATTGGGAGAATCGTGTTCGTGACTCGGGTGCCGTCGATTTGGACGGAAAAGGTCCCATTATGCAGGTTAAAAACTCTGTGTCTCATTTATTCATTTTTTTAAGAATCTTCCACCACTTCGTGCAAGTCAAGGACAGATTCCTCGATCGTCTTTCCAGCAACAAACTCTTTACGTTCAACTACCTACTACTACAAAACGTCTTCATCAATTGGATGGAAATATCATGACAGATAGCTCAAGTGAAGACGAGGTCAGCTATAATGGATTAACCATCATTATCTTTTTAGGAGATTGAGAATGATGATCCATTGCATCATATTACTGAAAAGGGTGATGACGATGGAGAACAAGAAGGACAGGTAGACTTTTTGTGCTTCCTCTTCATTACACGCGTATAGGTGAACGAAGAGCCGCCTCTTAATTCGGACGACGATCAATCGGATGACGAGGATATTGAGACACTTTTTGCTGCTGAGAACGTTGTTGTTTGTCAATTTGAAAAGGTGACCGACCCGCTCTCTTGCGATCTTATCATAGGACGTAATTTTTATAAGTAACTTGCCTATGAGGTCATTGAGACCATTTCTTTCTTTCTTTTAAATGTACATAGGCAAGTAAAATTCAGGTTGGTCGCAATCGTCAGAATTGGAAGTTTAATCTGAAGGATGGAATCATGCACATCAATGGCCGTGACTATTGCTTCCAAAAATGCACCGGTGAAGCCGAATGGTGATTATGCAGACTTAAGGATTATTGATCATTCTTCTAGTATTTAATCGTTAATTCTTGTTGGTTTTACGTTCTTTTTTATTATTTTGTTAAGAAAAGTAAATATTGTGTTTTTCATAGTATCTTTACTTTATCAATTGCTGGATTATATTGCCTATCTGGTCAGCAAACCTAACTCTCTCGATTTATTGTGCATTCTTCACTAGTTGGAATGTTTATTCAATTGAAACGATACCCGATTTGGGAACCCGTTTGAAGCACCATTTAGTGAGAAGGAAAAAACTTTCGAAACACTAGAACACAGAGTTCCTTGATTTCTTTTACTATTATTGATAAGTTTTCTATAGGGCATCTCAGATCATTTGCAATGACAGAGCTTTTGGAGTTTCTTTGTCTCGACACAATGCGAGGAATTGCCATATCTGAAATTTGATTCATTTGGGTATTGAAATCGTTTTGGACTTGTTGTTTCTCTCAATATCTCCATCAATTTTCCAAGTTGGAAAAAGCTTTGACGAAAGGTCGTGATGGAGAACGGCTTCGAGGAGAGCATTTGATGGGGGAGAGATGCGAATTGAGATTCTGAAAGAGAGATTGAACTAGAGTTTGAGGATTTTACAGTGTGCAACAAGTCATTTCTGCGTTTTAGTAAACAGCCTCTACTTTCTAAAGCGTGAAATGAGGAATTTCACACTTTAGAAAACAAACGCTCAAATGAAACTTGCCGAAACTATCGCGGATTTTACTCACCGGTAAATGACGGTGATTGCTCCCGTTGGATTTTTGTAACTCATGCTTCTAAAGAGTTAAAATTTTCCGAAAACGTGGAGATTAATCTATAAGAGTGTCTATTCAAAGAAATGTCTAGCTAGTTTTGTATTTAAACAGACCTATCCTTGATGATCGCCTTTGGTGGCAGACGGACGGAAACCGATTCGATCTTGGCCAAATCCATGTGAACACAGCGATCCTAGAAGTGAGCTATAGCCTGAGATATCGATGTTGAACCCAATCGATGTATAGACTTGCCTATCGGTCAGATTAATGCAATATAGGAAACATGATGGACTGAATATAGTTTAATATTTCTCTTTATACATATCTTATTTTCTACCATACCCTTTTTTCAATTCTGCATCGACTTTAAGCAATAAGCAGGTCTACAACATATTCTAATGTGAATATGGTGATGGTGGAACTTGATGAGACAGACATACAGACAGACATACAGACAGACAAACAGACGACAGCAACAGACAGACAGACAGACAGCTCTTTTATATATAGTAGATTATATCCAAGAATAAACTATTCATATCCCCACTTTATCTGGACTCTCTTCAATCTCTCGATTCACCTCGGCAAGCAAAAACTCGGCGGCTTCTTTTCCTTTTGAAACATCGAGAGTCACCTCTTGATAACAGGGACAGTAACTAGAAAATGAATTTGCATTTAAATATCGTAGTCCGTCATCTATTCTTAAACGATAGTTGTACTAAATTTAGCTATGCAAATTGTTGAAACCCACGAATCCGGGACGTTCAGTTGGGCACACGTGCGATTCTCGGGAATCTCACCAAGCAACGAGAAACCCCGCGAGGTATTTGAGGCAAAATCGTAACGATTCTGAAAGAAATTTGCATTCGGCTTTAGAATTGCATATTTTGGTAGTAAAGAGTTACCAATAGAGCGGGCTTCTGTTGGTTAAACAAATTAATTAGTTAAAAGTTTGCATTTTAAAATTAATCAAGACAAACCAGACAAAACTTTGGTCAAAGATTTGTAGATTTATAGATTTTTAGAAGAAAAGATTTGGAAGAAGAATGGAAGCTAACAATGAATGGAAGAATGAAAGCTAACAATAACAATGAATGGAAGAATGAAAGCTAACAATAACAATGAATGGAAGAATGAAAGCTAACAATAACAATGAATGGAAGAATGAAAGCTAAAAATTAATGGAAGGCAAGGGAAGGGAAAGTTTTTCTCTGTAATAATCCGTTTAAAAATTAGCCCGGGATTTATTTGCTAATCTAGAATAACCTACCAATAACAAATCGTTGAGCAACTCGTGTGTGTCGAAATGGGTCGTGAAGATCTTCGCGTTACGCTGCAAATTTGACAACATTTTCGGGTGCTTCTTCGTCAAAAGCTGAATTTTTTTGATCGGTTTTTGAAGTAGCTACAAAATTTATCTAGATTTACATTTTCAAATCAAATCTTAAATCCAAACCACATTTCTGGTAAAGAAAACTAGCCTCGGGCAATCTGATTGACATGATTGGAAGGCGGGATTCCATTCGACCGACCACCTGAATTTATGTCATCAGTTTTGGAATTGATTGAAATTTTACATTATCCAGAGTCGTTCCATAAGTAATTTTTCCGAGCCTGGTCAGGCAAACACAGCCCAAGCAAAGCCTTGCACTATCTGGCCTGCATTCACTGCAGGTTTAGCTCACAAAAGTCCCTGGATCAATCAGAACCCAGGCCTAGGCCTGATTTTGGGCTCTGGCCTTGCCGCTTGCCACTGGTGATAAAATCGTGGATAGGTAAGCCATAAATTGTTTTCTATTTACTCTCAATAAAGTCATTGAAAACCTTCACCGTTTCTCGAATTGCATCGTAGCGATTCCCGTGATCCGACAGCAAAATCACCACCGTGTTCTCCCACAAATCGGTGTTTCGAGTGAGGAAAGCTGAAATTTTGGGATTTAAATTGCTTATTTCAACTCCGAACCTGAGAAATCATCATCAGCCACTTTGAGAGTGTTCAAATATTCGTGTGACAATTCGACATTCCAAAATAAAGTGAAGAATGGAATTGAGAGATCGCGATACGTTTTCATGAAGCTGAAAGAGAAAGTAAAATGAAAGAAGAGTTTAGTTTCAAGTCTATAATACCGTAATAATTCTAATAGAAGACCAGTCTCTATTAGAAGACCAGTCTCCAATAGAAGACCCTTTTGAAGGGAGGTTGAAAAATAGAAGACCAGTCTCTATTAGAAGACCAGTCTCTAATAGAAGACCAGTCTCTAATAGAAGACCAGTCTCTATTAGAAGACCAGTCTCTGATAGAAGACCCAAACTCTTAAAATGCACGATGTTACCGTATCCCGCTACCACCCAGATTTTCTTGTAAAAATCATTGTGCAAAGTTATTATTTCTTTCCTACTAGTGTTTTTTGTAATTCTTGTTTCTTGTCTTAAAATAAATAATGTGTTTATTTTCAGGGCTGATGGCTGAGCGACTGCCAATTCGCACGGATTCTCTGGAGGAGTATCGAGATATTCGAAAAGATGAAGGAGACGACTTTGAAATCTTCAAGGAACGAGAAAAGGAGAATGAAAACGAGATGAATTCGGAGAATGCTTTGGAGGCTCTCGAAGCGGAACTGCTCAAGAATGGAAACAAACGGAAGGCATATTCGATCGAGTTTAAGTTAGAAACAATTGAATTTGCAAAGACGATCTCAAAGAATGTTGCAAGCACAAAGTTTCAAGTCAGCAGAAAGATGATTCGCGAATGGATTTCGCAAGAAAAACGATTGCGAAAGATGGGGAAATCATACAAGAGGTTAACAGGAGGTGGCCGAACCCTCACAAATACGCAACTCGACGTGGAACTTGCCGAATGGGTCCGAAGCGAACGACAGAAGAAAAACAAGGTCTCGAGGCGTTTGGTCCAAGAAAAAGCAAAGCGTTTTTGTGAGCAAAACGATATCAAAGTCGATTGTTCATTGGGATGGCTTCAAAAGTTCATGAAGCGTCATGGATTTTCAATGAGAACTCCAACGTCAATCTGTCAGAAGCCTCCCCACGAATATGCTGATGTGTTGGTCAATTTCGTAATGTATCTCAATCGGATGCAAAAGGAGAACAAATACACACACATCTACGCTTGTGATGAAACGGTCGTCTTCCTTGATCCAATTGGCGGAAAATGTGTTGATGAAAAAGGAGCAAATGAAGTCTCAGTTCGATCAAGTGGACATGAAAAGACAAAAATTTCTGTGATGCTTACGGCGCGCTCCGACGGTTACAAGTGCAAGCCTTTTGTTCTTTTGCCACGGAAACGAATTGATCCGGTCATCCAGAAGCGATTTGGAGGTAAATGATGAGATGGTTGCTCAATTATTGGATGAAATTGATTTGGGCGAAGAGGAGGAAAACAAGGATTACGAAAGCGATGCCTCGATTGAAATCAATGACATTAATGAAAATTAAATTGAGGTTTTTTAACGGATTTGCTCCTTTCAAATTGTTTTATGTTTTATGTTAATAATTATTTGTTGTTATTGTTGTTAATTGTTGCTTTAACTAAGTGAATAAAGTGATGATACAATGTGACTGATTTTTAAAAAGGGTTGCTTCCTAAAATCGTTCTCTAAAGCTTTGACAAATTCAAGACCAGTCTCTAATAGAAGACCCTTTGGGAAGGGGGTTGAAAATTAGAAGACCAGTCTCTAACAGAAGACCCTTTGGGGAAGGGGTTGAAAATTAGAAGACCATGGTCTTCTATTAGAATTATTACGGTACATACATTTTGCTCAATGATCTAAACATTCTAAAATTTATCACAGTTAAGAGAACAAGTATGTAATGCCGTAGCTGCAGCTAGGGCTATTTTAAAAAGCCAGAAGCTATGGCTAGCCAGGCCAGGCTTGGCTTGAAATTTTTGGTCTAGGAACAGCTCTGGCTGTAGCTGTAGTGCCTAATAAGCCACATTTACTATGCTACTAGTGCCTAGTAGCATAGTAAATGTGGCTAGTAAAATCGTCACAAGAGAAACTCCTACCTTTCAATGTAATCGAGCTGTAGCATATGTAATGGAGTCTCCCCAAAACATTGCGTCGAACTTCGCAGCATCTCCGTTGTATCGTAAATTGACAAGAAGTACGGTCTAAAGTAACTACTTTAAGCTATCATATCATTTGTTAATGTTTTCTTTTCCACAAAAACCCTACCTTTGATAGTGATCGGTCGGTGGTCGGGCCACAAATCCATGACTCCTTTCTTTGTAACTGAACGTGCTCCATTCAGGTCGATCCTCAGAAAACATTGTCGCGTATCCATCACGACCAAACCTGCAAAAGGAATAGCTATCGTATTTCTAAAGAAATAACTTTACCTCCTCCACATAAACTCGGTCCACGAATCGTAATTTACACCCCATCCATCCTCCACTTCGCTCGGGAATTCCTAAAATCGAAATACTCTTTACCATTTCTGTACTCACCTCCGAGAAATAACCTCTCTTCCCGAGCATCATCGCGCAAAGATTCGGAAAAGTGTTATCGCCAAGCTTTGAATAGGACTCAAGTGTAACGAAATTCATGTCAGACATCGTTTTTAGAGTCTAAATTGCCCGGAAAATTGAAATCAAAACTTCTACTCACTTTTGGCATTTGTCGAACAAAGTTACTCCTTGAGACGCCATCGATTCCGATGATGAGAACGCTTGGACGAGTGGAGAAATCCCGAGAGTATGACCTATAAATTTTAGATATGAATCAAGCCAACATCAAGCCAGAACATCAAGCCAGAACCAATCCTTTCCCAATTCCCACTTACTTTCCCGTTTCGGAGCTGAGATTTCGGGGGAAAATTTGAAAGAAAGCATTTCGATAGACGTTTTTCCGAATACCCAAAAAATCGCGGAAACACTCGACTTGCACGAAATCGGTGAAGATTTTTGGGGAAAACCCAGCTGAAATAAACGCAATAGATTATAAATTTAAAGCCGACTTTTGCTCAACTTTACCCTCAATTCTTTTCCATTCTCCAAATCGAGGATGGAAATCGTCGACTCCTGAATTGTGCTCGACCGATCGATACAAACATTCCGAGTCATTCCTCAGCAAATGAATCCTGCCGTCAATCAATTCGGCATAGTTGTCCTAGAAATCAATCCTTTTAGGTGTACTTTGTGCTCAATTCTGTAAACGCACTCACTCTTTCTGACGCATTGAATTCTTATTTCTGTGCCACTAGGTTGCTATGAAAAATATGGAGACTTGAATGCGCTAGAAAGGGTGCATTTACAGAATTGAGCACAAAGTTCACAATAGAATTAGTGATCTTTGACATTTCGAACGGGCTTGCAGACAAAAAAAGCAAAAAATTGAATATCTTTTAATTTTTAAAGAAAAAGTCAACAAATAGGGCAGCCACGTTTTTCCGCTTTTTCCGTCGCAGTGCGTAGCTACCCCATTTGTTGACCTTTTCTTTGAAAATCAAAAGCTATTCAATTTTCCGCTTTTTTTCTGCTTAAAAGCCTGATCTCAAGGTCAATTTGTAATCCTTGAGATCTGAATCTCACTAACATCACTAACCTGAATCTTTCGACATTTCAATTTTTGTGGCTTCACATCAACATATTTCTTGATCGATTCATCGAATGGATCAAGCGCTTTTAGATGACATTTATGCCCGTCTCCCGATTTTGAGGAAATTTCCTGAAAAGTAAATCTATGACTTTTATCTATGGGTTGTCCAGTTATGAATGCGCGTTTTTTACTATTTTGTAAATTTCTCAGGATACCGAAATCAAGAAAAAGATATTTATGAGTATTATTCGAAAGCTGAAGATCTCCTCTACATTTTGATATAAAAAGTTTTTGAATTTGTTCAGCTTTTGGGCAAATTGACTGCACAGAAGAAGAGGTGGCCAAAAAATGGAAGGTGGCCTTTGGATCAAGTTTTGGCTCCGCTCAAATTGAGTTAACCGTTTGATGTTTGGCCAATAGATATATCAATACAACTTTTTAAAAAATATAACAATTTCAGAGCATCTTTACTTTTCTTTTCTTTTCTGGGCCGTTATTTTCCACCATAAAACTTGAGGAATAGCTAAGCTGAAATGGGTTTTTTCGAAAACGACCTCTCTCTTTGTGCAGTTAATTTCCCAAAAAGTTGAATGAATTCAAAAACTTTTTATTCCAAAATGTAGAGGAGATCTTCAGCTTTCGAATGATATATAACACTCATATACATCTGTTCGATATCTTGAGAAATTTACAAAATAGTAAAAACGCGCATTCATAACTGGACAACCCAATACTTTGATACAAAAAGTATTCAGTTATGTTTAGATCAAAATCAACAGATACCTGTAACATCAAAAACTCTTTGGGGAGTTCATCGCCGGGGAAGAAGAAATAGAGAATGAATAAAGCGAAAGAAAGAAGAGAAATGTATCGCAATAAGCGACTTCTCGGCATCATTTCACTCTTGGAATCCTTTGAACTATACGGGCATCTAAATTTTAAATGTCTAATGGTAATTGATTTCATTAAAGTATACCGAAAGAGATAAAAAGTATTCAGCCGAGAAACCCGAGTATCTTTTGAACTACGCAAAGGGTAACTACCGTAAATACTGTAATAGTACCCCACCGCCCTCGTACAGTCGCGTAGTCGCAAAAGTTTTTTAGCATTCGATTTTTTTCAAAGCACCCGTACTTTCAAAAAATAGCTGAAATTCAGGGCTATTTTTTGATACCAAAGATAATGACGGTGCGGAGTGTTGCGTAGTCTAGCTTTGAACGCGTTTTTCTCGACACTGTTTTATGCTACAATGCTCGTTTAAATATCAAAAAATAGCCCTGAAATTCAGGGCTATTTTTTGATATTTAAACGAGCATTGTAGCATAAACCAGTGTCGAGAAAAACTCGTCCAAAGCTAGACTACGCAACGCTCCGCACCGTCATTATGGGGGTGGGGTACTATTAAAGTATTTACGGTATTGCAATGAAACTGAATGCCAGAAAGAATAGAAAATATTCACAGTTAATAAAACTGAATATCTTTTAACGCAACGGGTAAACTGAAAATGAGAAATGAGACTTTGATTTACAGGAATTTTTAAAAAGTAACACTCTCAAAGCATCAGGATTCAGGAAAATTATGCCGAATTAATCGATGCAAAGGCCGAAAATAGCACAGAATGACCGTATCAATCAGTTGAACTATCTCTTAGCCTTTTATTTTGCTGCGTCTCGGAATAAAGCACGTGCATAAATCAGTTGCACCAAAAATGACGACAAAAAGCGCAAAGAAAAGGAAATCTTACAAAAAATAGAGGTTTGTTTGTTTCGAATGTTTCAAAACACAAAACACAACAAACAAAAAATGTTTCAAAAGTTGCCAAAACGAATCCGAAGTTGATTTGACTTTCAAAAAAAAGTTTTTTTTGCTATCATAGTTTCCTTTTCGTTCAAGGCCATCCAGTCGATTTTTTGCCTTTTCATCCGTTTTCTTTCCTCTTTTGTTTGCGTAGCTAGCGAGTGGGCAGTGAACAAATTACACATGAAACTAGTTCAAAACTAATTCAAAAATGTGAAAATTTTTTCAGATAAAGTATTCAGAAAAGTGATGAGATTGAGAAAAGGTTTGGATTTCTAAAAGAAAATGTTTTTAGCGATCGATTTGGTCCCAACTGAAGCTTTTTCTTCAAAAAGAGACTCTCTTATCTCTTTTTCCCCGTTTTGTGGTCGTTTCGATTGAATATTTGTTTTGTTCTTTAAAGAAAACAAAAGAAAAAGCAAAAATATAGTTATGATGTGACTTTTTGTGAGAAAATATGATTTTCGAAAAGTTTCGATACTTGTCGGTTATACATCCATAAAGGCTTATCTTGGTGAAGCATCCCCATCCGAGTCTTCTCGGTTATCGATTTTCGTTTGACACATCGACTGATCACTTCAGGCGAACACTCTACTTCACTGAACATAATCACCCCAGCTTCCTGCTTAACCGAGTTGAGTCTCTGTGGATGTTTGACCGACAAGTACCAAAGTTTCAAGCCTTAAAAGTACAAGGGAGATCCTAAAATCCTTTCTACAAATTTTGAAAAAAAGAATTTTCAAATAATTTTTCTAATGGATTTTCGCAGCTCCAAGATTTTGATACAGATAACGGGAGTGGGACAAATGCGACAAATGCGACAAGTGCGCAAATGTCCGGGTGCGCAAAGGTCGCATTTGTCCCACTCCCCAGATCACACAATGGTGTTATGGAAATTAAAAAAATGATCAAAACAAAGATTCTTTTCGACAAAAAATCTAATTCGACAATTCGTCAGCGCAAAAACATAACGCAAAGAAGTTTTGAAAGATTTGAGAGTGCTTTTTGGAATTTTAAATAAGAACGCGCATTGTTCTCTCGTTTTTCGATGTGCAAAGAATTTGTGGAGAGACAAAATAACAAATTCGCATTAGAAAGTTTAGTATTGGGTTGGTGAATTGAAAACTACGGGACTTTGAACTAAAATTTATTGAGCATAAAACCATCAATTCATTCCAAATAATTTCCATTATTATAATTTCCACTTCTGCCCATTTTACAGGCAATTAGCGGATTTCTTTCGTAGTAGGATTTTGGTTCGTGTGTGAGACAAGTGTGAGACTCAAAAATAGAGGACTGGAGATGTCCCAGTTTGAGCATTTGAGCACTTTCTCCAAAAGAAATCCATTTTGGTGTCAATAGAAAAGTTGTAGAGAATCAAAAATTAGGCTTATAGCCAAATTTCCAAAAAGATACACTTAGTAGTTTCGCTTAAAATGCAAGTTTTGTCAAAAATTCGTAAATTTGGCATTTCTTGAAAATCAGTTTTTGAATCGTTCTGAAAATTTGGATATAAGCTTGATTTTTGATTCTCTACAACTTTCCCATTGACACCAAAATGGGTTTCTTTTGAAGAAAGTGCTCAAACTGTCACATATGACAATAGCCGGCAGTTTTCAATTCACCAACCCAATAGATTGGAAAGAAGTCTTTTTAATCGAAAAACAAGCAATTGTTTAAAAATTGCAGATGGTACTATGACGAGACGACGCGCAAATGCAAATCTTTTCACTATTCGGGATGCGGTGGAAATGGGAACAATTATCAGACGGAGATTTCGTGTAACGAACGATGCGCTCCATTGCCGGCAGTTTTCAATTCACCAACCCAATAATAAATTCGCATTAGAAAGTTTAGTAGCTTTGTTAGACTATGTGATGTGTCTATTTGATTTTTTTATTGTCATTTGTCACTTTCTACAAAATACTATATCCTTTGGTTAAATAACAGATCGAATTTGCATCATTTAATCAGAAAAATTCGTATTTAAAGATGATAAAAGCTCGAGTAACAAAGCGGAAAAATCATTCGCTCGTTTTTCTCTTCTCGACGTCGCCCTTCTTCGTCTCTATGTTTTAAAGTAAGAATTTCATATTTTTTTCCTTGTTTAGCTTATTTTTCGTCTTAACATTAAAATCTTACTAGTTCGAGGTAAAAGAAATTGAGTATTCCTCAGCAAACTCGTATGAAATCTATTTATCTAGGATGGCTGTCAGCCCGGTGGACGTTGGAGTGATCATCGCAATTCGTCTTAATCTTTTCGTCGGCATCGTGCTCATCGTCGCCACCATCATTCTCTGGATTCAAATCAGTGAACAGGTTCGGCGTTTTTATATTTGAAGAACTTTTGCAATGGTCAAAAAGGAGAATTATTCTTAGGGTTCTTTTCCAATATCGGGGGAGCGGTCCGATTATCGGGGGAGCGGAAGGATTATCGGGGGAGCGAAAGGAAAATCGGGGGAGCAAATTTTGGCAGCGCTACATATGTCCTATTTAAAATTGTGACGAACGGGAGCTTGCTTTGTTGCAAAAAGTTATCGACTCGAATTCCTCTTGAATGCTTGGGGACCTTTCGCCGTGCGCAAGTGTCACATGCCCAGCGAAATAGATCTTTTCCCTTTGAGCGGACTTTCATCGATTCGCCAGTTTCAAATCCACGACTGGATGACTCCTTTGGTGACAAAATAATCGATTGCCGTCGATTTCTTGAACGCACAAATATCGGAGAAGCGCATCATCGTTAAAGTTTTAAAAAAAAATGTTGCGGTTAAAATACAGTCCCGGAAATGCATTTTTCGAGGGGGCAAAATTTGCTCCCCCGATTTTCCTTTCGCTCCCCCGATAATCTTTCCGCTCCCCCGATATTGGAAAAGTACCGAATTTCCATTTTTATGCTTGCTCAAGAATAAATGTTCGCAAATTTTTTCCCATAGCAAACTTTTAGAATACAGTATGCGGCATGTTTCTGTGCAGGCTAGAGTAGTGAGTGAGTACATTGTTTCCACTCACCACAACAAGTATCTACTGTTTTATATCAATTTGCACCATTTATTCGCCGTAAGCCCTGAATACACAGATGAAGATAAAAGACAAAAGATGGCGTGTAAAATTCACGATCGAATAAGAACTCTTTTAAGGAGACAAGGGCACAACTGTATTTGCAGCCCAGGGAAAGGGGGGACCGTAACGGAAAGAGAAGAAAAAACATCAATTGATTCAGGGCTTATTGATTTGCCTTTCGCTTTTCCTCGTAGAGATATCGCATCTGAGTTGCGCCAGAAGCGAAGCTGGGAGGACGAGCTGAATTGGCGGCAACAAGCGAAGGGTCAGCTGCAGGAGTAACCATGCTAAATCAAACATTAGTACACGATGTAGAAAAAGGAAATCTACTTCTGTGCAATCGGCGTGCCAGTAACGTTTGCTGTAATAGTCGAAGCAATGGGCCTAAAACAGAGAAGATGTCACATTGAAACTTCGACTTACTTTTCAGGAATGTTCGTTGCTTGTTGGGGAGTTGCCGTCACCACTACCGGGGTTTCATTGGCCAGCTTGGCCGCTTGAACGGATCCAAGAGGACCTCCAGGGGTGGTCATGGTTGATACTGTAAAAGAAAAGTGTACAGTGTAAAGGTATCGTAACTCTGTTAAAAAGTCCAGTCAATCGATTACTTGTAGTATGTGGTGGCACGGCCATGTCGAGCGAAACGGCATTATGAACATTTTGAGCCAAAATACGTGGCTTTTCGGGCGTTTGCTCTAAAAGTACAATTAGGGCTGAATAAACAACAAGCAATTTTAGCAACTAGGTTCAAGAAATGGTTTCCAACTGCTTGAAGTAGGGGGAAGCGTCAATTTTGGTGGAGAGGGCTTCCGCGACGTTGTCGATTTCTCGCTTCCAGGGAGAACTGATGCAGGGACAGTGGCTGAGATTTCTAAAAGAAAATAATGAAGCAGCTTAACCTGAAAATGCAAACAATGTTAAAAACACAAATCATACCTTTTCCTGGAGTGGGCTGAGGTGGTGGTGCGGTGCTTGCTGAAGATTTTTCAGACTTCAAGAAGGCAATTGATCGATCAGTTGTTGCACATTTTGGTGTTTGTTGTAGAGTCTTGATCGGTACCAGCGTCACCATTTTCCCCTGTCTCTTCAATGGTCTCTCATGTCCCCCAACCGATGCACTCTAAAGTAGACTCTCGTTAAAAGCGGATCGGCCAACTTATTCGATTCAAGCCTATCCAAGGTAGAATACAAACAACTACTTTAGGATCGACCTTTTTTTGACGAATCATTTGCAAGAACGGCACAAAAGCACCAACCCTAAAACGATGAAATTTGTTGCTGCTTATTGTTTCAGAAGTTACTTTTTTGTCAAGCTTGCTTTCTCCAAATCAGCACGTTTTTCCCGTTCTTGATCGGCACTCTCTAAGTCCATGTTTATCACCGCAACTCCAATCTGGGTCGAGCTGGTCGCACGAATCTCTGTGTAGAGCGTCAGTACCATGCACAGGTTGAACATCTAAAAACAAAACATATTTCAAGTAAAACGTAACAAGCTATCCACTTTACATAATAATTACCCTTGACAATAAATCAAAATACCCACCAAAAGAAGACACGATTCGGCAGTGGTGAAAACGGCTTGGCGCAGAACCTTGGCGACCGTTAAATTTCCCCTCAAATAGTTGTTGGAGCTCTCCGTGATAGCAATGTATATGAACGAAGTGAGAATGGCGAATAGATCTGCGAGACACGTGAAGAGACACAAACCTAAAATTTGCAATTTTCTTTATAATCTATAAAAAGACTGACTCTTTGTAGCATCAAAGATGACTTTCGATGAAAGAAAGATGATCATCAAATGAATCAGCGATAACACCTAAAAGATAAATTTTCAATTAAACAATGAACAATCCACCAAGCCAGTCGATGTGGGGACCTCATCCCTCAAGATATCAATCACAAAAATGTAGATGATGAAGCCAAGTTGACCGAGCATCGTCACGAAAACGCCAAGCTTTGTGCACCACATGACAAGCTTCTGGTAACGACCCGAGCTAGTCTAAAGTACACGTTATAAAAAACGCTTCTCCAGGTCAGATTCACCAATTTTGCATCAGCTCCACGTTCAGCATTGTCCGAAGTACGCACATCATTCGGTTGCTTTTGAGTCGACACTCCGATCGCCGTCAAACGGCTTCGCCTTACGTTTTCCTGTAAAAAAACATAAAACTTTTTCCAAATCTGCAAAAATTCCATACCAATTTCTTTGTGCATGAGTTTTGCTGCTTGGAGTGAGAGCGGGGCTTTGAGCCAGAACCTTGTGGTTTAGAAAGAGCACCCTAAACACAGAATCCATTTAGTTTGATTTAAAAACAACCTTTGAAACGTCGCACTTTTGACTGTTGCTTCGCGAATGAGGTCCTTTCTTTGAGCTTTTTGATTGCGAGCTGGGGCGATGCACCTAAAAAGGAAATCATAAGGAAGCAATAAAGAAATCAACTTTTACTTTCTAACATAAAAAATGAACCTTCACAACTTTTGCCTTGTCGAAACGAGAGCTACCCTGAGGACCTTTCGAAGTGCTGGCACCCCAGCCGGTTTTTGTCTTGGGTCGACCCTTCGAGTGGACATTTGGCGGACGGCGAGCAGCAGATCTCGATGACCTAAAACGGATGTTGAAATCAGAAAGTAAAAAAAATAATGTTTTGATAAAAAGCCAAAACACTACTTTTTGGGGCGAGAGGCGGTGACTCGTCGTGCAGCATTTGATCGGCTCTTCGTCGATTGTCGGCTTTCATTTTCTTTTGACTTTCGGCTTCCCGTCCCGAAGAAGTTAGTGACTTTCTTCTAGAAAATAAAATATAATGTGATACGAGAGTGATAAACTAGCAGAAACACATAAAACTTATATTAGGGATACAAGCAAAAAGGTGCTAGCTGGCTTTGAACAAATCAGTCATTGTTACAGTTGATTCAAAATCAGGCAACGGGTAAAAAGCGAAAGAAAATCAAAAACAAAAATTTTACCTGCAAACCGGACATCAGAGAAGAAATGGAAAATGAATAATTATTCTTTCTCAGGATTATATAGTCAAGAGATTAAATGCAAATTTTGCTGGTATGCTTGATCTATGGTGTTGTCGTTTGAATGGTCTTTGGTTTTTAGATTTGACAGTATCAAATAAAAAAATTAGTCGGAACTTTAGTAGAGCTTTGGTATACTGTAGTGAGATATTTATGTTCAACCTTTCTTCCAAGTGTGAATCTCCTTTTGACCTATCCCTCTGTGTTGTAAATTTCGTAATACAGCAAAGTTCAACAATTTTTTATTTGTACATAACCGTCCGATCAAAGTAAATGCAGAATAGAAAAATGGACTACGGTAGACAATGCGAAAATTGGCTACAAATACTAGAATATTCAGCCTAAGCAAATCTATAACAGAATAACATTTATTTCTTTCTTGTCCCGAAGAGCATTTGAAAGACTCCACCAACGAGGCCACCATTTGGAGATCCACCACCAAACATTCTATTCTTTTTTATTTAAAAGGGAAGTGGGACAAATGCTACCTTTTTTTTGCGCACCCGGACATTTGCGCACCTTTTTTCCGCACCTTGCCCATTAGCGCACCTTTTTTCGCGTTTTAAAAAAGCTAATATTAACCAATTTCTATTCCAAAAGTTGTTTTTCTAGGTAATTTTAGGGCGTAGAATCGAAATTTTGACATATCAGAGCCGGTGGAAACAAACGGACGGAGTTATACAAAGAGAAAAATCGACAATTTTCTGTAATTTGTTCTAGCCGTTTTGTCTTTCAAACTGGTTCCACACGCTCTGATATGTCAAAATTTCGATTCTACGCCCTAAATTACCTAGAAAAACAACTTTTGCAATAGAAATTGGTTAATATTAGCTTTTTAGAGCTTTTTAAAACGCGAAAAAAGGTGCGCTAATGGGCAAGGTGCGGAAAAAAAGGTGCGCAAATGTCCGCAAATGCCCAAAAAAAAGGTCGCATCCCTTTAAAAGTGAAACCCATATATGTTTTTAAATAGCTTTACTTAAATTTGAAAAGATTTGTAAATTTTTAAAAATTAGCTTCTGATTAGCAATCTGTAATGGCTGATACTTGGCTGATACTTTAGGCTTTAGAGTGTTTCTCTATGCGTTTTCTTCTAGAACGTTTTCTTCTAGAGCTTCCCTACAGTAACCCTACAGTAATCCATTTTCTAAAACATGTTATCTTTCGAAACTACCATAACCCTACTGGTAATCAAGAAGTGAATGCTTTCAAAAGCAAACCCCGGTCCGCCCATGAATCCCATCGGCTCATAGACATGATGAACGATCACTTTGGAGTGAGGTGCTGAAAGTTAGCTGGATTAATTTGACTATGAATAGAACTTTTAAAGTATTTAGGTGAATTTCCTCTCCAAAACTCACATCCAATCCTCCTTCTTGTCCCAAATCTTCTCGTTTGTTTGATCTCAGTTTCATCGAAATTCTCCATCGATTCAGCCACTAGAAAGAGCTGGGTTTCAAAATTTGAGTTTCAATTATCGAATAAAACGATCAAATTTAGAAATCGTTTATAAAATTTGCTTGTTTTAAAGGAATACTTAAAGGATTAGAGAACTGAATTATTCTCTAAAAAGTACTGTACCGTCATTGTTTGTCGGGTAGCTTTTAAACAAATCTCTTTTCTACCGTAGTCATTTTTCTACATAGTCATTTTTCTACATAGTCATTTTTCTATATAGTCATTTTTCTACATAGTCAAAACTACAGTAAACCCTTTGCTACTTGGTGGTCCCATCATTGGTGGTTGATATGCGGATTGTGGCGGGGGTGGTTGCTGATAATATTGAGAAGACATTGGTGGTGGGATACCTGGAGAATATTGGCCACCCATGTACCTAAAAAATCTAGTTTTGTTTTAAATCTATTTCTAGATTTGCAGCTAGATTTGTATCTAGATTTATCTAATAATTTCTACGAATTTCAATGAATTCGATCCATTCTTTATTCTGCTTAAAAGTCTTTTTTTCAAAAAAGTAGCATTGACTGATTAAAACCAGGAATTCAATTAAGTAAATAATAAAATCTATAAAATCTATGAAATCAATATAATTCTCATAACAAAACCTACAATCTTCATAGCAAAATCAACAATTTACAACAATTTTCAACAATTTACAACAATTCAAAACAAAAATCAAACCCCACATTCCTTGTCCTCCGTACGGATTTCCATAAAATTGTGGTTTCGTTGAAATACACGAGAAAGAGACGAGAAAAATCACCACAAGTTTAAGCATCTGAAAATGAGTCGAAAACAATACGCTCAACAACAAAACAAACAAAACAACAAACAATACGAAAACATACGATAGCTTTCAAAGGAATAACCAATTGTTTTTTAAACTTTACAACTAAAGATTTCAAAAATCAAAACAAACGAATGTTACTTGAGCTTTTCTCCTCAAAAGCACATCAATTTTTCCTTTCGATTTTCCGAAACAAATCCCTCTTTTTGCCCTCACTTTTCTCCTGGATTTCTCTCAAAAATTTCTCACCAAATTTGACGAATTTTCTTCTTCAATTCCCTCCAATTTTCTCAAGAGAACTTTTGAAAATGGGAAAAGCTTTGGAAGTAAATCGATTATCGAAAAAGAGAAATGAAAAGGAGAAATGAGTCATGGAACTGTGGGACTCGATTCATTGATTGATTGATTTAATTTGATTGATTGATTCAACTTGATTCATTGATTCAAATTGATTGATTGATTCAAATTGATTCATTGATTGATTGATTCAATATTGATTGATTGATTGATTGATTCAATTTGATTGATTGATTCAATTTGATTGATTGATTCAATTGTCTACAATCAAGATGACATTCGGGCCACAGTGGAGGCATATCCGAACCGATTAAGGGCTGTTATCAAGGCAAAAGGCGGTCATATCGAATGATCTCTTGTTTCCTTATTTGTTACTGTTAAATAAAGCTATTTCTGTTTAAAAGCATCCTGTTTAAATCATTCTGTTTAAAAATCTTCTTCCAGTGAAACTTCTTGGTGTGCAATGCCTTGAGTATCTTGTTGCAATAATTATGACGCACCCTGTAGATCCAACCCCAAGCTCAGAAATGAAAACAAATCTATGACGATAACCAATTAAAAGTTTCGGCTCTTTTAACCATTTTAGAGATATTTATATTCTTGATTTATATCTTTTGATTAGTCCAATCTTTTGATTAGTTCACAAAGAATGGAGCAGATCTTTTGACGTTTCGCTGTATTCCTTATCCTGTTTCCTTCACTATATACAAATATTTATCCTTTTCTTTTTCTTTTTCATATACAATTTGCAAACCTACACGAAAACCTTGTGCAATCAATTTCCCACAAAAAAAAACAACACTCAATCACTTTTCTTCAAATAAAAGTCTCAAAAACAATGGCAAAAAAGTGAGGAAAAGAAATTTAGAGAAATTCTTTAAAAATCACATAAATATCGAATCCTAGAAACGGAATCAAAGTTTTTACCAAGAATCTAATTTTTCACTGAAAGACTTATTTACATAATGAACACAAAAGTGATAAAATTTTTGCACAAAACAAATTCTAAGCGGCAAGTTTTCTAGACAAAGAATCTTTTGTATGCAATGTGAGCAAAGTTTTTGCACAAAATCGTTGATTGTCATGAAAATATTGATCTACAACTAGCGATTGAAAATGGGCATTTCTAGCGGACGAAATTTCTGGTTTACTTAAAGTACTTTAAAGTATTTATTCGTATAGAAGAGCAGCCTTAAATAGAATAGAAGAAAATAGAAGAAAAAAGAAAATAGAATAGAAGAAGATTGAATAGAATTCTAGAAGAAGAAGATAGAATAGAATTCTAGAAGAAGAAGATAGAATAGAATTCTAATATAAGAAAATCGAATAGAATTCTAATACAAGAAAATAGAATAAAATTCTAATAGAACAAAAGAAAATAGAATCGAATATAATTTTAATAAAAGCGCAGCTTCCAATAGAAGCAATTTTGTGGAATGATTGAAAAATAAAAGCGCTGCGCTTCTATTAAAATACGGTATAGGACACGTTTTAGAAAACGGACTTTGAGGACGTATTTTTAATGTTGAATCCAATCGAAACACTTGCTTAAGGAGGTATTTCTAATGTTGAATCCAATCGAATCACTCCACGTACGCTGATCCATTGTGCAAGCTATTCGGTGTGGCCGTATTCGATCGTATTCCGACTGTTTCTTTCACCAAAGAGTTTAGCGTGAAAAGATTGAAGAGATCGATGATTTGAAGAGATTCGTTTTTTTTTGCCGCCACTTTCTGAAAATATTCGTATTTTTTTCTTCTAATTGTTAGATTTTGCAGTAAACTTGAGAATAAACCAAAGAGATTTCCTGGTTTCAAGCCTCAATTCACGACTGTTTTCGTAGTTAACCTGTCCAAACTTATAACAAGTAACAAGTCATTCACGCAGGAAGATGCTTGGCTTGATTCTTGGCTTAATTCTTGGCTTGATTCTTGGCTTGACTCTTGGCTTGATTTCCTTCTAGTCCAACTCACTCGTATTGTCGGAATTCTCAACAAAATATTCGTGAATCGATCATGAGCCGAATCCGCCCCGTAATTCGAAGTCACATATCTAAAAAATTGGTAATTTATAGGTTTATGAAGAATGATTGAGTCTAGAACGTCTAATCGAGTACTTTTAACAGAATTGAACCTCTGAATCTATTCATTCTTCGTTCCAATCTCCCTCATTCACTCACCTATGCAATGCAGCAATATGTTTTCTCTGCTCCGCGTTCACATTTCGTTGCGATGCCGCGTCCAAGCCTTCCGTATCTCAAAAAGTAAACAATAAGATAACAATAAGATAACAATGAATACAATAAAACAAAGCTTACTCTTTTGTTTGTTTATTTTAGTCAAATTAAGCTTGTTGCCTATTTTTCTTGCTTACTTTAAATATTGACCTACCCGGATCAAAGAACATGATCGCTTGAAGAACGGCAAATTCAGTGGTCGATATATTGAGTTGTCTGAATGGTCTCATCACATAATCAATGACGCAAGCCATCACTGGAGTCAGACCGGAGAGACTGAATAAAGATGAACTCTTGGTTTATAGTTTTTGCCTTTAAAGCTTGAAAAGTGATCTAAACTTCTTTCGACGAGCCATTGTGGTCGGTTTTTGGCTTAGGCTCAGGCTCAGGCTCAGGCTCAGGCTTAGGCTTAGGCTCAGGCTCAGGCTTAGGCTTAGGCTTAGGCACAGGCTCAGGCTTAGGCTTAGGCTCAGGCTCAGGCTCAGGCTTAGGCTTAGGCTTAGGCTTAGGCACAGGCTCAGGCTCAGGCTCAGGCTCAGGCTTAGGCTTAGGCTCAGGCTCAGGCTTAGGCTTACATTTCTGAAACTTGTAAACTTATAACTTTTGAAGCTTTCACCTGGTGGCTTGTGGAAGTTTTCTGCAAAAGATTTCTGCAAAAGATTTCTGTCTTTCTCACCTGCCCGCAATCGGATAATTATTATCGGTGGCTTCTCCCAATTTCGGTATTCCATTGGCTTTTTGTCGTTTCTCGATGAGAATATTTGGATCAAAGAATGTGTGCATCGTTGATCTCCCTTCATTACCCATCGAAGGACGACCTGAATTCGAAATTGCTCTATAGGTTGTGATTGTGGATTGCTTTATAGGATTGACTATATCTATCCCCACTTACCATAATCCGGAGGCAACCAGCCACCATAATCGGCGGGTAGACTACCGTACTCTGTCGGCAATCGAATCATATCCAGATCTTTCACGTTCGCGTCTTTCAATCCAGCGTCACCAAATTTTCTGAAATGAATGGCGTTAATCGATTCAAACTTTAAACTCACCCCAACGCCGTTTCTCTCAATATCCGATTCGTGACTTCTTGTTCATCTGTGTGATCGGGTGTCCGAAATGCTTCACACATTATCATATAAGAAGAGGCATGATTTGTGATTAACGCTATCTGGAAATGTGTAAATAGAAATTTGGAGGTTTTTGGGAATAGGTTAGATGATAGTTTAGATGATAACTTAGATAATAGCTTAGATGATAGCTTAGATGATAGCTTAGATGATAGCTAAAGATCATAGCCTAAAGATGATAGCTAAAGATCATAGCTAAAGATCATAGCTAAAGAACATAGCTAAAGATCATAGCTAAAGATGTCAGATCCAAGATAAGCTTTAAAGTTTCAAGTTTATCGGCTTAAAGCTTGAAGCTTGGCTGTCAGCTGAGGCTGTCAGCTAAAAAAGCAGCTTCTCAATCAGTTTCAAATCTAAAAACCAACTTTATCAGCCTGAGGAAGTGTTCGGAAAGTGGAGAACGTCTTTGCCCAATCAAGATACAAAGCAATGATCCTCGATCGCCAAAAGGGCATCTTTTTCTGTTCATCACCGGCTTTTGGAGTCACGATTGGGTCTGTTACCTGGAATCTCTTTTCATTTGAGCTAGATTTGATCTACATTTGATCTACATTTGAGCTACATTTGAGCTACAGCTTTTGATAAGCTTAGAATATCAAAAATCGCACTCACTTTTACATCAATCGGTTGATGAAATCTTGACGGGGTTGCCAGTCCTTCATCCAATGTTTTATAGGGTTCAATGGGGCCGCGCGAAAGGAGTAAAGTGAAATTGTTCTCTAATGATGTTAAACGATCGAGTAGAGGATCGAGGGCACTCTGAATTTCAGTATTGTTTAATGATCATTATATTGTTTAATGATCAGTCAGTTCATTCATCAGTTTATTGTATTACTTATTGAAACTTTGATTAGACTAGCTAAAATCTAGCTAAACTAGCTAAAATCTACCGCTGAATGATCAAGCTGCAATGGAGGACTTCTCGATTGCTCATTTTGATCCGATGTCGACGCATCGCAATCAACATCCGGACTGAAATATTTCAAATATTTCGAATTTCATTTCACTTCAAACCTCAGCTCCTTCTTAATCTTTTTACTCGATTTCTCCGATTTACGGGTTCGTTTTGTGTAACCGATTCGATCACGATCATTTTGAATGGCTAAAAAGTGATCGTAAATTCTTTTTTTCTTGAAAAGTTTACTATTTAATTCTCTACAATAATCCCCCAACCATTTATATCCATCCCAGCGGCCAAACATTTCTGCAAACGACAATGCCGACAAGTACATCGAACACCTGAAATGGGTAATGAATCTTGGAACCTGGAGTCACCAAAAAGCAATTTTTTTTTCGGTAAATCAAAAATCTGATTGCAATAAGTTGGTGTGTGCTTTCCAGATAAGCTTAAATCGTAATATCTTTAGGTTTAAATGCGCATGCAACTTGATTTCTGACTGTAGAACCTTGTCGAGAGTTCAGCCCCTTTTTGAAGGCACCGATTTTAAAGATATTTTGATTTAAGCTTATCTGGAATACACATTAATACTTGTTGCAATTAGATTTTTGAATTATCGAAATTGAATTTTTTTTCCACTCACCTTTCGTCACCGGACAATTCCCGTTTCCCATACAGGCGAAGTTGCGTTTGTTCTAGAATTTTAGACTTAGGATTAGGGCATAAAAATGAAATGCTGGATAATAGAATATTAAATTAGTTTCGAGAGCCAAAAGCCGATCACAATGGCTCGTCGAAAGAATGTTTTACATCCATTGCAATAGGCGACATTGTAATGATTCCCTAAGCCTAAGTCTAAGCCTGAGCCTGAGCCTAATTAGCTCCGAGAACTGGCTGAGATCCAGAAAATGGGGGTTCAGCCCAAACCCAAATAGACTTAGTGCTAGCCGCTAGCCTTCGCATTAAGTCCAAGTCCAAGTCTAAGCCTGAGCCTGAGCCTAAGCCTGAGCCTAAGCCTGAACCTGAGCCTGAGCCTAAGCCAAAAACCGACCACAATGGCTCGTCGAAAGAATGTTTTACATCCATTGCAAGAGGCGACATTGTAATGATTCCCTGTTGCTTGATCCTCGCATACAGCACATAGAGTACCTGGAAAAGGATTTTGAATTGAAGGCTTAGGCTTAGGCTATTGAAGCCTGTTTCTATTGAAGCCTATTTCTATTGAAGCCAAATGTTTTAGTTTTAAAGTTGATACTTATTGAATATCTATTTTTCTATCAAAGCCAATTTTCTTCTTTTCTTCAATGAACAAACCAGGTGGTAATTTCTCGGTCATTCTCTTTCTCCTATCGAATTTGTTTCGTTTTGAAAAACATATGGAAAGTTGAAAGGGTTTTTCTCTGAAAGAATGAGCTCTGAAAGAAAAATTAGTTCAAAATAGTTATTGTTTAAACTTTATTTGTTTTTGGAAAAAAAAGCCAGACAAAATGGAGATAAAATGGAGAAAAAAATGCCCTTTTCGATTAGAAAAACAACGCAATGAAAGGACAAAAAATAAATAGATTGATAGTTGAAGCTTTGATCGAAAAATGGAAATAGATTCTGAGATTTAAAGCTACACAAAAAGTTGAAAGAGTTTTTTGGTAAATTTGGTAAAAATTTGAGAAAAAAAATGATATCAATGCAATGTGAAAATGGAAAAAAAAAGAAAGTTTTCCAAGACTCGCTCTCAAGATCTCAAGAAAAATCGATTCAAATTTGAATCGTCAAACTTTAATCGTCAAACTTTAATCGATTAATTCGACACCCTCTAATCTGAATACTCAAAATTGATCACTTTTTCAGATCTGATCGTTAGTATTCGATTCGTTTTTACAAAGCAAGCTAAACAATTGTCCAGTACTTATCGGGCAAATTAATCAAATCGAAATCTGATCAGCTGAATATTTCCAGAATTTATAGCTAATTTTTAAGTTTTCTACCGTAATCCATTTCCCATTCTCCTTTGATCGAGACAGCAATGAGAAAAGTTTTAAGAAAGAAAAGTTTTAAGAAAGAAAAGTTTTAAGAAAGAAAAGTTTTAAGAAAGAAAAGTTTTAAGAAAGAAAAGTTTTAAGAAAGAAAAGTTTTAAGAAAGAAAAGTTTTAAGAAAGAAAAGTTTTAAGAAAGAAAAGTTTTAAGAAAGAAAAGTTTTAAGAAAGAAAAGTTTTAAGAAAGAAAAGTTTTAAGAAAGAAAAGTTTTCAACTTAACAGCAAGCCTTATAATTCTTGAATTTAGTGGGTTTATAAAAATTGTTTTACAAGTGAATAAAGAAAGGACGCTCTTTTGGACATAAGGAAAGGACGTAAAGGACATAAAGAAAGGACGCTCTTTTGATAAGGCACAGATTAGATTAATCAAAAAGTATCAAAAAGTATCAAAACGTATTAAAAAGCTTCGTTTTTCTAGTCTCTTTACAAAAGTTGAACTTAATATTTCCATGACGATTAAAAAAATGCAATAAAAGTGTGAAGTTGTTTGGACGGTGAACAGAAGAGAAAAAAGAACATAAGGGAAAAGGGGGGAATGAGACAAAGTATTGATCGATTTTTGGCTGAATGCAAATAAAAATTGAAGAGAAAAGAGGGGGAGAGAGGGGGAGAGATTGAGTGGGATGGGGAGGGTGGGGAGGGGTGGGGAGGACATCGAGAGGAGAGCGGAGTTGGGGAGCGAGAGGGGAGCGATGCTTGGTCCATGCTCAGCATAGGCTGAGAGATCACTTTGTGCACGAGAAATACGATAAAGATTTGAAGATATTCAGTAAATGTATCGTAAACATTCTAGTAGAAAAGCCTTCTATTTTTCAATGTCCCTCTAAAATTTTTTCGTGATACAGTACCCAAATTTTCAAGAGCTCTCAAAGGATATTTATCTTGGATTTTCATCCGGTTTTCGATGTCATTAAGCTTTATTAGAATATAACTATTATTTAAAGCCTTTTGAAGCATTTGGAAGCTTTTGAAAGTCTTTAAAGAGTAAGTATTTTGCTATCCGAGCGTTGAGAAATCCGAAAAATGACAAATTTCGTGGTTCTTCAATTGGAATAACTACGGTATTATCAAATGACTATCTAGGAAAGGTTTTCAGTTAAAACCCAAGAAAAACTAGAACCTTAAAACTCTCTCAGTTGTCCTGTATGACTGGGAGGACATCGAGAGGAGAGCGGAGGGGAGCAAAGATAGGAATCAACGTTTGGAAACAACAACAAAAAAAAATGAGAGTTTTCCGTAGAAAAACTAAACGCATTAAAATCAATAAAGACAATAAAAGTAAAACTAAAATTTAAAAGAAGTGCTTAAAAGAAGTGCTTTTAAAGAAGTTGTAGTAAAAATGGAAATAAAGCGCGCAGTTTGATGGTTGTTGCGATTTTTTTTGGAAAAATCCTGCATAAGCATAAAAAAACTTGGTTTTTATGTAAAAAGTTACTTATTTACTTATGTATGTATGTATTTATGTAAAGGAAAAGAAGAATTGCTCCGTAGTTGCTGTAATTTTGCTCTGTAGTTGCTGTATTTCAGTACTTATTTACTTATGTACTTATGTATTATGTTACTTATGTTTATGTTACTTATGTAAAAAGTTCAATGATTAAATTCCAACTCAAAACTAGACCTATTTTTCAAATGAGACGTCGACTTTTTTTAAACAAAAAAACAGCAAAACAACAAGATACGAATAGACAATTATCCGATGATTAGTCACAAAAATAGATGAAAGATTGAAAGATTGAAAGATTTCATTTTGAGAGCAATTACAGCAACTACAGAGCAATTACAGAGCAATTCTTCTTTCCCTTTTCTGAGAAATTGCTCACTTGTGTCTCTGCAATTCTCAGCCTGCAATTGCAAAGATTAGAGAAAAAGAAAAAAAACGACTTTTGATCAAATGAAATGAGCTAAAGAACAAGAAAAAGATCAGAAAAATCATAAAAATCATAAAAATATGTACTTATCATCTTGATTGAATATCATTTTGATTGAATAAATGTAGTCAAATGGATTTTGTTCGTGAGATCACACAAAAATCTCTTTGGATTACTAACCGAAAATCGGATTTCTCTCTTAAAATCTCGGGATTTTCTCTAGAAATGCGAATTACGAGAAAATGTAAGATTGTCTCAAGCTGTCTCAAGCTGTCTCAAGCTGTCTCAAGCTGTTTCAAGCTGTCTCAATCGCGCTAATAGATTACAGTAGATTTGATTTAACCGTTTTCTTTTATTATAAATTCATAATCGAAACTTACAAATGTGCTAAAAAGAGTTTTTTGGTGGCTTTCTGCAAAGATTTGCAAAGATTTCTTGCAAAATTCGTCTATATTTGCTCACCTTTTGAAAATGGTTCTTTGCTGAAGCACTCAGTTGAGTGCAAATTTTGTTCTGAGTGCAAATTTATAATGCAAGACTTTTAAACTCAAAGAATTTCGATTAAAGAACAATTATCGATGCTTAGCGATCCCTAAAATCACAAAAACTTGTCAAGAAAACGCTTTTTCAAGACCAACTTTTTCAAGAAAACAAACCTTTCGAGCAAAACAGTGAGTTCTCGTGAAAATTTAGAGTAAAAGGGGGCCTAATCCAAAAAGATCAAGAGATTTTCGATGCGAAATTTATTGTTGTTTTGTGGGAGATTGGATCTCTGAGTGAAATGGTGAGAAAAGCTCGGAAATCACAGGGAGACGGGAACAAGTCGATTTCGAGAAATCCAAGTTGAACAACCTTTCAATATTCATATCCAAAGTGTGCAGGTTTCAATTTCTAATGGCTCCGAAGCCACTTCCTGTTTCCAGGAAGTGCCACAGAGTGCACCGCGCGGAGGTGGCTGGACTTCGCACTCCGCCACCCAGGATTGGGATCTCAGCTCTGGTCCTTGGCGACGCCACCCGACTCCCGCTGAAGGAATGCTGAGCTTCTGGAGAGCTGAGCTTCTGGAGAGCTGAGCTTCTGGAGAGCTGAGCTTCTGGAGAGCTGAGCTTCTGGAGAGCTGAGCTTCTGGAGAGCTGAGCTTCTGGAGAGCTGAGCTTCTGGAGAGCTGAGCTTCTGGAGAGCTGAGCTTCTGGAGAGCTGAGCTTCTGGAGAGCTGAGCTTCTGGAGAGCTCAGCTTCTGGAGCTTTTGGGGTGCGCGCAGCGTAAGCGGGGGAGGGGTTACGTTTTGTTGATGCGTAGGGGATTGATCAAATCCCCAGTCGATTTAACAGCCTCACGGTTTCTCCAATGGGGTGTTCAAACTTCTGCTATCTAGACCGCTGTCAAGTAGTGGACAGCTGACGGAAGCCAGAGCCCAGGGGGAGCATAATGTGATGTGGTTACGAGCAAGAGACCATTCTGCCTTCTTCCACTGGTGGCACTGCGAAACAGTAAAATCAGAGAGAAGGGACTTCCTATATGTAAAAGCCCTCTGCTAGAAAGTGCGCGATTGTGCACGCGCAAAAAGAACATCCATCTGCCCATTAAGCAATTTCAGTTTTTCGATCGTTTCTCGGTCATACTTTGACGGATCGGGATCATTTTTATGTCAAAAGATGCGCATTGAAAAACTTCATCGAATGGCCTCCAGGTTTGTTTGGCGAAAAGTCAATTTGAGTGGGTAAAAACGAGATTGAAACTTTTTGAGACGGTGATCGCAATTCCGGTACAAATTTGGCGATTGCTTGGTCAAATCTTTAAGGATGAGCCGAATTCTTTTGAAAATTACATAATTAATGAAATTTTCTAATTATCAAAGCAAAATGGACCCAATTTGCTGTCGAAATTGCTGCCAAAATATGAAATCAAATGAAAAAGATGCAGCATTTCACTCAAATGCAAAATTTGCTGTTCAAATCTTTGAGAATTCGTTGAAAAGTGTTTGGGGATGGCTAAGCTAGTCAAGAGCTGGACTAGGCAAGAGTGTAGGTTAGATTTCAGTGGTAAAACCGATAAATAGCCATCTTTTGAAGATTTGAAGGAGTGCAGAATGAAGGGATCTCTGTGTTACTCCATCTCGCCCACTCAGAAATCACTCCTTTCTTTCCCTTCCAATCATCATGCACATATTAACGGATTATATTAGTAATGCAGGTGGATTTGCGTGAAAATTCACCAATTTCTCCTAGTCATCAATGTAGTCAAGTGAGAGTGACTTAAGGCATTCTTCAGCTCTTCAGCTTGTAGCAAAATAAATTCCCTTCCACAGTTTCCATTTCCCTTCAAATTCTTTTCTCTCACTCACTTTTAAACACTCGAAAGCTGAGAGTTTGCAAATGCAATATGCAAATATTTGGGCATTTTTTGTATGCAAAGAGAACAAAAAGAAGAAAAA